AACAAAATAAACAAACCAACAAATTAAACAACAAAGAAAAGAAATATATCAAATAAATAAATTAAACAAAGTAATTGAAATCAAAGAAATAAAATGAATTTCAAACTAATAATCAAATTAAAATAATTACTAATTATAAAATAAAATTTTAAAAAATTAAAAATTTAAATAAAAATCAAATTAATTAAACTTATTAAAAATAAACAGACAAAACACAAACAAAGTAATTAAAATCAAATTAATTAAAAATCAAACAAATAATCCAATAACGTAACTCGTCAATAAAAATTACAAAACAAAATAAACAAAGTAATTAAATTAAACAACAAGTAAACAAATAAACAAATATAAAATTTAAAATTAAAAAATAATAATTTAAAAAATTTAAAAATTTAAAAAAAAAAAAATTAAACTCCAATTACGTAACTCGTTAATAATAATTAAACTAATTAAAATAAGTTAATAATAATTAAACTAATTAAAATAATTAAAATTACAAAATTTAAAAATTTTAAAAAAATTTAAAAATTTAAAAAATTAAAATCCAATCACGTAACTACTCAATAAACATTTTAAAATTACACAATATAAACAAAGTAATTAAAATCAAATTAATTAAAAAACACATTAAAATTACGTAACTAGGTCAAAAATTAATTAAAATTTAAAAATTAAATTCAAACTAATTAAAAAAACTCATTAAAATTACGTAACTAGGTCACTGATTACGTAACTAGGTCAATGATTACGTCACAAGGTCACTGATTACGTCACAAGGTCACCGGTGGTGACCTACTGACCTACTCCGCATCCGCATCCCCCACCCTAGGGTGGGTGAGTATTTTACTATATCTCGTTGTACCAGGCTGTTCACCCACCCTCACCCACCCTCACCCAGGTGGGTGAGTATTTTACTATATCTCATTGTACCAGGCTGCTCACCCACCCTCACCCACCCTCACCCAGTTGGGTGAGTATTTTACTATATGAGGATGTACCTCCACCTCCCCCAGGGAGTATTTTACTATATCTCGTTGTACCAGGCTGCTCACCCACTTACCCAGGTGGGTGAGTATTTTGCTATATGTCATTGTACCAGGCTGGGGGAGTATTTTCCTATATAGCCTTTGTTCCGCATCCGCATCCGCATCCGCATCCCCCTCACCCATTCGCTCCAAAAGGGACCTAATATACTACTCATTTTAGCTGCAGTTTTGAATTATAAATTAAAAAAAATTATGGGGGGGGGGGGGGGGGGGCGCCAAATTGAAAGTTTGTTCCCGGGCGCCGGGCGGGGCCGCTACGCCTCTGAGTCGCGTACAATATTAGCTATAGAAATCGAATATTATTTGTTAATACGCTTGGTTTCTTTTCTAAGTGTTAAGTGATTTATCTACTCACCAATCTGGTGTAATTCTAAATGAGCGAAATAGCCCCCCACCCCCACCCATCCTCCACACCCAACCCAGGTGGTTAGCAGTTTTACCGATCATTGACCTTTATTGACCTTTAAGGGTTTTTGTTTTACTTTACACAATCAAGGAAGAAAACCGTAAAATCAGTGTGCAAAAGGTAGAAAACTGTAAAATCAGTGTGCAAAACCTTGTAGCCGTTTCTTTTCTGAACTTTGACTGTAGTATTCAATACTGCAGTTTAAAACGAACTTAGCATTTTTAGCGCAATTTCCATACGGACAATTGCGATTATTAACTCGTCATTTCTGGATGTATGAATAAATGGATGGATGTGTGTCCGCAGCTTTAAGTCGTATCTCCTCCTCAACGAAGCAATATCGAGGACTAGTTCCAAAAGCAAATATGTTAAGCAAGTTCCGAGGATGATTGTGGGCCAAAAAAATTCCCGGAATTCCTTCCTGGATTTTCCGGAAAAGCCAAAAAACCTCGAAAAAATGCAGTTTTTGGCCCATATGTCGGCAACCAGACCACTTAGCGACTTGAAACATTTACCAATCGATTCCTGCCATAATTTAGACCAATACTGCCGAAGAAAGTTTTCAAAAATATCCTTTCGTCGGTCACAAAAAAATAATTAAGAATTTTTAAACTGAGCATCGTGTAGACCTATAGGATGATATTTTTAATTTAAACTGAGCATCGTGTAGGTTTTTAGCGCAAAAAAAATCCTTTCGTTCGGTCACAAAAAAATTAAAAATTGTTATGGATAACATAAGGAAATTGCGCTTAAATTGTCATTAGACTTTTTATTTACTTGTTTTTCTACCCATTAGGTTGGCGCCCTAGGTTGGGGTGGGTGGAGGGTATGAACTTTAGGGTTGGAGGGTATGAACTTTAGGGGTGGGGGGTATGAACTTTAGGGGTGGAGGATATGAACTTTAGGGGTGGGGGTATGAACTTTAGGGGTGGGGGTATGAACTTTAGGGGTGGGGGTATGAACTTTAGGGGTGGAGGGTGTGAACTTTAGGGGTGGGGGTATGAACTTTAGGGGTGGGGGTATGAACTTTAGGGGTGGGGGTATGAACTTTAGGGGTGGGGGTATGAACTTTAGGGGTGGAGGGTATGAACTTTAGGGGTGGGGGTATGAACTTTAGGGGTGGGGGATATGAACTTTAAGAATCGAAGAATGTGTCCATTGGGTGGAGAGTAAGGGCGCTAACTCTAAAGTTAATTTGACTTGCTGTGTATGTAGGACACTGGTGTGTCACGTGCCGAGAGTATTAACTTAATCCTCCGACAGCTGATGGAAAGGGTAAGCGCTTTGGGAGGTAAATCCGCTGTTTCTCGTCAAATAGCCGCTAATACGCCGGCCTTTTGCCGGTCCAATTTTGCCGGCTGATCTGTTGGCGCAGACGGACAAATCCGTTTGCTGACGTCGTCTGCAGTTTGTCTCCGCTGGCCGCAGGTGAGACCTGGGTTGTGGCCCTTGTCAGCGGCCTCGGTCAACAGCTCGCTACAGACAGACGTGCTACAGACCAGCGGGGGAACAGCCCGGCGCCCTGTGCAAGTTTCAATTTTTAACCCTTCATATATATGTATATATATATATATATATATATATATATATATATATATATATATATATATATATATATATATATATATATATATATATATATATATATATATATATATATATATATAATGGGGGCCCGAAAAAAATTTGCGGGGGGAGGGGGGGGGGGGAAAGGGACGACGTATTAATAAGTCTATGGCGCTAAATAACCTGGCTTGAGCACTGCCCCTAGGGTCGGCGGCCACCCTACCCGCCCTCAACTAGCTACGCCTCTGGCAGTGACTGGGTCGTTGGGGAGCCAAAAGTGGCTGCTATTTATAGGGTGAACGGAAAAAAAGTCACAGGAAAAAAAAACACAGAAAAAAGTCACAGTTTTTGCTAGGAAAAAAAGTCACAGAAAAAAAGTCACAGTGGAAAAATTTTATCGAAAAAAGTCACAGAAAAAAAGTCACAAAAATCTTTTTAGAAATATTTTTATTAATTTGTTAAGAATTGTAAAATTTTGTAAGTTTATTGTTGTGGGTTGTATTTTTTTTATAGCATAAATTATTTATAGACGTTAAAAGCGTTATGATTTATAACAATTGTAAGTAAAAAATACTCTAAGATAATTTACACAGCAATCTCAACTTTTGTTACGTATTTAGTTAAATACGCGGTAGAAAAGTTAATTATAAAAGAAATTTAGGCAAATTTTGCCGTAGGCTATTCTCTTGTCGGCCTCTCCTCAGTAGGCATTGTCCGAACATATTTTGTGTTGTTGACGCTATGCGTCAATGACAGCCTTTGAACCTTGTCGGCTTTCTGTTTTGATCGTAAGTTTTGTTATGTAATGAGCGTGATAAATGTGGGCAGTAAAGGTGGTTGAACTAAACATAACTATTGTTGCCATGAGTTGAGGGCAGCAAGTCAGATGAACTTACCATTTCACGGTAATTTAATATTGGTATTTTTAAAAAAAAAAACACGATGAAAACCGTGGACTTTGCAGCATTCTATTAAATGCTTCTAATCTTAAGTTTAACATAATTACAATCTACATACTTAAATAATAAATATTTTTAGATGAATTATAAAAATTCCTATGCGTATACAGCCTACACACATCACATTACATTTAATTAATCCTAAGTTAATTTGCACTCTCTAAATATTTAATACATACAAGTATTAACAAATATCATGCAAATGTATATTTGTGACTTTTTTTCCTGTGACTTATTTTCCTGTGACTTTTTTTCCTGCGACTTTTTTCTGTGTTTTTTTTCCTGTGTTTTTTTTTCCTGTGACTTTTTTTCCTACAATCATTTATGGCTGGGTATAACAGCCTATACCTCGGTTAACGGACGTCCCGGCAAACGAACGATCCATTGAAAGAACTTTTGTTTGTGTCTCTACTTAGATGAAAATCTGTATAATTTTGTTTTGTCCGACACCCCTGTATTGCACTTATTTTTATCCTTGAAAAAAAAAAACATTTGAATGCACCTTCAATGAACTGTTACGTGTGGATCTATTTGAAGCACGGCCCGCGGCATGGTTTGAAAAGTTGTTGAGTTGTGTGCAACATTAACAGACACAGAACGGTGCTTGTATAGGGAAGAAAACATCGGATAGAGATTTAAACAACGATTACAAGTGATTTCAGATTTAGGCTGCTAACTCGAAAGTCTCACCTTCGAATTTGGGTTCCAGTTAGTACAACGTCCCTGAGTCTACTCAGCCTAGATGGGTACCTGACTCGTGTTAGGGTAAAGTAAAGTCGGCGGGGGATAGGCTAACAAGTTCGAATAGGGAACTACATTCAACACTGTATAATTCTTGCTAAAATTCCCCTTTGTTTACAATGTATGATTCTTGATAAAAAATTAACATGTTTGTTTACAATGTATGAATCTTGCTAACAAATGCACGTTTGTATACAATGTATGATTGTTGCTAAAGATTGTATGATTGTTACTAAAGATAACACATGTAGTTAAACTCCTTGTATTGTTTGCTGTTCCCAGTGTATGAACACAACTCAGCTCACTGATTTCTACAATGACACGCTGGAGAATGGTCTCGATAGGGAGCAGTTCTACACTACGTCATCACTCCTGCTGTACTACGTCACTCAACTTGAACACACCTGCCCCGCCCACATCGAGCTGTCTCGCGAGAAGCTAAAAACAGCACGTGCCTTCCTGCAGCCAATGAGGAACAACACTGAATCTTTATTCGCTTTACTTGAGGTTAGGGCTATTTTTAGCACTTTTGTTTGTCACGACATTGTGATACAACAGATTTAAAACTTTGAGATCATATCTAGATGTATTGTCACCCCCCCCCCCATTTTTTGGATCATATCTAGATATATTGTCCACCCCCCCCCCCCACCCCCCAATTTTTTAATCATATCTAGTTATGCTGTCACACACCCCACCCCTCCTAAATGTTTGTCCTAGATCTATTGAAAAATTAAATTTGAGGGTAAAAACACATTTTATTTTTTGAAGATCGACAACCGCATTCCCATCACAATCATTTCACAACACAATCATGTCACATCACAATCACTTCCCACCACAATCACTTCACACCACAATCACTTCACACCACAATCACTCGCCTACCATAGATATTGCAGGATTGTATTTTATCGTCTGATGTATGGCATACTTGCCATACATCGTCCTTTTATCGTCCCACCCCCACCCCCCCACCCTGTCAGACTTATGCCGTACCCCCATTCTCACCCCGTCAAACTTATACCATACCCCCACCACTATCCACACACCAGCAACATGACAGCAACAACATACTCCCCCTTAGCTAATGTAGGCCTGCTGTCACCTGTATCCCGCCCCAGCTTTTAAGCTTGGTCTAACCCCGCCACCATTCTCTTACCCAGACTTCCCTAGATTAAGCCTAACCCTCGCGTTAACCCTAACATAAAGCAAATGGTGAAACATGATAACCGACTCTAATCCTCTCCACGAGAACACAAGCCGTCTGTTCATGACGTCATCATGTGTTTCAGCCGAGTATTGCAAGCCAAGATCAGCCAGCCAATCAGATCATAGATGACCATTCCGCCCTGCCCAGCCTAGTCGTCAAACCAAAGGTATGCTCGCTGTAAATGTCAAGGTACCTGAGTTACAGTATAGGTACACTAACTACACTATAGGGTAACCTGCCCAATGGTTTAGACCAGAGTTAGTATTATGATATCCATATAGTGCAACTGGTAAAACACTGTCTCATAAAGTTTCCATATATAATGTTTGTACCTTAGTGAATGTTTGTACCTCAGTGTATGTTTGTACCTAAGTGAATGTACCTCAGTGAATGTACCTCAGTGAATGTTTGTACCTCAGTGAATGTTTGTACCTCAGTGAATGTTTGTACCTCAGTGAATGTTTGTACCTCAGTGAATGTTTGTACCTCAGTGAATGTACCTCAGTCAATGTTTGTACCTCAGTGTGTGTTTGTACCTCAGTGTATGTTTGTACCTCAGTGAATGTACCTCAGTGAATGTTTGTACCTCAGTGAATGTACCTCAGTGTATGTTTGTACCTCAGTGAATGTTTGTACCTCAGTGAATGTTTGTACCTCAGTGAATGTTTGTACCTCAGTGAATGTTTGTACCTCAGTGAATGTTTGTACCTCAGTGCATGTTTGTACCTCAGTAAATGTTTGTACCTCAGTGTATGTTTGTACCTCAGTGAATGTTTGTACCTCAGTGAATGTTTGTACCTCAGTGTATGTTTGTACCTCAGTGTATGAGCCCGGACGCTCTGGCCTACTACATGAGAGATGATGAGGATGCTGACCACTTGACCAGCGAGGATGTCGACCAACTATCCGCCATGATGCTCTACTTTATTTACGCAGGTAACCTAGCAACCGAGTCACGTACACACAATCAGAGCTAGATGAGACTATATTCTTGTCCCTCTGTCTTTGATGTCGCTCCCACAAGTTCTCCCTTGGGTGTCTTCGCGCCCACGCTGACCTACCCTGACCACATTGACCTATTCTGCCACGCATTGACATGTCCCGACCACACCCTGACCCACCCTACCTAGCCTCCCCACACCCTGACCTACCCTGTCTACACCCCGACTTACCCTGACCCCACCCTGACCTATCCTGTAACTGACCCTGACTTGTGATATATTCCCACAGTACAGAAACCCTCATCCTCGGTCATCCAGCGGCCAGTGAGTCCCGATTGATTTGATCCGTTCGATCTAGGGGCCGCACGCATACATCAATAGCCGTAACTTGTTAAACTCGGACCTCGGTTTGACGTTTATTTTTCTCACGTGGGTTGGATGGGTTCATGTTTAGACAGCTAGCGTTGTTCGAACCTGTGGGGGGGGGGGGGGGGCGTCTTGCTGCACCACCTGGGCCCCAGGATCTGCTAATTAAAGCACTAATTAAGCGACCACGAGCAGTGTGTTGTCCGGGGTGAATCCTTGATTAAGTCACCCTGTCATCTGATTTCTGTTTTCATGGCGTCCTAATCTGTCGACAGTGTGTTAGGATTACCTACAGAGATTAAAAGATAATATGCTATCCCCACCTACATCAAAGGGGAATATGCATCCTCCTCCCCCCCCCCCCCCCCCTCCACACTCACACTTCGACTCCTATTTTTGATTTATTGTACCATTTTTGTTGACGAAATGAAAAAAAAATTGTGATGAGTGGAGCTTTAATGAACCTTAGCCTTATGGTTTTGAAAAAATGGACAAAAAATTCAATAAAAACGTGAAGAAAACTGATCGTGTTTCCACGACCAGGATATTTTGAAATAATCAAATTTTTAGCTTCTTATTGGGATGTGCCCAAAATGTTTTAAAAGAAAGCTTTTGTTAAAGTTAGAAAAGGCGAGCATCTTCCCGTAGAAAATGGTCACCAGCAGTGGCGTCACAAGGCGAAAGCCGGTGTGGGGGGGGGGGGGGGGGGGTGGGGGGGGGGGGGTGCTGCCCAAACCGGATGACACCCGACCTTGTGACGCCACTGGTCAAGAGCTATGCTGAACCAGCGAGTGCTATTGTTTAACCAAATGTATATAATCAGTGAAGCTAGTCACGTTTATAGAAGTGTTATATATCCTCCCCTTCATGTATCTCACTGATGTTAATGGTGTACAATCGTCCACTTTATTTAATAAAATATTTCAAAATTATAAACCACCCCTACTCTATATAACACAACATAATTTTTAAAACCCCATAAAACTTCAATGCCGTCAAATTTATGTGTACACGATTATTTGTACAAGTTTCCTTTTAGAAAATCTCTCCTTGCTGTACCTGTCATTTTGTTTTCATGTTTAAATTAGGGTTTAAAAGAAAAATGTCGAATTCAATGTTTCCTTAAATTAGGTTTTAAAAAAGAAGAGAAATGTCGACTTCTACCGACCAAGTCGGCTTTTGTCAAGCACATAATGCAGCACTTCGGAGACGGGGAGAAGATAACAGATCTCGGTAAGTAGCCATTGTTTACATTGTCCAGATTCGCACTTGGTGCTTCTCGTTTGAGAGTTGAACTGGCCAGATTTTTCACGAATAAGTGGGTTATCTTCATATTAGCATCATGCTAAATCTACCTTCACGAAAAGCCTCTGTGTCTACAAACTTAAAAAATAAGGCTTGGAACTATCACGATTTCACCCCTCCCCCCTCCCATTATGCTAATGTTTAATTTTTAGTTTAACTTTTTTTTTTTACTTTGGCCGGAGATAAGAGCGTGATCGTCATCCAAAGAATTCAAATTGTTCTTGTGTCATCTACACCGCTGACATGCATAATATTTGAGATTTGTTTCCGATAGTGGAAAAATGGGACAAAGCTAGTATAACCCCTTTATTAAATGGATCAGTAGCACATGTAAGCAAGAGAGCAACAGCCTGCATTATTTTCTTTACGTAAGAAGTAACACAAGTAACATCTGAAATGGGGGGGGGGGGGGGGTCCATAGATAAAGTTTTTTCCCCCACGATTTTTAAACCCGCTACCCCAATAACAGTTATTCATTTTTTTTTCACCAAGAAATGTAATTCCCATGTGCTAATGACATTAAAAAATTATAAATTTAAAAAATTTTAGAATGCTATATAGTTGCAAAAATTCGTTTAAAAATTTTTCTGTGCTAATGCATGTATGAGACATTACATTTTTTAGCCATTCGTTCCTCTGGTCAAACACCCAAAAGTGCATCCCCTCCCTCCCCCTCCCCCAGGTATTGCTTTAAGTCACCCACATCACGTCGATTTCTTACTTTTTTTTGTAACAATTCAGGCAAATATTTGTGATGGTTGATATTTGTGGAGGTTGATATTTGTGGAGGTTGATATTTGTGGAGGTTGATATTTGTGGAGGTTGATATTTGTGTAGGTTGATATTTGTGGAGGTTGATATTTGAGGAGGTTGATATTTGTGGAGGTTGATATTTGTGGAGGTTAACATTTTGGAGGTTGATATTTGTGGAGGTTGATATTTGTGGAGGTTGATATTTGTGGAGGTTGATATTTGTGGAGGTTGATATTTGAGGAGGTTGATATTTGTGGAGGTTGATATTTGTGGAGGTTAACATTTTGGAGGTTGATATTTGTGGAGGTTGATATTTGTGGAGGTTGATATTTGTGGAGGTTGATATTTGTGGAGGTTGATATTTGTGGAGGTTGATATTTGTGGAGGTTAATGTTTGTGGAGGTTGATATTTGTGGAGGTTGATGTTTGTGGAGGTTGATGTTTGTGGAGGTTGATATTTGTGGAGGTTGATATTTGTGGAGGTTGATGTTTGTGGAGGTTGATGTTTGTGGAGGTTGATATTTGTGGAGGTTGACATTTGTGGAGGTTAATATTTGTGGAGGTTGCCGTTTATACTTTGAGCCGGAAATGACACGTATCCTTTAACCCCCAGGGCTCCAGTCTATGATGGAGCTACTCACCATCCTACCAGAAGTCACCACTGAGACTGCTCACACCGACCACAGAAGGCGGCGCCATGTGGCAGACGTGAGCCACGACCAAACGTCAGGACACACCAGGAGCAGACGACAAGCCACTGATGTGAGTTTCTAGCAGACGTGAATCATGTTTCATGCGGACACAAGGGCTTAATACTTTCACCAACATCCTAGTCTGCTTGCTACCAACACAATCTTGACAGCAAATGTTGGCTTTGAAGTAGAGACAGCTTTTTTTCAAATTACTGAGTACTTGTTGTGTAATCTTTTAGAGTGAGACTAAAATACCATGAATAATGTCTCTAAATTAGAGTGAAACTAAAATACCATGAATCATGTCTCTAAATTAGAGTGAGACTAAAATACCTTGAATCATGTCTCTAAATTAGAGTGAAACTAAAATACCATGAATCATGTCTCTAAATTAGAGTGAAACTAAAATACCATGAATCATGTCTCTAAATTAGAGTGAAACTAAAATACCATGAATCATGTCTCTAAATTAGAGTGAAACTAAAATACCATGAATCATGTCTCTAAATTAGAGTGAAACTAAAATACCATGAATCATGTCTCTAAATTAGAGTGAAACTAAAATACCATGAATCATGTCTCTAAATTAGAGTGAAACTAAAATACCATGAATCATGTCTCTAAATTAGAGTGAAACTAAAATACCATGAATCATGTCTCTAAATTAGAGTGAAACTAAAATACCATGAATCATGTCTCTAAATTAGAGTGAAGCTAAAATACCATGAATCATGTCTCTAAATTAGAGTGAAGCTAAAATACCATGAATCATGTCTCTAAATTAGAGTGAAACTAAAATACCATGAATCATGTCTCTAAATTAGAGTGAAACTAAAATACCATGAATCATGTCTCTAAATTAGAGTGAAACTAAAATACCATGAATCATGTCTCTAAATTAGAGTGAAACTAAAATACCATGAATCATGTCTCTAAATTAGAGTGAAACTAAAATACCATGAATCATGTCTCTAAATTAGAGTGAAACTAAAATACCATGAATCATGTCTCTAAATTAGAGTGAAACTAAAATACCATGAATCATGTCTCTAAATTAGAGTGAAACTAAAATACCATGAATCATGTCTCTAAATTAGAGTGAAACTAAAATACCATGAATCATGTCTCTAAATTAGAGTGAAACTAAAATACCATGAATCATGTCTCTAAATTAGAGTGAAGCTAAAATACCATGAATCATGTCTCTAAATTAGAGTGAAGCTAAAATACCATGAATCATGTCTCTAAATTAGAGTGAAACTAAAATACCATGAATCATGTCTCTAAATTAGAGTGAAACTAAAATACCATGAATCATGTCTCTAAATTAGAGTGAAACTAAAATACCATGAATCATGTCTCTAAATTAGAGTGAAACTAAAATACCATGAAACATGTCTCTAAATTAGAGTGAAACTAAAATACCATGAATCATGTCTCTAAATTAGAGTGAAACTAAAATACCATGAATCATGTCTCTAAATTAGAGTGAAACTAAAATACCATGAAACATGTCTCTAAATTAGAGTGAAACTAAAATACCATGAATCATGTCTCTAAATTAGAGTGAAACTAAAATACCATGAATCATGTCTCTAAATTAGAGTGAAACTAAAATACCATGAATCATGTCTCTAAATTAGAGTGAAACTAAAATACCATGAATCATGTCTCTAAATTAGAGTGAAACTAAAATACCATGAAACATGTCTCTAAATTAGAGTGAAACTAAAATACCATGAATCATGTCTCTAAATTAGAGTGAAACTAAAATACCATGAATCATGTCTCTAAATTAGAGTGAAACTAAAATACCATGAATCATGTCTCTAAATTAGAGTGAAACTAAAATACCATGAAACATGTCTCTAAATTAGAGTGAAACTAAAATACCATGAATCATGTCTCTAAATTAGAGTGAAACTAAAATACCATGAATCATGTCTCTAAATTAGAGTGAAACTAAAATACCATGAATCATGTCTCTAAATTAGAGTGAAACTAAAATACCATGAAACATGTCTCTAAATTAGAGTGAAACTAAAATACCATGAATCATGTCTCTAAATTAGAGTGAAACTAAAATACCATGAATCATGTCTCTAAATTAGAGTGAAACTAAAATACCATGAATCATGTCTCTAAATTAGAGTGAAACTAAAATACCATGAATCATGTCTCTAAATTAGAGTGAAACTAAAATACCATGAAACATGTCTCTAAATTAGAGTGAAACTAAAATACCATGAATCATGTCTCTAAATTAGAGTGAAACTAAAATACCATGAATCATGTCTCTAAATTAGAGTGAAACTAAAATACCATGAATCATGTCTCTAAATTAGAGTGAAACTAAAATACCATGAAACATGTCTCTAAATTAGAGTGAAACTAAAATACCATGAATCATGTCTCTAAATTAGAGTGAAACTAAAATACCATGAATCATGTCTCTAAATTAGAGTGAAACTAAAATACCATGAATCATGTCTCTAAATTAGAGTGAAACTAAAATACCATGAATCATGTCTCTAAATTAGAGTGAAACTAAAATACCATGAATCATGTCTGTACAATTTGGCAGGAAACGTCCGCCTGCTACTCCCCAGACCAGCTTCTGGCACTGTACGAGGCTGACCAGGGGGCGGACAAGACCAGCTTCCAGCAGCTGTGCCCAGCTCTGGTCAGCCAGAAGCTGTTTGGGTCATGTGCTCATCAAGATTCTTCCAGTCAAGTCACGGACGCTGAAAGTTAGTGCATGTGACCTTCTTGTTGTTGTGTCCTACTTGTTGTGTCTTACTTGTTGTGTCCTACTTGTTGTTGTTGTGTCCTACTTGTTGTTGTGTCCTACTTGTTGTTGTTGTGTCCTAGTTGTTGTTGTGTCCTACTTGTTGTTGTTGTGTCCTGCTGGTTGTTGTGTCTTACTTGTTTTTGTTGTGTCCTCCTTGTTGTGTCCTACTGTTGTGTCCTATCTATTGTTGTTGTGTCCTTCTTGTTGTTGTGTCCTACTTGTTGTTGTTGTGTCCTGCTGGTTGTTGTGTCTTACTTGTTTTTGTTGTGTCCTCCTTGTTGTGTCCTACTGTTGTGTCCTATCTATTGTTGTTGTGTCCTTCTTGTTGTTGTGTCCTAGTAGTTGTTGTATCCTAGTGTTCTCCAGATACTAAAGATGTTTCTTTGTATTTTTGCCACCTAGTTTTACATAGATTTAAAAAAAAGCCTCTACCATTAAAATTCCAGAGTTTGGCTACGGCACCCTGTCCATCACCGTCATCTGCCTGTGCTCCCTCCTGGGGCTGGTGTTTGTCCCCTGCACGTCCACCCGGGTCTACACCGTCGTCATGGCCCTGTTCCTGGGGCTGGCTGTGGGGACGCTGTTCGCAGACGCCATGTTGCATCTCATCCCCATGGTAACCACAAAACACTGCATTCAGTGTTGTATTTTATTGTGGCCATTAAACATATTTTTTGTAGTAATCTTTTCTTTTTGTAATGAACTGTAGTATTAAACGAGAAAAAAATAAAGTACTTTTTAAAAGCCTGATGGTCCGTGGAGCAGGTGAAGTAGAGTTTGTCTGTTAGCGTGAATAGATAGCAGCACTTTGCCTAGCATGAGTCAGGTAGCCACCAGAGCTGGGTGGGTACAGGAACATCCCACGTCAGTATTGACAGGAACATCCCATTGACAGGAACATCCCATTGACAGGAACATCCCACGGACTCAAGTCCACGCCAGTAGTGGCAGCTTGTGTCAAGCAAGTGAACTAGGCTTTAAATTTTGTTGTTTTAGGCTATGGGCATCCACGACCATGGGGGTGACGAGCATGAACATGAAGGTGGGGGCATCGTGGTGGAGAGCTATGTCCAGTATGGGCTGGCCATCATGGGAGGTGAGTGCTTGACAGGTGGGGGAGGTTTGGGAGGGGTGTGGTTGGGAGGTGTGAGGTTGACAAGTATGGGAGTATGTTGTAAAACTACAACATTAAGTGTAATGAATGCATTGTAAAACTACAATACTTAAACTTAGATTTGTGTTTCTCAGCTTAAACTGGAGTTTTGTATTTTTCAGGGTTGTATTTTTTCTACATCCTTGAGACAGCCATGACAAGACTTGGTGGTCATTCGGTGAGTTGGTCGATCAGGTGGTGTAGACATGTGGGTCAGTCAGGGTAGCTTGGGCTGGTGGTTTCACCATTAAAACATTGACGTCCTTAAACACTGACGTCCTTAAACACTGACGTCCTAAATTGTTGACGTCCTTAATCATTGGCGTCCTAAAAATTGATTTGATTTCAAAATTTTACAGCATGGACTAGATCATGGACACAGTCATACTCACAGCCATACTCACAGCCATAACCACGACCACAGCCATAACCACGACCACAGCCATAACCACGACCACAGCCATAACCACGACCACAGCCATGATGATCAACAAAAATCTGAAATCTCAACCACATCTCTCTCAACTGTAAGTTTTGTCAGCCTGGTCTATTAGTCAGGGTTTCTTCCAGACTTTTCTCGGGGGGGGGGGGGGGGGGGGACACTGTTGAAAATAAATATTTTCTATATAAATTCCATTTTGTTCTGGGGGGGGGGTAGACTTTCTTCAAGTGGGGTTCGAGCCCCCTGAAGAGATGCCTGGAAGAAACGCAGCTGGTAGCATGGAGATAAAATTAGGCAGTGTTGACTAACATTTTAAATAAGGCTAATAATTGTGTCTAGAATACATATTGGGGGGGGGTGCATTTTGTCTAAAAAAAAATAATTTAAGACCATGCCGGTGATTGCCTTGTTTATTTTCTAACAGCTCGATGACGAAGAGAAAAAGCTGAAAAAACCAAAACCAATTCAGGAGAAAAAAGGTAATCAAAATATCCCTGATAAATGTTCTTGTAAGAATTATCTAATAGGTCAGGGGTCGGCAACCTTTTGAAGTGGAAGAGCCAAAAGTTACAATTTTCAAAATTTCCCTGGTTTTAAAGAGCCACTAACTATTTTTTAATTTCAAATATTTTATTTTTTATTAAGATTATTAGTATTTGTTCAAGGAGCTGGAGAGCCGCATCTTGATATCAAAAGAGCCGCATGCGGCTCGCGAGCCGCAGGTTGCCGACCCCTGTAATAGGTAGTAAATTTTGGGTTTTTCTGAAATTATTCGTGTAAAATTGAATTTGTTTTAAAATGGAACAGGTTGTTCAACAATTGTTGAATGGAACTGATTCAACAGATGTTGAATAGAATTAGATTCCCCACCAATTAGCTGTTTACACACCTTCCCCTCCCCACCCTGAGAGTATGTCACTTCTGTTGATAACTCTTCTAACATGGTTCCCCACTAAATCATTGACACACACAAATGAATGAAACAAATTATTCCAGGTATTTCTCCTGTGGTCATGTTCCCCCACTAAATCATTGACCCACACAAATGAATGAAACAAATTATTCCAGGTATTTCTCCTGTGGTCATGTTTCCCCACTAAATCATTGACACACACAAATGAATGAAACAAATTATTCCAGGTATTTCTCCTGTGGTCATGTCCCCCCACTAAATCATTGACCCACACAAATGAATGAAACGAATTCTTCCAGGTATTTCTCCTGTGGTCATGTTACCCCACTAAATCATTGACACACACAAATGAATGAAACGAATTCTTCCAGGTATTTCTCCTGTGGTCATGTTCCCCCACTAAATCATTGACCCACACACATCAATCAAACAAATTATTCCAGGTATTTCTCCTGTGGTCATGTTTCCCCACTAAATCATTGACCCACACAAATGAATGAAACGAATTATTCCGGGTATTTCTCCTGTGGTCATGTTCCCCCACTAAATCATTGACCCACACACATCAATCAAACATTATTCCAGGTATTTCTCCTGTGGTCATGTTTCCCCACTAAATCATTGACCCACACAAATGAATGAAACGAATTATTCCAGGTATTTCTCCTGTGGTCATGTTCCCCCACTAAATCATTGACCCACACAAATGAACGAAACAAATTATTCCAGGTATTTCTCCTGTGGTCATGTTTCCCCACTAAATCATTGACCCACACAAATGAATGAAACGAATTATTCCAGGTATTTCTCCTGTGGTCATGTTCCCCCACTAAATCATTGACCCACACAAATGAACGAAACAAATTATTCCAGGTATTTCTCCTGTGGTCATGTTTCCCCACTAAATCATTGACCCACACAAATGAATGAAACGAATTATTCCAGGTATTTCTCCTGTGGTCATGTTTCCCCACTAAATCATTGACCCACACAAATGAATGAAACGAATTATTCCAGGTATTTCTCCTGTGGTCATGTTCCCCCACTAAATCATTGACCCACACAAATGAACGAAACAAATTATTCCAGGTATTTCTCCTGTGGTCATGTTTCCCCACTAAATCATTGACCCACACAAATGAATGAAACGAATTATTCCAGGTATTTCTCCTGTGGTCATGTTTCCCCACTAAATCATTGACCCACACAAATGAACGAAACAAATTATTCCAGGTATTTCTCCTGTGGTCATGTTCCCCCACTAAATCATTGACCCACACACATCAATCAAACAAATTATTCCAGGTATTTCTCCTGTGGTCATGTTCCCCCACTAAATCATTGACCCACACACATCAATCAAACAAATTATTCCAGGTATTTCTCCCGTGGCCGTCATGATTGTCCTGGGGGACGGGTTCCACAACTTCGCAGATGGCCTGGCCATTGGCGCCGCCTTTGCCAGTAGCACCTCCATAGGGGTCAGCACATCCATCGCAGTCCTGTGTCACGAGCTCCCACATGAGTTAGGTAGGGGCAGTCGTCTGTAAAGAGTAATTGTCTGTAGGGCAGTCCTTTGTAACAGACTTGCCATTTTCTTTTAACAGAACAGTTATTCATTTTAATTGCCATATGTAGGCCTAACTAAAAAAATCAGTTTCTGTCTATCACTGATCTGAAACAAACGCAACAAAATTTTTAAAATTCAGCTAAATTAAACCAAGTTTGTGACATTTTAAAAAATTCTGAGAGTTTTAAAAATTACATCTTTTAGTTTGAAGTTAAGTAGCAAAAATTAAATCTGCTCAAAACTCTTCACAGGGGACTTTGCAGTGCTCTTAAAGTCTGGCATGTCGTTTAAGAAGGCGCTAATTTTAAACTTCCTGTCTGCCTTCACGGCTTATGTTGGACTGTATGTGGGGATAGTGGCATCAACAAATGAAGTGGCTAAGGCCTGGATATTTTCTGTCACAGCCGGGATGTTTATGTACATATCATTGGTGGACTTGGTGAGGGGATTTTTATTTCACACACACGTCACACACAACATTACATACATGTCGCACAACACTACACACACGCCACACAACATTACACACACGCCACACAACATTACACACACACCACACAACATAACACACCTGCCACACATACACATGCCACACAACATTACATACACATCACACAACATTACATACATGCCACACATTACACACATCCAACAACATTACACACACATCACACATGTCACATAGCATTACACACACGCCACACATTACACACATCCAACAACATTACACACACATCACACAACATCACACACGGCACACAACATTACACACACCACTCACTTTTTGCACAACATCACACAACTTTATCTTTATTTTTCTACATACAACACGCTTTGTTTGATCAAGACAAAAGTAAAAATATTTCTTGAATGTTTTTAAAAAATTTGTTATTGAAAACTTTATCCTGACACCTCTACAGCTGCCTCTCCTGATTAACACCAAGAGCAGACTGGGGATTGTCCTCAACAACTTTGGGATTCTCCTGGGGTTCGCCATCATGCTGCTCATTGCTATTTTTGAAGAGTACATTAAAGTATGAGATTAAAAAATGTTCATACAGCACAAATTTGATGTCACAAAATTGTTGGAAAAATGTCATGCTAGGCTGCATAGAACTAGCGTTATGTTATGAAGAACAAAAGAATTTTTTAATGTTAATTGTTGATTTATACAACCATACAAAGAACTGTATACATCTTTGTGTCAATATTTTTATAATACTTATTAAAGATACCTGTCAATTTTTTTGGTTTGAACATGTAGGCCTAATTCCTCAAAAAAACTTTTTTCACAGCTGAATATTGTTAATATGTTTCCAATTTTTATAAAGTTTTTTAAGCTCAGGAATGTGAAGAAAGTTTAAAAATGATAAATATAACTTGAACAATTCTCTAACAACAACTGTGTCAAGGTGAGCATCATATTAAACTGACATGTCACCATGACCCACATTACTGTCAAAAAATTTATTGATTTCATCACTTATTGTAGCATCATCACAGTTCTCAATTACTGTAAAAAAAAAATTTTAAGCACTCCATATTTACAAGTACACACCTAACTACATGAAGCAATATGTTGGTACCCTCCTATCATTTTGATGCAAAATAAATTGTTTACAACTTTAAAAGTAAACTCTGGTGCATTTATTGAAATAGAGTATCCAGCCTTGACATTTTATTGTGGTCATTTTTGTGTGTGGGTTATCACTCAGCCAATCATAAACTTTTGTAATAAATGTAGTCAAGATTTAAAAAATTTAAAAATAGATCTAAACATAAACTTTTGTAATAAATGTAGTCAAGATTAAAAAATTTTAAAAATAGATCTAAATGAAACCCAATCATTAATTAGCTTACTTGTAAAGTGTGCAACTGTCTTCTTACACTTACAAACATTGTTAAATATTTATACAAAATGTAAATCTAATATTACTATGCTGACTCAAAATATTGCAATAATTTGTTTTTGATTGCATAATTTTTCATACTTTGAATAAAAATTTGAATGTATATATCTTTGATTCCTTTTGTAGTTTAATAATTCTGTAGACAATTTTTATCACAGGTTTCTTTTATCAAATTTGAACCTCCATATTATGGGTCAGTAGATATTTTTATGACAAAAGGACATCAGATAAAGTTCAGATATTTTGTTCAATCACCATTTAACTCAACACACCAACCATTTTAAGATTGAAGTTCTATCTTCTCAAAACAAAACAGAAAGTAATTAAACATCATTAAGATAATTGACTAATTAAGAGCTCAGCCAAAATTCGCTAAATGAGTTTGCTTATGAGGTTAGAGTAAAATGAAAACATCAGAAGTTTGAAACTAAACAGAAAGAGACAGATCAAAATATTATTATTAGGCTATAGGCCAATATAATAGAATGCTTACATTATTATTGTAATGCTGTAGTTTCAACTATTCTTATGTTTTTAGGAAAACGTGGTTAATAGGGTGGATTAATCCTAATTAAAAAAAATTCAGGTCCCAGATCTTTCATCTACACCTAAAATCCTAATCAACCATCCTCTACATATTAATTACTAATAATTCTGTAATAATAATGTAAATGTAATGTCAGGCAAATTCGGGATTAGCGCATATTTGAAATTTCAACTCCTTTTCTTGAGTATCATTTAATGCAGAAGTGCTCACATGTAACGTGCTTGTAAATGCTTGCTTTATCATTAACAACTGTCATTTTTCTTGTGTCCTTGATATTTTTCTCAAATAACAAGACACCATTCACGACATTTTTATTATTTTTTTTTGTTATGGTCAAAGTCATGGGGAGACAACAATGAAAATGTGTCATTTCTCAAGAACATTTTTTTACTTCCCCTAACTATATTTTGTTCTTTTAACGCCAAAATACATATTTTGATTTGCCATAAAGCTAAAACTAGTAAAACGTTTATTGAAAATTTATTTTTAAAATATACATTTCTATAGGAGGATTTTTATGGATATAGCTGTTTAAAAGAGAAGGATGATATGATCTCCCCTTTTTCCTATAACCTAATCCCTGACACCAAACAGGCAATTCAATAATTGCATTAAATAATTAAATAATAATAATTAAATAATTTCAAATTTCTGGTTTGATCAAATGTAAATTAACTACGTCACGCTATTTCATCAACGATTTTTACATCACTCTCTCCGTCATCACACATTGTCGCAAAAAGCTATAACCCCCCCCCCCCCCCCACACACACACCCCCTCTCAATCGACGTACCACCTCAGCTTATCACACCCATCAAAAACGTAAATATTGTTTTTCTAAAGCATTGATATATATATATATATATATATATATATATATATATATATATATATATATATATATAGGCCTTCAATTATAAATGAAAGTTTTTTGTGTTTATGCATTATTACACCTTTCAACCTATCGCTATGGTACTTTGGGGAGTTGATGATAATATTCCCGGGAAGTTTTTGCGAAAAAAACTAATTTAATTTCGGTCCCCAAGGGCTCTCAAGGGCCTCGTAGGACTCCATAATAAAATTTAAACCAGGAGTGATCTCCCCTAAACTTTCTCGAATATTCTAATATAACAATCCGGGGATGGCAACTCGGGACATAGACAATACTTTTAATCCATTTTTAATTACTTAAACTTTTTAATAATAGAGTAGAATCTCGTAAAAAAATAATTGCACACAAAGTGAATGCCAAATAAAATGTGCATAAAAGTGCGGGATATTATTAGTACTTTATAAATTCTCATGCGTTTTTTTTTTTTTTTGTTTTTTTTTTGAGAAATCAGAAATTACTCAAAATTTGATAGAAGGCAGAGGATTAGATTTTTTACTCACGTGTGAAATTTTATTTATCTATCAGAATTAATATAATACTTATATATGAATTTTCATCAACCTTGCTGTAACGGTTATCTTGTTTACACACATACACACACACACAGACATACGGACGAGATTGCAAAATTATGTTTTTCTGACTCAGGGAGCCCTAAAAAGTCGAGATTTGTTAAAATCTCGATTTTTTTTTTTTTTTTTTTTTTTTTTTTTTTTTTTTTTGCACGATTACAAGACTTTCTCTATAGTTCGTATATACGAGAAAGTAAAAAGGGAATTTTTTTTTAATTTTGAGTGATCAGAGGAGCTAATCATGCTTGAACTATTTTGCAAAAAATATTAACAAGGTTGTTTCCCTTTGTCCATAAAAAAATCTTCATCAAATTTAAAGCTATCAGGAAGGTTTCTGCGATTGAAAATCAATTTTGGAATATTTTTTTTTTAATTTTGAGTAATCAGAGGAGCTAATTATACTTGTTCCCCCAGAACACAATGACGCCTACATTCATTTAAAATAGCGCCATTCACAAGATGCACGGCGAGCTAACAAAATCATTAAGTGTAAAGTGTAACTACCGATAGCACCCCGCGTGGCCACTGGCACATAGATGGTCGCCGAGGAGTGTTCTATCTCATAAGGGTGATTAATGCATATCACTGTTTTCATGCAGCACACCCTGTGACGTATGGGCAGTAGAGTGGATATCCCCGCGCCAAAACTACCAGCCCTAAGATCCAAGAAATATAGCACGCCATGGCTTTGACAACATTTAAACAAAATGGTCACACGTCTAAAAATACGCGATTGGTAAAGTGTTGATGAAACCCTTAGGGGTCGTCCGTAAATGACGTCACACTCGAAGGAGGAGGGGGATCCGTACTTTTGTGACGGTGTGTAATGAGGAGGAGGCGGGGGGGGGGGGGGGGGTTAGATGGTGTGACGTCACACTTTTGCATTATAAAAAACAATGTTAGAAAATGAGTTTTAGCCTTTACTTCGCGTTTTAGAAAACGGTTGTAACAGGAATTGATCAAATACTCTATGTTGACAGAGTTCTGACAAGATTTTGGAAAAATAGCGATGTTTTATGAAAAATTCAACAGCAATTTTGAGGGGGGGGGGGTTGTAGGCTGAGATGTGACCTCATTTTAGGGGGGGGGTCTAACTTTTTGTGACGATGTGTAACGAAGGGGAGGGGGGGGGGAGGTAAAAATCGTCAAAAAAGCGTGACGTCATTTTTGCCACTCACGACGGGTACGTCGCTAGTCCTAACATAAACATTCTAAATCTATAAAACAGTTGACCTGGGTGTCGTTTGGCTTGTCATCTTAGTAGAAAACAAATAATCTTTATAAACGATATTAGATATTACATTTCCATTATAGATCTAGATCTACTCTACTAAGTAAGCGCATTAAAAATTTAAACCCAAGCATTTTTTTTATAGTTTTTTTTTTTTTTCAAATAGGGCCTAGATTCTCTAGATCTAGTCTAGATCTCTGGATCTGAAGTTTTGTTAGGTTTCGATATTTGGATTAACGTTGTTGGTAGGACTATTCAAGATGGCTGCCCACGAGCCTGGTGCTAAACAGATAGATGTTACAACGTTGCCGATTCCACATTTGAATCATTTATCTCAACAATTGGAACAGGTAATTCCCTTGTGGTTAATCCAGTACTTTTTATTTAGTTGAACCATTTTAAGTTAATGTTTTCAATATTGTTATTTTATATTCTTCCCAATCGCTGATCTACTAATCTACTCAGTCTGAGTCAGAGCTCAAAGTTTTTTACTTTTTTACTAGAATCTAGAATTCTAGATCTAATCTAGATTCTTAGAGTCTAGAGAGGAGTCCTTGAATACAGTGAATAGTCAGTACTCTCAGCACTGTAGTACAGTACTGTACTCAGTTGTTTGTATCCAATCACTAGAGCTACTTCTTCGCAAATTGACAACATTTTTTAAATCTAGATCTTAGGTTGAATTATGGATTTTTTAAAATAAAATATTCTGTTATTTCAAATACACCATTAAGTTCCTTACCCCTTAAGAGAACATTTGACACCACATTTAAATATCTAGCTTATTCGGTTGACGAGAAAAAAGAGAATTTGAAAATTTAGCTAGAATGGAAAATGAACGACAAAACAAGAATCTTGCTCCTGGACCGGCATAACATGACGCCGTGAACTTGTGTGCACGAGCTTTTAATTCCCGCCATGGTAATTGCGTCAGCTTAGGTCATTTACTCACCGGAAAATAACAAAAAGCAACTGGTTGATAATAAAACTTAGATCTAGTTATTTTATTATTTATTAAATTCTACTCTACATTTTATTCATACCATTTTAAGAAATAATGAACACCTACATAAATCAAACGACCATAATAAATATTTTTATTTCAAATTCTAATTTTAAATAATAAATATGCATAAAATAATATGATAGTAATAGTTAAGATAGTTTATAAATGCAAATACATTTTACACTCAATCACATTATATTGAGTCAACAGTGTGGCAGCTGAGGTTCATACATGGTATTAGTGTCTTTTTTTTTTTACATTACATTTTTTTCATCTTGAAAACATGACGTATGTGATTTTTTTTTTTCAAACATCGTCACTCGCGTGATTGCTTGCTTATGTTTACTATCCTGTGGATGAAAAATCCCACCACGGTCGCGGGGTCACCGTGACTTCAGCAGGCCTACAGTACACGTCATAGAATGAACACGCGTACACGAGATGGTCGGTGTCTTCACTTCTCTCCCCCCCCCCCCCCCCCTCCTCTTCTTCAAGCAAATTGAAAAAGAGACCTACTTCCCTACTTCTGGTCATTTTTTTTAGTTCGGTAATTTTTTTTTTTAAGTTCGGATATCAGGCATGCTAGACAGCCAGCTGTATAAAAAAAATATTTTTTAAACTAGATCTACGTCTAGCTTAAATAAAAAAAATAAATAAACGCTTAAAATGCCCGTAAACAGATTATTTAGCGCCAAAAAAAAGGCAGCTGAACGAGCATTTTTTACAATACGCAGCAATGAAAAAGGCTAACGGCCAATCAATTAAGTCTAAAAATCGCCCGTAATTAGGCCTAGCTCTGAAAAAGGCCACTGAACGAGCAACACTGATTATATAAACGAATAGGCCACGCGGCGTTGACGAGGTCAACCACCGGTCACGAATGCAGCAACGGTCGGCCCACAGTGAAGAAAAAATCAATATACTAATAAAATTACTAATACAATAATAATGTCTATAATTTTACTTTTTCCACACATGCTACAATTGATTTATAATTAAAATACTAGACTTAACAGTTCATTCCGTAAAAAACAAAAACTAGTTGTTTCAGTCTGGCAGCTAGCGTAACAATGACGTCATGATACTTAAAATAGCGGATAGAAATATCAGCGTGGGTACCTCATCCTCGAGGAAGATTTTAGAAAAAGTAATCAAAAATACTGTAAATATACATGATAAATATATCAATTATATATTAATGTACAGTTAGTCGAGCCGTTTTCCCCGTTAGTCGGTCGTTTTTGGCGGCGGTTCAGTTTTTACGGAGAGTGCTCCACTAGAAATCCTCTCATTATTTACAAACACGAATCTTGCGATTTTTTCTGGCATTCTAAGGCATATTATCCATTTTATTAGCAATTTGCATTAAAATAATGATGAGAATTTGCGATATAAACAGTTTTTTCATTTGTCGTGGATGGGACCCCTAAAATAAACGGAAAAACCGTCAGAAAACGATGCGTGACGTTTCAGGGTCAGAGGTCAATCCTGCCATCTAAGCAATGCGCCAGACTACTAGATCTCGATATCAATCTTAATTTAAATCCATCGAACGCTTAATAATTTGATGTTACAAGCTTTATTGGAGCTAAATTATTTTAATAATTTCATTAGGCCCTACTGTTGTTAGGAGAGACTAATCTATTTACTGTTGTTGATGGAATGTATGTTGACCATTTTTGATGTTATATGTTTAAACTACGGAAAGTATACAACACTAATGGTGTCACCTTCCAATTTTAGAATATGAAGAAATGAACTATTTAATTCAAATTAGATTTAGATCTACTTATCGTGAAGTTCGCTATACAATGTATATAATTTTCTCAGCCAAAACTAATAGTAATACACATTAGTTTAAAAAACAACATATATATTATTATATATGGCAGGAAACAGATTGGTACCGCAAAATGCATATTCGGTCTTCGCCGTTCATAAACTTTCTAACCAGACATCGTTCGGGGATTTTGTTTATACTGATAAATAGAGCAAGGTTTTTACAAGCTTCGTTAGCAACATTTTTGTGGAATTCGTCTTTATGACATTTTGTGCCGCGGCGAAGGATGCGAAGTATGCAAATCTAGACGGAATGGATCTACTTGGAAAGTACGTGTACTGCACTAATAAGGTAAGAAATAATATTTTGTAAAATAACTATTATTTTTTTATGGATTTGTCATTAGAAATGATTGCTGTAAATTATGAAAGTAAAAAAAAGTATATTTGAATGCGTTTTTTTCTTTAATTTGAACAAAATGACTGCCGAAAATTACGACACATCGGCGTCGCTGAAAGCGGGAATTTCAGTTAATTTTTTACAGATATAAAATTGTATTTTTTTACTCCGAAGCATGTATTTAAATAACAGTTAAGTTAAATCTATTTAATTCTGTAAAATATAATTATTATTTTGCCGTAGATACTTTTTAAAAATTTTTAATGATTTTCTGTCGCGGAAAATCGGTATTCGCACCATGCACGCACACGTAGTAAAACTAGACTTATCTTTAAAACACGAGAATCTTGAGTACACTGCGAATAACAAAGTTTTTAAATGTTAGTTTACTTTTGACTTTAAGCCATTTGTTTTAAATCGAAATTAATTGATAATGTAATTATTTCAAAGTAAAAACTTTCCGTCTCAAATTGGCTTCTAACCTTCGCCACTGAACCAGCCTACGCACGACATTCGCGCGAGTCTGTTTCTTCGCAATTAGTCTGTATAGTGTCGAGGGCTAATCCTAAAAAGAACCGAGTCCTCACTAATGTAATGTTTATTAAAATTAGGTACAATTGTTGGAACACATGAGAAAGAACAAATTTAAATGTCTTCAAATCTATAGCCAAAAGAAAGTAGAACTTTATAACTCTGTAAATTATGAATCGAGTGACGGCTGTCGTGAAAACGGGAGCCATTGTACTCTTTTTTTTTTTAGGGTGACCTACTTTTATTATATAAATTTAAAATTCGAAGATTTGATAAGCAGCTGAGTAGCTGAATACGCATGCGATATGGCTGGCACGTTTTGGGATAGGGATCGAGTACACCGTAGAAAATTTTTTTCTTAGAACTACGCGTATTTTTTTTTTAAATCAAAAGATACTTACATATTAGCTGTGGATTTCAATTTCATTACAGAACTAATCACTAACTTTAGTTTTTAAAAGTGATTTTGCTTCTAGATCTAGCGTATTTTCAAAATTACGTAGATTCTAGATCTAGATCGATTTTACTAACTATTTGACAAACGTGTCAGTAAAATGAGGTCACCGCTTCCAGATTCATTTTGTTCTATTATAAGTAGCATTAAAACTACTGCATCTATCATCAACATTGTTTTTATAGGCCAGTTCTAATGATACATTCTGTTCATTACCAATTCTAATGAAATCGTATCAGGCCCTAACTAACACCCTGTTCACTGACACCACACTATTTGAATGAGGCCACAGACAGTCGTAACTTTAAATTAATTTATAAAGTACTAAACAATTATAATTAGCCATGTAAATGCTGCAACTATAATAAAAATTGGCATATAGACATATTTTACTAATAATATTTTTTATATAGACCTTCTATATTTAACTCTGTTATTTTTTTCTTCCCCAGAGTGTTTTTAAAAGCCAGAATTTTGAACATTTTTTAAAGGGGATAGCGGTCGTTTTTTTTTTCAAGAATAATTATAGAAATAAGCTATAAACTGGTATATTTTGTAAAGTTTGACATAATTACAAATAAATTTATGCCTAAGTGACATTTCTGTGTAATTATATTGTTAATTTTGTGAATTTCGTGGATTTTAGACCTTACTACATTTAGATGTAAAAAAAAAATGTCATTTGGGTGAGTGTGGTTAATCTAAATTTTGAACGTGATGTAAATATCTAGTGCTATTAATTTTTATATTTTTGAATTCCTCGATTGTTAAGCAACAAAATTGATATATAATATGTCAATATTTGTTACTTTGAAAATTGGCGAAAATCGACCCTAAAATGTTTGAGAGTTGAATCTGTTTCCTGCCATATACCATTGAATTGCTGGGTTTTTAATGGAATCATTAGTCTCTTAACAGTGTGTGCATTTAATATGGTGTTGTGTTGACTATTAAGGTATATTTCAGTTTGGTTTAAATTTTTCTAATAGGTGTTAATATTATTTTAAATGTTTCAGATTTTTAGTTATTTCTTTGCTTTCTCACTAATATTGTTCAACATGTAGTAGTAAAGCACATATATTCATAAATATATTTTCCAAACAAGTAAAAAAAAATTAAAGTTTCCCTTTCAAACCTGACGGTCTATGGGACAAGGGAAGTAGAGTTCACTTGTTTCTGTGACCTCTGCATATGAAGAGATAATGTGGTCAGCACTATGCCCAGCCGCCTTTACTTTCCCTAATGTGAGTTAGGTACCCATCAGAGTTGGGTGGACTTAGGGATGGTCTACTGACTTGAACCCGGATTCAAACTCAAGACTTACGGTTTAGCAGTCCAGCTCTCTACCGCTAGACCACTCCGTCCCTAAACAAGTATAACATTAAAAAAATACATAAGTCTATAATTCACGTGAAGCGGATACCCATGGTTAATATACTATAAAGTCATTACCCAAAATTGTTTTTGAACCATACTTACATTATTTTTAAAAAATTATTTCTTTTTTAACAGGAAGTTGAGTTTCTGACAAATTCAATAAATCAGTTAAAAGTTGCCCAGGGAAAGTTTAATGAATCAGATGATGCAGTTTCACAACTTGGGGCATCTGGTGCTGACATACTAGTGCCACTTACAGCTTCTGTATCCTTTGAGATCAATGTTTGTTGTGTTACAGTCTTGCTTTAAATATTTGTACACTTGTGTATCAATGTTTGTGGTGTTACAGTCTTGCTTTAAATATTAGTACACTTGTGTATCAATGTTTGTTGTGTTACAGTCTTGCTTTAAATATTTGTACACTTGTGTATCAATGTTTGTTGTGTTACAGTATTGCTTTAAATATTAGTACACTTATGTATGGTCACAATGAGACTCTGATCAATGTTTGTTGTGTTACAATCTTGCTTTAAATATTAATACACTTGTGTATGCTCACATGCGTTTGATTTCTTGACCTAATTTTATAGATGTATGTACCTGGCAAACTTAGTGAAGATAATGATCTATTAATAGACATTGGAACTGGCTATTTTGTTTCTATGGTGGGTACTCATTTGTTTTAAAAAAAATTAATGTCTAAATAACTTTATTATTTATGGCACACTAAAATAAAACCCAATATTCTATTCTTACATTTGTTTTCACAGAGCAAAGTAAAGGCCCAAGATTTCTTCAAAAGGAAAATAGAATACTTAACGAAGAACATAGAGAAGGTCCAGCCCATTTTACAAGATAAATTTAGATCAAAGCAAGGTATGGTTTTATTTTTTGGTCAGTCTGAATACCCTCAGTTGTCCACTAATCATTTCTTAGAACTACTTATTTAATGTTGTATAGCTTTTTTATGAATGTTATTGATTTCAATTTCAGTTATCAATGAAGTTATGCAAGCAAAGATCCAAGCTCAGTTAGCTGCCATTCCTGCTGGAGCTAAAGCATAGAGTTTTCCACTCCAAGTTTTTTACTTGACCAGTATTGTTGGCTGCCATTTGAAACTATTTCTTTAAGGACTAGATTGTTTGAAAATATTTGCAGGGTTTAATTATTTCAAGCTTTATCATTTGGTCACCAGACAGATTTGTCTCATGATGGGTTGGCAAGCAACCAGTTAGCAAGTTCTGAAATTATCTAGTAAAGCTAATTACTGGTCTCATGATAGGTTGGCAAGCAACTAGTTAGCAAGTTCTAAAATTATCTAGTAAAGCTAATTACTTGTAAATAAACCTGATATATATTCCTAATGTGTGTGTGTGAGAGGTGCTTGGTCTATGTGTAGCTAATGCTGCTGCAAGTGGTTGTTTGACACTTTCCTCTGACTTAACTGACTTAACTTTTGTTTGTTGCAACAGTTTAGAACCTTGCTAACTAAATTAGGTACACTTACTGCCATTTTTCAAAATAAGCTCATTGATTACTGCCAATTTTTAAAATTTTAATTAAAAAAGTAACCAAAAGTTTTAATTAGAGGGAACAGAAATTTTAAAACCTGGTCAAGCAATGCATTGCTGGTTGTTTTCATGGGATGTTTTATATTTTAGAAGTTTTTCAAGATCAAATTTTTTTTCTTCCTTCCAATGCTTGCTGTCAGGACCTGTGACACAGTTTTCTACTTACACATATTGTGTATCTCTGACACGGTAAATAAAGAGGTGTATTAGGAGGAATTTGACTTTGTTTTCTTAATATGTCTGTGTCTTCTAATGTTGTAATCTAATATGTGCAGATAGTGCTAAACGGGGCGTCCATAAACAACTGACTTGCCTTGGGGTGGGGGTGTTCACTTGAGTGTGACATGGAGTGTCTAAACGGCAGCCAAATTAGAATGTTAGAAGTAGATTCTGGATTAGCCAACTCTCTGAGCTCAGCTGTTTGATGAGGCAACTTAATGAGATGATGAAACCAGTTTGATGTCAGTGCCAAATAGGTGAAGTAGAGTTCATGTTTCCAAAAACTCCAATACAACCAACACATTAAACTGCTATAGTAATAAGGTCTGGGTCTAACCTTTGTATGCTATATCAAAACAAACATGTCCTCTTTGCTGTGTAATCGATCCTGTTTTTGTACAGATGCTAATGGTATAGGACAGAGGATCTTTGGTTAGAGCTCCAGAAGGATAAAGGGCCCTTGAGATCTTTAATTAGTGGCAGCTGTTAAACCGCTCTATCATTCAACCCTGCGGTCCTAGGCAGCTTAATTCTTGTGGGCAGATTTTAACGCCGGTCAAATATTTGCATCTGTCTGAGGTTAGCAAACGATGTCAGCAAGATGACAGGACAATCTCACCTTGGCGTCACCACTGACGCAGTTCAGCACGCGCCCCACTGTGTCTGGGTTTAAACCCAGCTAACATTGTGTTTGAGCTTTGTCTAGATTTTCTTTTTTAAATTAAATTAAAACAAAAACCTTAACTCTAAGAGCCATAACACAAACAATTAAAAAATTAATTACATTTTTGTCAAGATTGAGTTTATTAATGAAACCATAATTGTAAGTAATGTAACACAATTTGTTTAACAACAAATATGAGGTCCGAATATGATCACGCCACTAACATGACGTCATTCTACAGCTTACATAGCCCACCCTTAATTGCATATATTGTTCTATTTTGGTAGGATACACTTATGGAAAAGTGTTTAAATTTGCAAAAAAATTTTAATTCCAAATTTTGTTTCGTGTTAAAAGTGTGACTTCACACTTTTGACCCTTATCACAGTATATTATGGCATAAAGTTTAAAATAAAAGTAGTACCAGAGGACCATTGCTGGTTACCAAACATATTAACGCTATAGAATGACCTTAAGTACAGGCCTACAAAAATGTAACAATTATATACAGATAGCAATGTATAAGAAATTATATTAAAAATGGAAATTAGTTATACATTTTAAAAAATGTCAATATATTTAAAGCAACCACTGTTGTTTGACTAAAAAAAAATCAATGTCATCGTCCTACTTGTATAAAAAGTCAATGATTGATGACAAATAAAATTACATCAAACAAAATGAATCAAATAAGCTTGTTTCTTACAAATAAATATTTATAAATCTAACCATTTGTTTAGATGGCACTTTTTTTACTTTATGTGACACATCATTTAACGTTCATACTCCCCCCCCCCCCCCCACATTTTTGTGTGTTAAAAAACAAGACTATCACCCCTACTTCTGTTAAAAAGTGACATTATATCACATGCGAACATCATGCAGACATTTATCCTCTGGCTTGTATTTTAGTTAAGAATTTATCTCACAACTTGTTTGTAATAAATATCAGATTTTGAATAAATCTCAGACAGTTTTTTTGACCTTGTTGTGGATGTCATATCCAACAAGGGAGAGAATTGGCCACACAGTAGCAGACAACATGAACAAAATACTGAGCACTGTCACAACAGAACTCTCTAGAACTATTGGTCCTGTCAGGCTACAGCAGACGTAGAGAGACAGGATGCAGCGCAGGAACTCCATTAGAGTGCTGAACTTTCTGGGGAGGAAAATAGAACAGCTATTTACCAAGTCAAACATTGGGGAGGAAAATAGAACAGCTACCTAGTTCAACAGTTTTTTTATGGGTAGAGAGGAGAGGAAAAGAAGGTACAAACAATAAATTTTTTAAATGATTTTAAAACTTCAACACAAAGGCCTACAAATACAAATGTGTTGTAAGTTACATTATATCTTAAAGTGATGTCTTAAATGATATGATAGAGACAAATAATTGACTTTCTACTGACCTGTGGTCATACATGGCTCCAAACACAGAGACAGAGAAAATAAAATAGGTCACGAATCCAACACTGGTTATGTACCCTAGTTTCTAAAAATAGTGACAAGATTTGGCATTAGTGTAAAAAAAAAATTTGAATCTTTAAAACTAAGATTTTGTTTCTATTGGTAAGAGATGTGAAATTATATTTAACTAACCAAAATATTTCAAATTAATAAGCTGACTTTATTTTTACATGATCAACTGTTAGAATAAGGAAAACAGAACTGACCTTCTTGTAGGAGGCTACAACGCTATAAAATGCTATGACTAGTGTGAAGTGTATCAAAACATATACATTGGCCCAGGTTGGGAGGTTGCTGTTGTATTTTCTAACAGGCTGCTCAACCTAGAAGAAGTAAATGTATAAAATAACATTTCAATAACCAGCTTTTAGGTAACAATGCACTAAAATGGAGAAATTAAATGATTTTCTTAAAATACATAGTAATGAACTACTACCTGAATAACTAAAATAAAAGCATGGGTTGCTTCTTAAATTCTAGTAACGGTATTCAATACATAATATAATATATAACGACCCATGCTTTTAGTTTAGTTATTTAAATAGTAGTTCATTATTATTTATTTACAGAAAATCATTCATATTCTCCTTTTTAGTGCATTGTTACATAAACGCTTGTTACTAAAAGATTTATGTATTTCTTAAAAAATCAACTAACCTGTGGGAGGTCCTCATACAGTCCCCTCCATGGTTTACCTGGCTCCCAGCCTGGTCCTTTAAAAACTGCCGATAGTTTGTTGGCCAGACCTTTGTGACTTCTCACAAGACCAAAGATGTACAAGTAGTGGTAGAACTGTCGACAAAAACTCATAGGTGTCACACTCTCTGGTAGGGGTGGGGGGGGGGGGGGTGTTATGTTATTAAAGAGGGTGAGGAGCGGGGTTAAGAATATATTTTGTGTCTTCACATTTTTGCTGATTTTAAAGTTGTTTTAAACTGAGTTTTGGTCATCATTTAGCATTCTTCAAAGATATATTTTACAGTGGCATAGCTAGGAGAGGGCGATGGGGTGGCTGACCCTAAGGGGGCGCCAGAACATCCTGTAATGTTACATGTTTCTTGGTAACTGTCTGCATCCATATGACAATAATGTTTCTTGACTTATGGGTGAGTGGGTGTAGAAATAAGTAGCAAAGGGACTTAATAGAGACATTTTTTCTTTATGATAGGGCCTACTTGTCCCCATGTGTATTCAAAGTTTAATAAAGTGATTAAAGATACAATAAAACATAAACTACATAAGAATAAAGTGTATTATAATACATTTTGAATGTTTTATGAAAATGTACTGCCATGTGTTGTATTGTATGGATAATTTTTCAATCAACGTTAAGTTGATGGGCGTCTCACCTGTCCGTAGACTGGGCTCCAGAAGGTGTTTGGGTGAACTAATCCGTAAACAACTTTCTCACCTTCAGCCTGGAATGTGTCTGGTGAAACAAAAGTTCACATACAAGAGTCTCACTAAGCTAACTAGGACAACAGTTGTAGGCACAACCCAGCTAACACAGTATGTAATACCAGGGTCGGCCCAACCTTGGCCCAATGTTGTAATCATGGCCAAACATTGGACAAGCTTACGCCAGGGTACAGCCAAGATTTGTACATGCTTGCATCCCTTGATACCTTGATATTTAACCGTTTTTACCTTGGCTGCCAAGATTACACTGATTTATGGATTCACTGCATAAATTTTAGTTAAATATGCTTGTTAAACTTAATATATGTTAACTAAAATTAATTTATCTTTTAATATCATGCTCTAATGTAAACATAGCATCAATAACAGACTACGTTGCATGTGTTAAACATTTTGTTAATCTTTTTAAAATTGTGTGCGCTACTGCCATGGCCCCCTGTCGCCCATTGTCCCTTTGTTCACATTCCTTCCTATTGTTCGCAAGCCAGCATCCCGGTCCTGCGCCATTTTTCTTAACAAAAGACTTTGTATCCAGTCACAGTAAAACAGGTAGGCCCACTGTAGCCATTTTAGTTCAACAGTGAGAAGTAGTATAACTGTATTTATGCAGAATCTGGAAAATTCGTATTTTTTTGTTGGAAACTTTAACTTTATGGGCCTAAGTCATCAAATAAAAGTTATAAAAGGTAGTTTATTTGAGGTAATAAAATGAGCCTAGATCTAGATCTAGTCTAGATCTATATATTAATAATACTAGAGTCTATATTCTGTTTATTTTGGCATTAGGCTATAATTACATTTTACAATAATCTCCTTTATGATAGATATAATAGATCTAGATTCTAATAATACTAAATAACTAAAAATCGTAATCAGAGGGCGGTTAATTTTGACAGCACTTTTTTTTGTATTGAAAAGTATGCAAGTACCAGAGGCGTAGCGACCCTTCCCGGCGCCCGGGGACATACTTTCAATTTGGCGCCCCCCTCGGGAGCAAATTTTCATTTGCACCCCCCCCCCTCGAACTTTTCATTTGCACCCCCCCCTCAAACTTTCGATTTGCACACCCCCTCGAACTTTTCATTTGCACCCCCCCCTCAAACTTTCGATTTGCACCCCCCCCCCCCTCGAACTTTTCATTTGCACCCCCCCCTCAAACTTTCAATTTGGCGCCCCCCCTAAGGTCGGCGCCCGGGGACATATGTCCCCCCCCCCGCCCCCCCTCGCTACGCCTCTGGCAAGTACGTTTGGGGTTATATTGATTATTGATAGATCGATGTATTTATTGGTTTTCAACTTTAGGTATAATTATCACGCACAGGGAAAGGGGGGAGGGGGCTTAAATGTTTATAAATTAATAAATAATCATTCACTTTAACTTTTTTAAAAACTTAATTTTATTGTTCTAGGCCTATTTGTGTAAGGATTTGAAACTGTCTTTATTAATTAATTCAGAGAGAGAGAGAGAGAGAGAGAGAGAGAGAGAGAGGAACAGTAGACACAATTATAGAACAAATTTCTACATGTTAAACAGTGTATTTTGATAGGTATTAATTTTGAAAAAAATTAGTCAACTAGAATTCTAAATTGATTCAAGATTGTCATTCAAATTTCTATTACTGTTACAGGTCCCTATGGGAGAATAAGATGTCATCATCATCACTCCTTTGTGGCCCCTGGGGAGCAAAGGGCTGCAACCACACATCTCCAGCGGACTTGGTTTTGGGCTGCTCCTCTAATCTGTGCCCATGAGAGCCCAGCTGTTTTCGCCTCCTCCTCAACCGTTCTCTTCCATGTTTTCCTTGGCCGGCCCACCCTCCTTTTTCCCTGGGGATTCCAGTCTAATGCATGTTTTGATGAATAAGATGTAAGTTGTGTAAATAGTAGTGTGGAGACCTCAGAGCAACACTTAATTTCATGACCAACAGCGATAAGATGGTACTATTAGTAAGCCATACTTAATGATCAACACTACTCATATTATCATATAGAGGACAGAGTAGGCAAATGGTTGAGGACACTATTGCTAAACATAAAGCCAAGTTAGTAGTACATTCATCAGTTCACCTAAGTCTGATATATACCCAATTTAAGACTATGAAATAAAAAAGGTGGCTAGATAATACTAGATATAGTGTTGACTACACAATCCTTTATATACAGAGATCAAATAAACAGAGATACTTAAAAATTAGTATCTAATCTGGCTATCATTTATTGTATCACTCACTCATTTTATTATTATATTTAATAACTAAGAATGCCATTTATTTTCAGGCCTTTCAGGTGTTGTGTATATCAATCAGCCCACTGGAGATATATCAATCTTTAATAAATTATAAGGTCCCCACTGCTTGATACTTCACCAAATACTGGCTACACCAGAAAATGACTAAATGTTCTTAACACTTAACAACTGTAAGTTTACATTGTTTCAAAGTGAATAATAATTTTCATTTAGTAATTTTTGCTTGCATGTATTGATCAGCATGTGTAGTTAATGCCTTTACTGATATTAGTAAAATAATTTCAGACCACAAGCATTACTTCTGGGTCACTCTGAAGGGTCTAATCGTTCAATTACTGAATTGATAAAGTTGATGAAATTGCTCAAAAATTGTCTGGCACCTTCTTAGCTCAGAGACATAGGGTAAGGGGTTTATAATATTTATATACATACTATTATTTTTTTTATTACCAGGTTTTTTTTTTCACTTTTGTTTATAAATATATATATATATATATATATATATATATATATATATATATATATATATATATATATATATATATATATATATATATATATAGATATATATATATATATATATGCAGTATAAGTGTTACCTGGGTAGCATGAACACCCCAGACCACCAGTCTTTATACCTATATAATATATCGTTACAAGGTAGCAAACATGATGTTAGGGGCTTCTTGTTGTATGTTCAGTGCAGTGCAAAATAAAATAAACATTATAAATTTAGTGCAAAATGAGCAGTGTATGGTTGTAATTATTTCATAAATGACTTTTAGTGTGTAACTTTTCTTTTTTAGAATGTGGATGGATTATGACATACCTTGCATAAATCAACAACCAGGGTTTTATTGGATTTGAATCCCAAAGGAAAGAGAAAGTTTGTTATCCAAAACAAACATGGAAAATATCAGAAACCAACAAAACACAAGCAGGCAGAGTGTTATGGACACAACTTTGGGGAATCTCCTAAAACCAAGTATAAAAATAGAGAGGTGTGGTTGTGTCTCTCAGCTCCACAAGGGTCCACAAGAATGAGGACAACATTGATTTTTGTAATAATTTTAGATCAGATTTAAAAAAAAAAATTTGATCAGATGGATCAGGTTAACAGTTTAATACATATTGCATTTAAGTGCTTAACGAAAAGAAAAGATGCTCTTACCAAAATAGTCTAAGAACAATGCTGATTTTAAATTAATAAATTGTTTCCTTTTGTAATAATATAATAATTTAAGTTGGCATTGTATGTATGTTTAGTGTAGATTTAATGCCCTAAATGAAATATACAATTGACATTTTTTTCTTTAAAGAATTAGTTGCAAATTCCTTTCATTATTTAGTTTCACTGTACAATCTGAAAAAAGCTTGCAACATTTGTATTGACAATACTTCTGCTGGTGATATTTATTTCTAATTAATGAAGTAAATTAATATATATTCAGTTTACTATAATTAAATACCTCATACTCGAGACAAAAAAACATTTATTAAATATCGCAGTGATATTCCTGTTCTACACAATGCGTATAAACCCTCGAACCATCTGTCTTTTGAAAGATTGCACATTTTGTATACACAATGGCATTCATTTCAACACTATTTAACCACAATTATAATCTAGAGATCCTGAACATATTTTCGTTCTGTTATTTATGGACAAGGCAGACTGGTCCAGCATTAAAATGTAAACCTTAATTAGAATACTTAAACGAGCTATGCAATTAAATGTTGTTAGACAAATATTTTATACTTTTTATTTTTAATGTTATGTTTACGTATCATAGTACAAGACAGCTTCTGTATTCTTGTACAGTAAATTAAGTTTTTACATTAGTTTAATTTAAACTGTAGGCCTGCTTAACATCTGTTACATTATATGAAAATGTTTTGTATATTTGTTTTAATTTGTTTGTATAAAAGTCAAAATGAAAGTTACTACACTATAATTTACTTATTCTTTTTCAATCAATACTTTATAGTATAGTTATAATTTTCTTACAATTGAATGGATGGTATAATACGGATTTTAATAGATGAGCAGTTCTTGTGTATGTATTGCTGCTTTACTACATTTTGATTAAAATTTCTTTCACATTTTGAAATTACCTTTGTAAATATTATGACTGATATGAGAATGGATCTTTTTGTATGCTAAAAATAAAAATTTGAGCCAAGATGTAGCCAGGATATAATACAGGCTGAGCCAAGGTATAGCCGAGATATAGCCATTATTGGGCCAAGATGTAGCCAGGATATAATACAGGATGAGCCAAGGTATAGCCAATATTGGGCCAAGATATAGCCATTATTGAGCCAAGATGTAGCCAATATTGGGCCAAGATGTAACCATGATATAGACAATATTGGGCCAAGATATAGCCAATATTGAGCCAAGATGTAGCCAATATTGGGCCAATATGTAGCCAGGATATAGCCAATGTTGGGCCAATATGTAGCCGGGATATAGCCAATATTTGGCCAAGATCTAGCCAATGTTGGGCCAATATGTAGCCGGGATATAGCCAATATTGTGCCAACATTGCGCCAACATCATGCCGAGTTTCACTACCAATGTTTCGCCAAGGTTAAGCCAATGTTGCACCAAGATGTAGCCAATATTGGTAACCAATGTTTAGCCAATATTGGGCCAATATATGTGTGCTGACTGGGAAGTTAGAAGATGATAGACCTACACCATATAGTGGAGGAACAACATATAGGCCTCCACCATATTTATAGTGGAGGAACAACATATACGCCTCCACCATATTTATAGTGGAGGAACAACATAAAGGCTTACACCATACAATAGAGGAACCACATAGATGATAAATGCAAATGTGTAGTCTACATATATAAGCCTAGTACCCTACAACATTTAAACACGAATATGTTAAAAATTATATGCAAGTTCTAGAATATATTCCAAATAAATTACAAAAGTCCAATAAAAAAATTTTTGGACTTGGAACGTCCAATACAAATTTTACAATACACATTTCACAGGTTTTATTTTTAAGTCTAAAACTTACTAAACATTCTATCCCATATGATAAGAGTTCCTGCATAATTTTTGTCAATGCAATAAGGATTTCTGCCATGGTGCACTCTGTGATGACTGGGAGTGTTTAGTATGTACTCCAGTGGTCCCAGGGTACTGACTACCTAAGGAAAGGACACAGTAACTTAGTATGTACTCCAGTGGTCCTAGGGTACTGACTACCTAAGGAAAGGACACAGTAACTTAGTATGTACTCCAGTGGACCTAGGGTACTGACTACCTAAGGAAAGGACACAGTAACTTAGTATGTACTCCAGTGGTCCCAGGGTACTGACTACCTAAGGAAAGGACACAGTAACTTAGTATGTACTCCAGTGGTCCTAGGGTGCTGACTACCTAAGGAAAGGACACAGTAACTTAGTATGTACTCCAGTGGTCCTAGGGTACTGACTACCTAAGGAAAGGACACAGTAACTTAGTATGTACTCCAGTGGTCCCAGGGTACTGACTACCTAAGGAAAGGACACAGTAACTTAGTATGTACTCCAGTGGTCCTAGGGTACTGACTACCTATGGAAAGGACACAGTAACTTAGTATGTACTCCAGTGGTCCTAGGGTACTGACTACCTAAGGAAAGGACACAGTAACTTAGTATGTACTCCAGTGGTCCTAGGGTGCTGACTACCTAAGGAAAGGACACAGTAACTTAGTATGTACTCCAATGGTCCTAGGGTACTGACTACCTAAGGAAAGGAAAAAGTAACTGAGAAGATTCATAACTTCGGAGACAAGGGGGGTAAGTATTGAAGTAACTAACAGAGTTGTCTGTAAAAATAGCTAAAGAAAATTAAGGACCATCACACACAAAATAATAAGGCCTAATTTTGTAAAATAAATAATTTTTAAAAATTGGAATAAAAAGCTTGTTAAAAATAAATGGAGGTTATTTTATTTTAAAATGTTTTGCAGAGAAGAAATTACCTACCTCTGTGTGTATCCAAAATTGATACAACAAATTAAATTGTTGGTGAACATAGAAGATGGATGGAGGGACGCAAAGCGCCATAGGTAGGTATAAAAACTGAGGATAATAACAATATTTTTAAGTTATTGAGGAAAGGTTCTTTATAGTAATGTTTTATATATATAACAAATGATGGGTGTATATAAATACATTATAAACCCACCATACTGTAGTATTTATCAACATCATCAAATTATCAACCCACTACAGTTCAATACAATGTAGTAAATGTAGTATTTATCAACTTGATCACATTATCAACCCACCATACTGTAGTATTAATCAACATCATCACATTAACAACCCACTACAATGTAGTATTTATCAACTTGATCACATTATCAACCCACCATACTGTAGTATTAATCAACATCATCACATTAACAACCCACTACAATGTAGTATTTATCAACATGATCACATTATCAACCCACTACAATGTAGTATTTATCAACATGATCACATTATCAACCCACTACAATGTAGTATTTATCAACATGATCACATTATCAACCCACTACACTGTAGTATTTATCAACATGATCACATTATCAACCCACTACAATGTAGTATTTATCAACATGATCACATTATCAACCCACTACACTGTAGTATTTATCAACATGATCACATTATCAACCCACTACAATGTAGTATTTATCAACATGATCACATTATCAACCCACTACACTGTAGTATTTATCAACATGATCACATTATCAACCCACTACAATGTAGTATTTATCAACATGATCACATTATCAACCCACTACAATGTAGTATTTATCAACATGATCACATTATCAACCCACTACACTGTAGTATTTATCAACATGATCACATTATCAACCCACTACAATGTAGTATTTATCAACATGATCACATTATCAACCCACTACAATGTAGTATTTATCAACATGATCACATTATCAACCCACTACACTGTAGTATTTATCAACATGATCACATTATCAACCCACTACAATGTAGTATTTATCAACATGATCACATTATCAACCCACTACAATGTAGTATTTATCAACATGATCACATTATCAACCCACTACAATGTAGTATTTATCAACATGATCACATTATCAACCTACCATACTGTAGTATTTCTGCATGAGAGATTGCCGTAATGCTGTTGTCAAATTATACTCTTCTGAGCTGTGGTGAACTTGGTGTGAAGCCCATACGATGTTACTCTCTGAAACATTCAAACAGTGAGTCATATATATGATGTTACTCTCTGAAATACTCAAACGGTGAGTCATATATATGATGTTACTCTCTGAAATACTCAAACGGTGAGTCATATATATGATGTTACTCTCTGAAATACTCAAATGGTGAGTCATACATACAATGTTACTCTCTGAAATACTCAAACGGTCAGTCATACATACAATGTTACTCTCTGAAATACTCAAACGGTGAGTCATATATATGATGTTACTCTCTGAAATACTCAAATGGTGAGTCATACATACAATGTTACTCTCTGAAATATTCAAACGGTCAGTCATACATACAATGTTACTCTCTGAAATATTCAAACGGTGAGTCATATATACAATGTTACTCTCTGAAATACTCAAACGGTCAGTCATACATACAATGTTACTCTCTGAAATACTCAAACGGTCAGTCATACATACAATGTTACTCTCTGAAATACTCAAATGGTCAGTCATACATACAATGTTACTCTCTGAAATACTCAAACGGTCATTCATATATATGATGTTACTCTCTGAAATATTCAAACGGTGAGTCATATATACAATGTTACTCTCTGAAATACTCAAACAGTCAGTCATACATACAATGTTACTCTCTGAAATACTCAAACAGTCAGTCATACATACAATGTTACTCTCTGAAATATTCAAACAGTCAGTCATACATACAATGTTACTCTCTGAAATACTCGAACGGTCAGTCATACATACAATGTTACTCTCTGAAATACTCAAACGGTCAGTCATACATACAATGTTACTCTCTGAAATATTCAAATGGTCAGTCATACATACAATGTTACTCTCTGAAATACTCAAATGGTCAGTCATACATACAATGTTACTCTCTGAAATACTCAAAAGGTCAGTCATACATACAATGTTACTCTCTGAAATACTCAAATGGTCAGTCATACATACAATGTTACTCTCTGAAATACTCAAATGGTCAGTCATACATACAATGTTACTCTCTGAAATATTCAAACAGTCAGTCATACATACAATGTTACTCTCTGAAATACTCAAACGGTCAGTCATACATACAATGTTACTCTCTGAAATACTCAAACGGTCAGTCATACATACAATGTTACTCTCTGAAATACTCAAATGGTCAGTCATACATACGATGTTACTCTCTGAAATATTCAAACGGTCAGTCATACATACAATGTTACTCTCTGAAATACTCAAATGGTCAGTCATACATACAATGTTACTCTCTGAAATACTCAAATGGTCAGTCATACATACAATGTTACTCTCTGAAATATTCAAACAGTCAGTCATACATACAATGTTACTCTCTGAAATACTCAAACAGTCAGTCATACATACAATGTTACTCTCTGAAATACTCAAACGGTCAGTCATACATACAATGTTACTCTCTGAAATACTCAAATGGTCAGTCATACATACAATGTTACTCTCTGAAATACTCAAATGGTCAGTCATACATACAATGTTACTCTCTGAAATATTCAAACAGTCAGTCATACATACAATGTTACTCTCTGAAATACTCAAACAGTCAGTCATACATACAATGTTACTCTCTGAAATACTCAAACGGTCAGTCATACATACAATGTTACTCTCTGAAATACTCAAACGGTCAGTCATACATACAATGTTACTCTCTGAAATACTCAAATGGTCAGTCATACATACGATGTTACTCTCTGAAATATTCAAACGGTCAGTCATACATACAATGTTACTCTCTGAAATACTCAAATGGTCAGTCATATATACGATGTTACTATATAAAACATTCAAACAGTCAGTCATACATACAATGTTACTCTCTGAAATATTCAAACAGTCAGTCATACATATAATGTTACTCTCTGAAATACTCAAACAGTCAGTCATACATACAATGTTACTCTCTGAAATATTCAAACAGTCAGTCATACATACAATGTTACTCTCTGAAATATTCAAACAGTCAGTCATACATACAATGTTACTCTCTGAAATACTCAAACAGTCAGTCATACATACGATGTTACTCTCTGAAATATTCAAACAGTCAGTCATACATACAATGTTACTCTCTGAAATACTCAAACAGTCAGTCATACATACAATGTTACTCTCTGAAATATTCAAACAGTCAGTCATACATACAATGTTACTCTCTGAAATACTCAAACAGTCAGTCATACATACAATGTTACTCTCTGAAATACTCAAAAGGTCAGTCATACATACAATGTTACTCTCTGAAATACTCAAACAGTCAGTCATACATACAATGTTACTCTCTGAAATACTCAAAAGGTCAGTCATACATACAATGTTACTCTCTGAAATACTCAAACAGTCAGTCATACATACAATGTTACTCTCTGAAATATTCAAACGGTCAGTCATACATACAATGTTACTCTCTGAAATACTCAAATGGTCAGTCATACATACAATGTTACTCTCTGAAATACTCAAAAGGTCAGTCATACATACAATGTTACTCTCTGAAATACTCAAACAGTCAGTCATACATACAATGTTACTCTCTGAAATATTCAAACAGTCAGTCATACATACAATGTTACTCTCTGAAATATTCAAACAGTCAGTTATATATACGATGTTACTCTCTGAAATATTCAAACAGTCAGTCATATATACGATGTTACTCTCTGAAATATTCAAACAGTCAGTCATATATACGATGTTACTCTCTGAAATATTCAAACAGTCAGTCATACATACAATGTTACTCTCTGAAATACTCAAATGGTCAGTCATACATACAATGTTACTCTCTGAAATACTCAAAAGGTCAGTCATACATACAATGTTACTCTCTGAAATACTCAAACAGTCAGTCATACATACAATGTTACTCTCTGAAATATTCAAACAGTCAGTCATACATACAATGTTACTCTCTGAAATACTCAAATGGTCAGTCATATATACGATGTTACTCTATAAAACATTCAAACAGTCAGTCATACATACAATGTTACTCTCTGAAATATTCAAACGGTCAGTCATATATACAATGTTACTCTCTGAAATACTCAAATGGTCAGTCATACATACAATGTTACTCTCTGAAATACTCAAATGGTCAGTCATACATACAATGTTACTCTCTGAAATATTCAAACAGTCAGTCATACATACAATGTTACTCTCTGAAATACTCAAACAGTCAGTCATACATACAATGTTACTCTCTGAAATACTCAAACGGTCAGTCATACATACAATGTTACTCTCTGAAATACTCAAACGGTCAGTCATACATACAATGTTACTCTCTGAAATACTCAAATGGTCAGTCATACATACGATGTTACTCTCTGAAATATTCAAACGGTCAGTCATACATACAATGTTACTCTCTGAAATACTCAAATGGTCAGTCATATATACGATGTTACTATATAAAACATTCAAACAGTCAGTCATACATACAATGTTACTCTCTGAAATATTCAAACAGTCAGTCATACATATAATGTTACTCTCTGAAATACTCAAACAGTCAGTCATACATACAATGTTACTCTCTGAAATATTCAAACAGTCAGTCATACATACAATGTTACTCTCTGAAATATTCAAACAGTCAGTCATACATACAATGTTACTCTCTGAAATACTCAAACAGTCAGTCATACATACGATGTTACTCTCTGAAATATTCAAACAGTCAGTCATACATACAATGTTACTCTCTGAAATACTCAAACAGTCAGTCATACATACAATGTTACTCTCTGAAATATTCAAACAGTCAGTCATACATACAATGTTACTCTCTGAAATACTCAAACAGTCAGTCATACATACAATGTTACTCTCTGAAATACTCAAAAGGTCAGTCATACATACAATGTTACTCTCTGAAATACTCAAACAGTCAGTCATACATACAATGTTACTCTCTGAAATACTCAAAAGGTCAGTCATACATACAATGTTACTCTCTGAAATACTCAAACAGTCAGTCATACATACAATGTTACTCTCTGAAATATTCAAACGGTCAGTCATACATACAATGTTACTCTCTGAAATACTCAAATGGTCAGTCATACATACAATGTTACTCTCTGAAATACTCAAAAGGTCAGTCATACATACAATGTTACTCTCTGAAATACTCAAACAGTCAGTCATACATACAATGTTACTCTCTGAAATATTCAAACAGTCAGTCATACATACAATGTTACTCTCTGAAATATTCAAACAGTCAGTTATATATACGATGTTACTCTCTGAAATATTCAAACAGTCAGTCATATATACGATGTTACTCTCTGAAATATTCAAACAGTCAGTCATATATACGATGTTACTCTCTGAAATATTCAAACAGTCAGTCATACATACAATGTTACTCTCTGAAATACTCAAATGGTCAGTCATACATACAATGTTACTCTCTGAAATACTCAAAAGGTCAGTCATACATACAATGTTACTCTCTGAAATACTCAAACAGTCAGTCATACATACAATGTTACTCTCTGAAATATTCAAACAGTCAGTCATACATACAATGTTACTCTCTGAAATACTCAAATGGTCAGTCATATATACGATGTTACTCTATAAAACATTCAAACAGTCAGTCATACATACAATGTTACTCTCTGAAATATTCAAACGGTCAGTCATATATACAATGTTACTCTCTGAAATACTCAAACGGTCAGTCATACATACAATGTTACTCTCTGAAATATTCAAACAGTCAGTCATATAACGATGTTACTCTCTGAAATATTCAAACAGTCAGTCATACATATGATGTTACTCTCTGAAATATTCAAACAGTCAGTCATACATACGATGTTACTCTCTGAAATATTCAAACGGTCAGTCATACATACAATGTTACTCTCTGAAATACTCAAATGGTCAGTCATACATACAATGTTACTCTCTGAAATACTCAAATGGTCAGTCATACATACAATGTTACTCTCTGAAATATTCAAACAGTCAGTCATACATACAATGTTACTCTCTGAAATATTCAAACGGTCAGTCATATATACAATGTTACTCTCTGAAATACTCAAACGGTCAGTCATACATACAATGTTACTCTCTGAAATATTCAAACAGTCAGTCATATAACGATGTTACTCTCTGAAATATTCAAACAGTCAGTCATACATATGATGTTACTCTCTGAAATATTCAAACAGTCAGTCATACATACGATGTTACTCTCTGAAATATTCAAACGGTCAGTCATACATACAATGTTACTCTCTGAAATACTCAAATGGTCAGTCATACATACAATGTTACTCTCTGAAATACTCAAATGGTCAGTCATACATACAATGTTACTCTCTGAAATATTCAAACAGTCAGTCATATATACAATGTTACTCTCTGAAATATTCAAACAGTCAGTCATACATACAATGTTACTCTCTGAAATACTCAAATGGTCAGTCATACATACAATGTTACTCTCTGAAATATTCAAACAGTCAGTCATATATACAATGTTACTCTCTGAAATATTCAAACAGTCAGTCAACTGATATTTTAGCACCAACAAAAAGCACAATGGGTTACATGACTTAGCTAGAGACATCAGTTTAGTCAACTTTCTCAAATTGTGTAGTTTAACAGCTACAAGAATGTGATATAATGTGTTTTGGATAGTTTACTTCAGCTTAAAACAAGAAAATTAGCTGTTGAGTCCACAGCAGGGACAATAGCTGTTCCAGGTAACTCAATCATGAACTGATAACTCAAGCATGAACTGAGGGGAGAGAAGTTTTTTCTCACCGTAACTCAAGCATCAACTGAAGGGAGAGAAGTTTTTTCTCACCGTGACTGAAGCGATGGAACCAGTAGTATAAGCAATCTGTAGCTAACATCCCCACGACCCATGTAAATGGACTGTTCCACGGGAGGTTGATAAAATGGAAGTTTTCGTAGATATAGATGTAGGTCACTAGTTCAATTGATCGGGAGATCAACCTATACGTCATCAAAATAAAACTGAGTTAAAGCGGGATTTGAATAATATTTGACATGCATTTGAAATATGTACGGATGTATCATAAGGTTTTCAGGACATATCTCAAGGTCGTCATGACATGTTAGTTATCAGGACTTTCTCAAGGTCGTCAGCATATTATCAAGGTCATCATGACAAGTCACAACATCATGACATGTCTCAATATCATTATGACATGTCTCAATATCATTATGACATGTCTCAAGAACATCATGTAACATCGTAAGGTCATTATGACATTTCTCAATAAAAATAGTTTGGTTTGGACGAGTTGATTAGTTTTTTCAAATCTAGCTACAAAATTAATTTAATCAGCATAATTTAGTAGTCAACCTAATTTAGCCCAGATTTAGCTTAGGTTTAGCCACCATGGCATTTAGTCCATATTTATCCTAGGTTTAGCCACAATTTTGCCAATATTTTGCCTAGGTTTAGCCACCATTTAGCCCATATTTTGCCTAGGTTTAGCCACAATCTAACCCATATTTTGCCTAGGTTTAGCCACCATTTGGCATAGGTTTAGCCACCATTTAGCCTAGAGTGATAAGTCGCTCACGCATGCATGGTAGAGAGCAGTCCATGCGTCATGCTGTTGACACCGTCGTTGATGCGCGGCAGATCCTTGCCTTGTACTTTCAGAATGACACACTCGAGTATGATCAGGATCGTGAAGTACGGCACAGCCTGGGGAAACAAAGACAATTTTTACAATCACGCGCTGCATCATGGGAAAAAATAGATAAACTGCTCCACAATGGTACTCCATTTTCCCACGTTTTCTTTAACTTGCCTTCGCGTCTGGTTTTCCAATCAAATATTGCGATCGAAATTTTGGGCCCTTCCCAGTTAGCTAGCGCGCTGAAATTTTCAGGGAAGCTTTGTTTCCGATGACAATGCAATATTCAATTGTTATTATTACTAAATTGATCCATGGAAACATTTTATTTATCATTTTAGACCCCTATATATTTGTACAAAAAAGGGACATAACCTAGTAATTGTAATTTGATATAAAACAAGGTTCGGTAATTTCCCTCTTGTGGCTTACTGAAGGAGAGCACGCAATTGGTTGAGTAGTGGTCACGCGGTGTTTGTGTACAAGCAACCAGAACGTAACAACTGGTGGCCAGTATGGGGGAGACGATATGGTCGAGTGGTTGGGCACACGATTGCTAACCCACTCGACACGGGTTCAAATCTATGTGTTCTAGTCAGTAACGTATTAACACAACAAAGCCATAACCCGCCCCTTATAAAAACAACGCTTCGTGTCTAACTTCCAACTTTTATTCCGTCTTAATTCTTTACACACAACAGACCAGCCCTCGTCCTAACCGCTATCAACTAACCCCTGACAATCATTCACTCCACCTTTTATACCGCATTCGACCTTGGGATAACAATACACAAACACACCGGGGTTACAACAGTACTTTCCCTCTTCTGGCTTACTGAAGGAGCAAGCACGCGATTGGCTGAGTAGTGGTCACGCGCAGAGTTTCTTCCAGGCATCTCTCCCCCCCGAAATTTTTTTACCGCCCCCCCCCCCCCCCGAACGAAATGAAATTTATATAATTTATATAGAAAATATATACTTTTAACAGTGTCCGCCCCCCCCCCCCCCGAAGAAAGTTTACCCCCCCCCCCCCCCGGATCGCTTGCATTATTGTGATGTATAGCATTTATTTTCTACTTTTTAGTTCAATCAGAAAACGTGGAGTTTTTTTTAACTTTTTTAATGATAATTATTTCATTTTCCTCCCGCAGTCATTTGGTTGTCAGGGCTGACATAAGATTTAGCAACAAAACGAGAACAAACCAGATTTATTGTGACGTACCTCACACAGATACTGACGTCATCAACAATGGTCTAACACTCATCTTAAAGAGAGGACGTAGGTTAATTGAAGGACGTACCTCGTGAATAATGGTCTCTAGTTGTGAGTTACAAATGGCCCTACCTCATCAAGTAGACCTTCCTCCTGATAGGGAGACCTACCTCATCAACGAGACCTACCTCATCAGAGAGACTTACCTTATCAACGAGACCTACCTCATCTACCTTATCAACGAGACCTACCTCATCTACCTCATCAACGAGACCTACCTCATCAACAAGACCTACCTCATCAACGAGACCTACTCCATCAACGAGACCTACTCCATCAACGGGACCTACCTCATCAACGTTACCTACCTCATCAACGGGACCTACTCCATCAACAAGACCTACCTCATCAACAAGACCTACCTCATCAAAGAGACCTACCTCATCAACGAGACCTACCCAATCAACGGGACCTACCTCATCAACGAGACCTACCTCATCAACGAGACCTACCTCACCAACGAGACCTACCTCATCAACGAGACCTACCTCATCTACCTCACCAACGAGACCTACCTCATCAACGAGACCTACCTCAACTACCTCATCAACGAGACCTACCTCATCTACCTCATCAACGAGACCTACCTCATCAACGAGACCTACGTCATCAACGAGACCTACCTCACCAACGAGACCTACCTCACCAACGAGACCTACCTCATCAACGAGACCTACCTCATCTACCTCATCAACGAGACCTACCTCATCAACGAGACCTACGTCATCAACGAGACCTACCTCACCAACGAGACCTACCTCATCAACGAGACCTACCTCATCTACCTCACCAACGAGACCTACCTCATCAACGAGACCTACCTCATCCACATAGTTCGGGACGTCATCAATGTCCTCAAATGACGTCTCGTTGGGCGTGACCAGGTAGAACATGGCCCTCAGGTTCTGGAGGTGTGGCCGTACGAACCGTGACGTCATGGTCACAGGTGTGCTACCCCAGCCAACCACTGAAAATACAGGCAACACGTGTGTCAGTCTTGTCCCTTTGCTCGTGCTAACACAAATCTTTGAACACCAGCCTAAGTTTGGGACTGAGCTCCCCTCTATAATTCACATCGGCACCGTGCTACAAAATACCGTGTAAAATATTGAGTGAAAAAAAACAACAACATCGATTTTGTTAGCCGTTAGTTAAACAACTAAAAACAAGATATTTCACGAAAACGTTTTTTTTAAATCCATAAATGTATCACACCTTGATTTTTTATGTGACAGATAATTTCACCAATAATTAGCGGCGGGCCCAAATGGACTTAAGTAATGTTTATCTGTCTGTATAAGCTATTTTGTTCTCAATTATTTTTTTTCTCATGAATCGATCGGATATTTTATCTATGTAATCGATCCTTTGTCCTGTTATCTGTCATATGCGATACTTTTCCTGATATTTGAAACTGTAACGTTACACATGTTATTGTGTGCACGTGCATCGTGTGCACGGCAACAGCTGTCAGCTGGTGGGTGTTTACATGCACGGCTACAGCTGGTGGGTGTTTACATGCACGGCTACAGCTGGTGGGTGTTTACATGCACGGCTACAGCTGGTGGGTGTCTACATGCACGGCTACAGCTGGTGGGTGTTTACATGCACGGCTACAGCTGGTGGGTGTCTACATGCACGGCTACAGCTGTTGGATGTCTCACAGCTACAGCTGGTGGGTGTCTACATGCACGGCTACAGCTGTTGGATGTCTCACAGCTACAGCTGGTGGGTGTCTACATGCACGGCTACAGCTGTTGAATGTCTCACAGCTACAGCTGGTGGGTGTCTACATGCACGGCTACAGCTGTTGAATGTCTCACAGCTACAGCTGGTGGGTGTCTACATGCACGGCTACAGCTGTTGGATGTCTCACAGCTACAGCTGGTGGGTGTCTACATGCACGGCTACTGCTGTTGAATGTCTCACAGCTACAGCTGGTGGGTGTCTCGCAGCTACAGCTGGTGGGTGTCCAATATTATCCGGAGAGAAAAACGATTTAGTCACCGAAGCAGTCTGGAATTTCATACTTTTTTTTTCTGGTTGGATGTTTCTTTTCAAATCGGAATACCATTCTAAGTTTAAAAATTACGCCCGTATGCCCCCTCACCCCCTTAAGGTGTGGTGTCATTCAGATAGCCACTATATGCATTGTCCCCCCCCCCCCCCGTCCTGGTTTCTTAATGAGATAAATGGTGGTAGATGCTGACAGTGACTATAATTGTTGACGTAGCGTTTAATTAAAATGACACAAATTATTGGTCAGCTACGCCGCCCTGAGTCTGACCAAGTTCAGGGGATGTGAATTTGATCGACAATCACTGCAGTGTGTTGTAACTGTCTAGCGCTAGGTGACACGCTCACGTGACCTTACACACTCGCGACACAGTGATTGTGAACACACCAGACTGTTAATAAAATGACGGTTGTGTACAATATCATTATGTAGGCCATGTGTTTGTGCGCATACAATGGATATGCATACGGATAGGTCTTTAGACTACACACACACATAATATATAAATATATATATATAGGCTATTGATTTTATTTGGCCTATATATATATATGTGTGTGTGTATATATATATATATATATATATATATATATATATATATATATATATATGCCTATATTGTAGGCTATACGTATGCAATAATTTTACCTTTATTTATTGATGAATGGAATCCAATCGAATTCTCCTGAACGTCGGCCGAATGTTTACCCTCCAAAGACAAGCCACATGTCACAAACTGGGCTACAGATCCACGCGGGATCAAGGTTCACCAAACAACCTATCGGCACCTGTTTTATGGACCAGGAACTACTTCACTGACCTTCCTAATGACAACACTGTCATCAGCTATTGCCACATTCTTTCCAGTGTCTTGCTGGATTTTATACCCATCCTAAGATTCTTTTCATACAAAAAAAAAAAAAGAATATTCCAGAACTTAACGTTTGAAATCTTCACGCAGCTTTATTAAGTGCGCTTTATTCATTGCGACACCTTTTATTGCTTTTAATAGGGAGTGGGGGTTAGCGTAATAGGGGTCGTCCACAAATGACGTCACACTCGTAGGGGGGAGGGGGTCCGTAATTTTGTGACAATTTGTGATGGGGGGGGGGGGGGGGGTTGGGGTTCAGATGATGTGATGTCACTTTTTTGCATTATATAAATGCAATGTTAGAAAACGAGTTTTAGCCGTTATTTCGCGTTTTAGAAAACGGTTTAAATAAATTGTAGGAATTGATCAAAATACTCTGTTAACAGAGTTCTGACAAATATCGATGTTTTAAGAAACATTCAAAAGCAATTTTGAGGGGGGGGGGGGTGTAGGCTGAGGTGTGACGTTTTAGGGGGGGGGGGTCTGGCTTTTTGTGACGTGTGACAATGGGGAGGTAAAAATCGCCAAAGAAAGCGTGACGTCATTTTTGGTTGAGCCCATAAAACTTTCACAACCAATTGTTTTTAATTAGAGTTTATTTATATTTGATTAAATCTTTTACTCTTGAAGTTTTTGTTAAATATAGGCTGGATAAAGACAATACATTTCCAATGAATACTTGATTTTTACTTTTGATTATTTTTATCTCACTATGGGCGACTTGATCACAAAATAGTTAGATCTGTGTGTTTTAAAGTGCTAGACTCGCGATATAGATCTAGGCTAGTTATTGGTCAAAGTCACAGACGAAATAATCAAATTATAGCCTGATAAGCGCTGTGATGGGTTCATCAACGTGTTATCTGATTGGCTCTGATCGGGGTTATCTGGGCCTACATCTTAAAACGTTTTAGCAAACAAATATTACGTGCTCAGATTGTCGGAAGCGGACACTTACACACAAAGACTAGACCTAAACCGCATCAACACAAGTAGGCCCTATAGCCCTATAGTACACAACATCAACACAAAATTTGAAAATGGGCCTACATACATCATCAACGCAATTGAATATAGATAGGCCTACACAACATCAATTCATGCTTTCACGACATCATCACAGGCAATCACAACATACATATTACTACATAGCCTAACATAACACAACAGACAAGCACACCATTCATATGTGTAACTGTAATTCATAAGTAACACGACTAACTAACAGTAACAGCAGATCAGAGACCTGAGGAGCGGTCTACTCTAGAGATTTAAATTTTTTAGCGCAATTTCCATTCTGGAGAATTGCGTTTATTAACGCGTCATTTCTGGATGGATGGATGGATGAATGTATGGATGAATGTGTGTCCGGGCTTTAAGTCGTATCTCCTCCTCAACGAAGCAATATCGATGACTAGTTCCAAAAGCAATTATGTTAAGCAAGTTACAAGAATGAGCATAGGCCATAAAAATTCCGGGTTTCTTTCATGTATTTCCCGGAAAAGCCAAAAAACCTCGAAAAAAAGCAGTTTTTGGCCCATATCTCGTCAACCAGACCACTTAGCGACTTGAAACATGTACCAATCGATTCCTGCCATAATTTAGAGCAATATTGCCGAAGAAAGTTTTCAAAAATATCCTCTCGTTTGGTCACAAATTTTAAAATTACAAAAACACCTACAAACCGATTGTTCTTCTAGCTTGAACGCATCCCAGCATTATACGTCAGAGCTATTTTTAGATAACATAAGGAAATTGCGCATAAATGTCACTAGACTTTTTTAATTAACTTGTTTTATTAAAAACCAAAGAAACATAATAATACTAGATCTAGTACTAGATTTAGCTTTAATTAGAAATGGAATGTAAATAAGTTATTTTTTTTTAATTCGCTAGGGCCTATAGGCCTACACTGTTCACATTGTGTGCTGCACAGCACTAGGTCTAACACGATCACTCGACAACACACTAGGCCTAGGCTACACACTCGTTTACTGTTTGGCTAAAACAGTTGTCTAGCCTAACGTATCCTCACAAGTTGAAGAGTTGGTAAGCTAAAAAAAAATATTAAACTTAAACATCTGATAATGAAAATCGACGCGTCTGCTGTGCCAATATTTCTTGGTTAAATGACGTAGATTCTATAAAAATATTACAAACATTAAATACAGAAATAATTAAGGTAAATTTATGTTAGATCTATTTTGATACGGTTCTGGGACAGAGGGCTGCCCTCAATGTCGACAATGTTCTTAACAGAGTTCAGTAGAGTAAAAACTAAAAAATAATACTAGATTCTAATAGACGTACCTGTTATCGATAGGCATATTTTAGCACTAACTAAAAAAAACCCGTCGTAACTAGAATCTAGTACTAGCTAGGAGTCTAGACTCCAGCTAGACTAATAGGCCTATAGATTTAGTATATTACTATTATGTAATGTACTTTTAACTTTATTGTAGTATAAATGTAGGACTGTCAAAACTACAAAAGTGACCAAAGTTTAGGGTAAAGGAGGGCGTTAAGAGCTGTGTGGTATTAAGCCCCAATCAACACCCCACCCCCACAAAACCCCCAATAACTCTGCTAATCTTCTTCTGAGGTAACAACAACTGCTGTTCTTTGATAACAGAGAAGCAGAGGATTCATTTTATGTAATTTATGACCCACTTGGTCCAATAGGGAGAGGATGAGACAGGATTTAATCCCACTGCTCTTTCCCTAAAATTTCTCATCTCCATAAAACCATTTTGTGAACTTTTTTTCCAAATAGACATAACTTGGGAAACTTCACTTTGTAATAAACCAAATGAGTTTTTCAAGCCCATTCTTTGTTCCTGTATTAGAGCATTGGTTGTTGTACATTTTAACACTATTTTTATAGCTATGGCTAGAATAGTTTTATTTTGGTGAATTTTTTTTGCACAGTGATTATTGGTGCCAAAACAAAATGGTCGACATTTGTCCCATTTTACCATGCTATAAAGTTTTTATCATTATCAGAGTAAAACTTGACTGATCATTACCATAATGGTTTTATTTGTTAGATAATAACTAAATCTACATGAGTACATTAATTTTGTCCACTAGCTTGCCTGTTCAGAAAAGTTATAACAGATACTGTTATGTGGCTCTTGAAACCCTATGTGCAAGTTTCTCATTTATTAGACCACTGAATATGACACTGGTATAGGAATAGTTAACACAAAATGTATAAATTGTTAAACAGACTTGTGTCTAAATGATAGAAATACAATTCTAACCTGATAAAAAGTAAAAATTCAGCCATCTTATGTTAGCCAGGTAATTTTTTAAATGGTACACATACTTATTACCCCTAAGGGGCAATACAGCCGACTCAGCCCCTACCTGTTTCTAACCAACCATAAAACTTCTAAACTCTTTGTAGGTAACAGGAATAAATGTTCTTAGGTCTCAGCCAATCTGGGGTGGTATGTTATGTAATTTATGACCCTCATGGTCCAGCAGGGAAGTAAACAGACCACTGCTTCCCCCCCCCCCCCCCCGTGTACAATTTCTTACCCCCATGATACCCAGCCCCCACCAGTTTCTGGCCCACCATAAAACTTCATCTCTTTGTAGGTAACATGGATTACAGTTACAGATCTCAGACAATCTGGGGTGGCATGATGTTATGTAATATATGACCTTCATGGTCTAGCAGGGTGGAGACCAAAGAGGAATCAGTACCACTGCTCTCCCCTCACAATTTCTCACCTCCATGATAGCCAGACCCCATCTGTATCTAACCCACCATAAAACTTCATCTTTTTGTAGGTAACATGGACTAAGTTCTTAGATCTCAGCCAATCAGAGATAGCATCTCCTTATGTAATTTATGGCCCTCAGGGTCCAGCAAGGAGAAAAAAGGGGAAACCAGTACCACTGCTCTCCCCTCACAATTTCTCACCCCCATGATACCCAGCCCCCACCTGTATCTAACCCACCATAAAACTTCATCTCTTTGTAGGTAGCATGGACTTAGTTCTTAGATCTCAGCCAACCAGAGATAGCATCTCCTTATGTAATTTATGGCCCTCAGGGTCCAGCAAGGAGAACAAAGGGGAAACCAGTACAACTGCTCTCCCCTCAACATTTCTCACCTCCATGTCATGTTATGTAATGTATAGCACACATGGCTTATCAGGGGAAAGCATTAAGGCAGATTAGTTAGTACCACCCCTTTTTACATACAAGAATGTTAAATCTGGACAGCTACACACTAGTATACTAGCTACACACTAGGCATACTAATGTGCCTACTGTAAACTACTAGACTGTAGGCCCTATGTAGTATGTACACCTGCAATTGTATCAATTGTAGACTGGGCCCATTGGGGCCTAGTGATAGCTAGTATCAGTTAAAGTGTGTGTACACAGCATTAACTATTTTGGGGTTAGAAATTAATTATTTTTAATGCGGAGTTAGTCTAAACTAGGAGATAATACTTATTGCCCCATTGCCCGGCTCCTTTCGCCCCAAATGCTGATTTTGGGGGTATGACAATAAATGTTCAATTAAACCCATTTAAAGTATATTTAATAGACTTTGTTATTATTTTTATATTATGTAAGATATGTTAGAATAATTTTGCCATATTTTCAATACTAAAAAATTCTTAGATTAGTAGAAATCTTTAAAAATGTACAGGTGCTAAAAAGTGTGGCTCTTAACGCCCTCCTTTACCCTAACAGTTTAACTAAGAGGCCTAAGCCTAACTAAACTAGTATGGTCATTAGTTACTATAGTTAGGCCCCTCCTAGTCATCATTAATAAGCCATTTTATTTTCACAATCATTCAAATTAAGCCCTAGCCAATTCTTTTCACTTTACACTGGATCTATCTACTATCTATCTATTAGGCCTATAATCTAAATTCTAAATCTTTCCATAGGCTCTCCCCCTACTGACCTACTAAATCTACTATTATTTAAGTATTATTTATAAGGCCTAGGCCTAACTAGATCTAATTATTTGACCTAGGCCTAATTATTTAAAGTAAAAATGTAGACCTATGTCCATTTACTTAAGATTACCTACTATAAATATTATATAGTATATAGGCATTTATTTAACTATATTCTTACTAATCTTGTTTAATAAAATGATGTGCTAATGTAGGTCTCACGGCCTGTGATTTGAAAAGCAATGAACCGTTCTGTGAAAACTCAAGGCATCAAAACAACCAAACTGCAAAGTCTTGCCAAGGAGGAGACATTTTGTAAGTACGCTCACAGAAGATGCATGCAGAATTGTGTGGATGGCTACGACTATTGTATTCGCCACATCCTGGAGGACAAGGCTGCACCATTTAAGCAGTGTACCTACATGACCAAATCAGGGAAGAGGTGTGGTACTGCTGCCCCCAAACATGAAAGAAAAGACGGGTAAGTTGGTTCATTCAGCTCTGTAGAGTAGAAAACAATTTTTCATTTATGTAGTCATGATAATTAATAATAGAAAACTCTTCTTGACTATCAATTAGGCTTTATAGGCCAGGATTTTATTTTATATTCCGAAAATTAACTCAAAATTTTCAAAATTAGCTACAAGTATAACTGGGGGAAGGGTGTGGTAGACAATAGAGCTTACGTCTGCTAAACTGAAAGTCTGTTAGGGAAGTGAAGGCGGCTGGGCATAGTGCTGACCACACTATCCCTAGAATGCCAAGTAAAAATCTAGAATTGTATTTAACTTGCTGTAAATTATTGTTTTAACTATAGTGATTTTTATTGTTGTATGACCTGTTAAAATATTAAAACATTATTTTATAGTTATTGCACAGAGCATGCTAAAAAGGCTTTTATTACACGACAACGGCTGTCTCGAAAGCGCAGACCAAAAGAAAGTACAGAGACATTACTGGACGAGCTGACTACAGTGAATTCAGGGACCACGGATGTGCACACTAATGAGAACAGAAGAAGCAAGGCACACAGTGACAGCATAGCCAGTAAAGCACTGGGTCAGTCCTGGGTTTTAAGACAGGCTGGAATTGTCTAAATGTTGAGATAAATTTAAAAATCTTTATTACAATAAGAGTACCATTATTGTGTAGCTATCATTTTAAAGAATTCTGTAGATTTGAATAAAACTGTAATACAACCCACATCTAACAGAGTATGCCAGCTCTAGTGACTCTGAAGCGGAGGCTCTGTTGGTTGAAAAAACCTGGCGAGATCCCGGAGACAGTGACGCTGAGAGTATTGACAGCGACCAGGAAGACATGCTCAAGTCAGTTGTTTGAGATTTTGGGGGTTCATTTCATAAGTCAGTTGTTTGAGATACTCAGTCATTTCATAAGTCAGTTGTTTGAGATACTCAGGTTTTGGGGGTTCATTTCATAAGTCAGTTGTTTGAGATACTCAGGCTATGGGGGTTCATTTCATAAGTCAGTTGTTTGAGATACTCAGGCTTTGGGGGTTCATTTCATAAGTCAGTTGTTTGAGATACTCAGGCTTTGGGGGTTCATTTCATAAGTCAGTTGTTTGAGATACTCAGGCTATGGGGGTTCATTTCATAAGTCAGTTGTTTGAGATACTCAGGCTTTGGGGGTTCATTTCATAAGTCAGTTGTTTGAGATACTCAGGCTATGGGGGTTCATTTCATAAGTCAGTTGTTTGAGATACTCAGGCTTTGGGGGTTTATTTCATAAGTCAGTTGTTTGAGATACTCAGGCTATGGGGGTTCATTTCATAAGTCAGTTGTTTGAGATACTCAGGCTATGGGGGTTCATTTCATAAGTCAGTTGTTTGAGATACTCAGGCTTTGGGGGTTTATTTCATAAGTCAGTTGTTTGAGTAATTTTTTTGGGTTCATTTCATAAGTCAGTTGTTTGAGTAATTTTTTTGGGTTCATTTCATAAGTCAGTTGTTTGAGATATTTAGACTGGTCATTGTGGGGGTATATTTTAAAAGGTGGGGGAACATTTCATGAACTGTTTAAATTGATATGAACTAAGATGTAACCTGATTCCTCAGATATGAGCTAAGATGTAAACTGATTCCTCAGATATGCAGGTATCTACACCACAGAGGAAGTGGCTCAAATACTGAGAGACAAACTGATACGCCTACAGACATTGTATATTGATCAGTTTAAACGACTGAAACATGTTCTGCTCAGTAAAAGGAGACAATATTTGCAAGCCTATAAAGTTGAGAAGGAAACATTAGGTACAAGATTTTTTAAATTTAAAAATTTGTTTGTGAAAAGATTAGATAGGTCTATAAAATTTAGAAAAATGTGTTTTCTTTCACCACCTGCTTTTTTTTTGTAAAAACTGAGTTATTTCTCCTATGGTATTCTCTTAGTTGTATACCTAGAGTATGTGTATCATTTAAACATCAGAATATGTTACATTTGCTTCCATTTTTATTTTGGATAACTTTCCAATAGGAAAGAGAAAAAATGTCATCAGCTTGTAGAAATGCATTAACCTTCATAAATCTTGGCAGTTCAATAACTGGAACATTGAGCATGCCAATATTTCAGACCACCCTGTTCTATTTGGATTTTTCAGAAGAAATTTCAAAAGGTTTTTCTATAGCTGATGCATTAGTTAAGTGTGAGGGGATGCTGATCACAGTAGTCGATCATCACATCAAGACAAAGGCTAACTCCTTTAATACATTTTGAAATGAGAAGAGAGGTTTAAAGGTCATGCTTTGTAAACAAGATAACATGAAGCCTAAAAAAAAATTCATAAAAAACGTTTTAATAACAAGCTTTTGTGTAATAATGCACTAAAAAGTAGAAAATAAATTATACACTATTATTTAAATTACTATAAAGAAAAGCGTGGGTCTCTTCTCAAATATTAGTAAAGGTATCCAATCGGTACTAAAGTGACCCACGCTTTTCTTTATAGTAATTTAAATAATAGTGTATAATTTATTTTCTACTTTTTAGTGCATTATTACATAAAAGCTTGTTATTAAAACGTTTTTTATGAATTTTTTCTCAGTACTTTACATGTTTTATTTACAATAGAGTTACATGACTAAAAACCATTGCGCGCCTACTGAACGTGATGGCGCAGCTATTGAACGTACCGTGATGGCGCAGCTATTGAACGTGATGACGCGTGTGGTGTGGTTGGCTAGACATGCCTAATAATTCGGTCCAAATTTTAATTAATAAAAAATAAATTAGGCATCCAATTAAGTCAAATTTAGTTTCAGATTGCATTGTCTTCATGTCTTGACCCACGTGCCAACTGTGAATCGTATCGGTCAAGTAGAACTGTCCGAATTTTCACTCCTGCGTTTCTATCTAGACTGACGACAGACAGAATGACGAGGAAGTGAGTTAAATAAAAGCTTGTAAAAAAATAGCAAACTTTAGCAGACAGTGATGTATGTGACACCCACCTAGTTTCACAGTTGTCACTGACACCACATAGTGTGACAGTTGTCACTGACACCACCTATTTTCACAGTTGTCACTGACACCACCTAACTACCATGTCTACCTACCATGTCTACAGGGAGCATCAAGTTGTATAAGAACGATCTCTTTATATTTCCTGTCTACAGGGAGCATCAAGTTGTATAAGAATGATCTCTTTATATTTCCTGTCTACAGGGAGCATCAAGTTGTATAAGAATGATCCCTTTACATTTCCTGTCTACAGGGAGCATTAAGTTGTATAAGAATGATCCCTTTATATTTCCTGTCTACAGGGAGCATCAAGTTGTATAAGAATGATCCCTTCCAGAAAGACAAGTATGACAAGTTGTGTGCTTTGAAACGCTATCACAAAAAATTTGGAAAAGTAAGTGCCTTTAGGTGTTTACATGCAAATGCTTTATGTATTAGGGTGTAAGTAGTACAAGATTCAATGCTGCATGTTTAAAATAAATAAAGTATCTGGATTCAGTACTAACAGAACTTTGGCTTTAAATTGCATTTAAATAATTAATCTGACGGATGCATTTTAAAAGTGTTTCCCCGTGACTTTTAAAATCTCATCGCTGTTACAAATTTACAGTGATCTGATGTTATCGTCATCTCACTGTTACAGTAATCTGATCATCATCTCTCCAGATATCATCTCACTGTTACAGTGATTTGATATTATCTCACCATTACAGTGATCTGATATCATTTCACTGTTCCAGTGATCTGATATGATCATCTCACTGTCCCAGTGATTTGATGTGATCATCTCACTATAAAAGTGATCTTATGTGATCATCATCTCACTGTTACAGTGATCTGATATGATTATCTCACTGTTCCAGTGATTTGATGCTACCATCCCACTTACATTGATCTGATGCTGTCAACTTGGTTAAAAAGTTTTCATCTAACCCACAGGAAGCCTTGTTACAAAAGCAGTCCACTGAGCGACGCATGCAGTCTACTGATGAGGCAAACTACACACCGCCACATTTTGTCAAATGTGTTTTTGTGGACGAAGGTTGGAGGTGTGGCAGTAGAGTTGTCCCTCTTAGTAAATTCTGTCAGAAGCGTATCCTTTGCAATACGGATTTTTTAGTTTATTTTAGCCCTTGTTATTTGACATAAGGCCAGTAAATTTAATTATTTTAAAGAAGTACAAAGCAGCTTGAAAGTTGTGAATTATGTTTGAAATTTATTCTATTGAGTAAAAGACTTAGGATATGATATTTTATTTATTCTTTAAAATACAATTAATTTTTTTTTTAATTGGAACTATATTACTTGCCTTAATGAGATTTAATAAGAGAAAATGTTTTGAGTGAGTGAGGTTTTTTATTCTCATGATTGAGCCAAAGATGATATTGATTTGTCACTTGTCCTGAACTATATCAAGATATACTTCACGACTCAGCCCAGGTGTTGTATCGTCCCTGTCCATTTGCTGACAGCCAGTGTGGGCGCCCGGTTCCCACCATCTTTAACACAGAATACTGCTCACTGCACCAGCCTGTCCCTCCCCTACAGGTAACCTTTGTTGATCAAGATGTCAGATTCAACATAAAAATAAATGTATCAAAATGAAGTTAAATATTTGTTTGATAACATTTTAGATAGTAGAATGATTGTCACCTGCTCTTGATGTGAGAAAAAAAATGTGAGGCATCAAATGACTACCTTTTGAAAAAATTAAGGCCTGTTAAGTGAGTTTAATTATTGAAATGTACATTTTATTAATAAGATAATGACTTGTGACATTTGTACTCAGGAGGTGGACCACCTTTCTGTTGAGGACAGCTCCTTGCAGACAGAAGATAAAAAAGATATTGACACCAGTAAATTGATGTCTGAAGAATGCAAGGAATCATTTCTTCACACTAGTGACAGTTCAAATAAATTAAGTACAGCCAATATAAAAACTGAGGTGGATCCAGACATTAAGACAGAAGTTCCTGAAGCGTCATCAAAGGTACCTGCAACAGACACAGGTGAGGAGGATCACAGGCCACGTGGAATTCTTTTCACTCTAGGTGAGGAGGTAGAAGAGGAAGATGATCAAGCTAGGTAGTGGGGTCTGTCTGGGTAGTGGGGTCTAGTCTAGGTAGTGGGGTCTAGTCTAGGTAGTGGGGTCTGTCTGGGGTCTAGGTAGTGGGGTCTGTCTGGGTAGTGGGGTCTAGTCTGGGTAGTGGGGTCTAGTCTGGGTAGTGGGGTCTAGTCTAGGTAGTGGGGTCTGTCTGGGTAGTGGGGTCTAGTCTGGGTAGTGGGGTCTAGTCTGGGTAGTGGGGTCTAGTCTAGGTAGTGGGGTCTGTCTGGGTAGTGGGGTCTAGTCTAGTTAGTGGGGTCTGTCTGGGTAGTGGGGTCTGTCTAGGTAGTGGGGTCTAGTCTGGGTAGTGGGGTCTGTCTGGGGTCTAGTCTAGGTAATGGGGTCTAGTCTAGGTAGTGGGGTCTAGTCTGGGTAGTGGGGTCTAGTCTAGGTAGTGGGGTCTAGTCTAGGTAGTGAGGTCAAGTCTAGGTAGTGAGGGTCAAGCAACTAGTGATGTAGGAGGAACTTCAAAAAAATAAAAAGTGCCTTGACATTTGTGATTGGCCTCTGTTTTCTTTGTAAAATGTCATTTTAATATGTCAGTCTTGAGCATAAATTAAAAGTATAAACCTTGTTATAGCACCAAGCTTTTAAATGCACTGAAAATAAAATTAAATTGTCTTTCATTAAAGCTTTGGTCGCTCATGAGATGTTTAACATATTTTAGTGGCAAAAGCTTTTATGAAAGAACAATTTAGTTTTATTTTCAGTGAATTTATAAGCTTGTTGCCATAAAAAGGGTTTTTTTACACTTGTTTTATTTTCCACTTTTTTAGTCTTCTTCTTCTTCTTCTTAATTTTTGAATATGGTGGAGGATTCAGACAACAAGTCCAACTTTGTGGACAAACCGGACTGTGGTTTCCAGTTTGTCAGGTGTCCCATATAATTTTTCCCAGAGTGGGGTGGGCTGGGGCCAGTGTCTGCCTCTTGCCTGGCTATACAGAGTACATTCTTGGAGTACGTGCTCTGTGTTTTCCGGGGCCTTGCCACAAGGGCACATTTCGCTACACCCAACCTTCAGTTTTTTGTGCATGTGTTGATTTAGTCTGTTGTGGCCTGTTCTGAGTCGAAAGATTATGTATTGTTGTTTTCGTGTTAAATTGTAATAGCCGTCGTCTTTAATGTAGTGAGGGTGTGTGACAGACCACATTTGCGTTTGTTTGTTTTTAATTATTCTTTTTATTTCTTTTGGGTGTAGCGAAATTTCCGGTTGTGGTTTCTTTCCCCCAATTTTTGCCAGCTGGTCTGCGATCTCGTTACCCTGGATCTGGCAGTGGCCCGGGATCCACTGCAGCACAATTCTGCTGCAGGTATTTTTTAGCCTCTCTAGTGCTGTCATAAGTGTTTGAATATAGGACTCCGGATTTTGTAGGGATTGCAGGACTGATTTGGCATCTGTAAGAAATACAATCTGACTATTCGGTGATTCAGGGTGTTCTGACAGGAGGTTTGCTGCATGCTCTATAGCATCTTTTTCTGCCCTAAAATTGTCGGATAGGCTGCCTGTGGCTATTGCCTTTTCCAGGCTTTCTCCGCTTGGCCATTCAATAAGGATGCCAGCCCCGCCGTTTTTTGTGGCATCTTCAGCTGAGCCATCTGTGAAAACTCTAATCCAGGTGTTGCTGGGGTACTGATCCTTAATGTGTTTATTTGTTATTTTCTTAAGTTCTTCTAGATCATAGTCAGATTTTTTTCCTATGGTGTCTATTGAGTCAATAATGGTTAAGTGACAGTGGGAGATCCAAGGCGGGGAGAGGTTTTGAGTTTTTATTGCTTCAGGAATGATATTTTCGATTTCATATTTCTTTTTCAGATTCTTTGCTTCTTTGATGAAACTTGTTCTTTGTAGTCTGGTTGATGGACTGGGTTTCTGGAGTTATTGTTTTAGGTTATGGTTTTCCAGTGCCTCTAGTTTTGTGTATTGAGTGAGGATTTTTGATTCTCTTCTTTCTTCTATTGAGCTAAGAGCGGCTATTTCCTCCATAGCTTTTATGGGTGTTGTTTTCATGGCTCCTGTCATTATTTTATGGACTTTATTCTACTAAAAATATTTTCTTTAAAACATCAGCTCACCATATCTGAAAGATGATTACCTGCCCCGTAAATGCAGTCTTCCTTGACCACAATTAACAGACATAGCAAGTTGATAAAGCTGTTACCTCCCCTTAGTGGTTGAAATAGTTTAAAAACTGCCCCCAATAGCCTTAATAATAGCCTTACTTAGATTTAACTGGCTCTATGATTTTAAATATCCTTGTGAACCACAGCTCACCAGACAGTTAAGGTGATTGAGTCTTGCCAGTGGTCTTCCCTTATTGAATATAGTAATCTATCGATTATAATTTTTATATAATTGTGTTAAACAGGTACAAAACTAAGGGGGAGATAACTAATCAAACATTAATTTTAATTAAAGTAAAAAATATAGACTTTGTATTGTCAAAGTGAAATGTATCTTAAAAGTTTTGAACGAACCCTGCATTAGAAGTGAATCAAAATTGAGTAATAAAATTTGCCACAAACAGACGTTGCGAACTAAATGAAAACCTTGTAAAAAAACCACAAGCATATAATACACAATAAAAATAATCCAGGATAAGGCATGAAGAGCTTTTCACATCCTTGTCACTCAGTAATCAGTCAAATAAAAACAAAAAACATCAACCAATTAAATACATCTATTTTTACATTCCAACCGATTAGATTACATGCGAAAAATCAAAGATAAATAAGGTACAAGTACAGATGCAAGTAAAAAATTTCATAATGACTTGAAAGATAAATATGGAATAGATTTAAAAAAAAATAATTTGACTATTTTGGCAACTAATGTAATATATTGAAACCTTTACCCGTCTAAACAAATAAAGCAGTATTCTATACACATGGCAACAGTTTACACAAAAAAAACACAGTTCAAAATGGCACACATAATAGAAATAGGTGGCTAATGCAAAGTAAATGCTTCACCTATAGCTTGTATAACAACATACTAAAATGCACCTTAATGTAACCCAAAAATGTTTGATCATAATGTGTGATGGTCAACCTGTAACAAAAAAACAGCCGCAACAGATAATGGAACAGTATTGCTATGCATGGTTGGACCAGCTGTCCACAAGAGCAAAAATCACATTTAATGGACTGGACAGTCACAGGAAGAAAGCCAGTCAAACATCACATTTCATGGACAGTCACAGGAAGAAAGCCAGTCAAACATCACATTTCATGGACAGTCACAGGAAGAAAGCCAGTCAAACATCACATTTAATGGACTGGACAGTCACAGGAAGAAAGCCAGTCAAACATCACATTTAATGGACTGGACAGTCACAGGAAGAAAGCCAGTCAAACATCACATTTCATGGACAGTCACAGGAAGAAAGCCAATCAAACATCACATTTCATGGACAGTCACAGGAAGAAAGCCAGTCAAACATCACATTTAATGGACTGGACAGTCACAGGAAGAAAGCCAGTCAAACATCACATTTAATGGACTGGACAGTCACAGGAAGAAAGCCAGTCAAACATCACATTTCATGGACAGTCACAGGAAGAAAGCCAGTCAAACATCACATTTAATGGACTGGACAGTCACAGGAAGAAAGCCAGTCAAACATCACATTTAATGGACTGGACAGTCACAGGAAGAAAGCCAGTCAAACATCACATTTAATGGAATGGACAGTCACAGGAAGAAAGCCAGTCAAACATCACATTTAATGGACTTGACAGTCACAGGAAGAAAGCCAGTCAAACATCACATTTAATGGACTTGACAGTCACAGGAAGAAAGCCAGTCACACATCACATTTAATGGACGACAGTCACAGGAAGAAAGCCAGTCAAACATCACATTTAATGGACTTGACAGTCACAGGAAGAAAGCCAGTCAAACATCACATTTAATGGACTTGACAGTCACAGGAAGAAAGCCAGTCAAACATCACATTTAATGGACTTGACAGTCACAGGAAGAAAGCCAGTCAAACATCACATTTATTGGACTTGACAGTCACAGGTAGAAAGCCAGTCAAACATCACATTTAATGGACTGGACAGTCACAGGAAGAAAGCCAGTCTCTAATCTGAGTTTTGTTCAGTGCACATTCTACTATAGTAATGGCATGATACAAAGTGAAATATTACAGCTTTCTTTCAGAGTTTCATCTCCTCAGTACAGCATAACATGACCAGAGGCAAAAAGTATTCCAGAACTACTACATGTGTAGCACCAGCGCGATACAAAGATTACAAAGCAATGATTGTCATAAAAAAAAAAGTTGCTCACTTGATTACTTTTATATGGTTTATAATAACACAAAACTCATCTAATCAAACACCTACAGTATATGTGGGCACATCATGTAACACTTGGTGTGGCAACCAATCACAAATTCTAGAGTTCAAAGGTTAATCTGATATGTAACTGGTGTGTATACAACACCATAACAAACCCTGCAGCTTTTGATGGAAAAAAATACTTCATGTTCTCATGGCAATATTTGATTGGTATCATTTGTAAAAATTAATAATCTCAGAAATATGAGTTATAATTTAATGATTGACAAAAAAAAATCTATGGAATAAAAACAATTATTTAGCGCTGGTCAGTAAAAAAATAATCTCCTAAGTAAGAAAATATCCATAAAATATCACAGGTGGTATCAATCTGGCAGGTAGAGGTGAGTACCATTTCAGGTGAGCTCTCTATACAAATAGTTTTAATTATATATTCATCAAAATAATAATATAAATATATATATTTCAGATTAAATTCTTCTATAACAATTCTCGAGTAAAATATAACATTTTTAGATCTTCTATAATTGGTGCAGGTTATATAATTCAAGCAGTTCAAATAACACTTAGCTACTTGATATAAGTAAGATTAGATAATACATTTGGTAGCATAAAAATGCAAGCCAAGATTCTGAACACAGCACAACGTTACATAGGGTAACAGCACCTTTAGTTGACTTCTTCACAGACATCTAGTACAGTTCTAACATGGTGTCTACTTTGGCAGAATCTTGTCCTAATCAACTGTACTAATTAATTCCCAGCCTTTTCTTTATGAATGCAATAACGAGCCTCTGTGTCCGACACTGCCACTCCTCCATGATGTTGTGGGGGGTGTTGATCTGGTCCCCTTTTAGTCTGTCCAACAGTGTGCAGCAGATCACAGCTCCTGAAACAACATAGAACTGTTGGTCACGACTGACAGTGCAGTAGGTCACAGCTGACAGAACATTAGGTCAGAGTTGACAGAACATTAGGTCAGAGTTGACAGAACATTAGGTCAGAGTTGACAGAACATTAGGTCAGAGTTGACAGAAGAGTAGGTCAGAGTTGACAGAAGAGTAGGTCACGGTTGTAACAGCTGATAAACAGGTGACATGTGATAGAAGAACAGGTGACATCTGCTGGGAGGAAACAGATTACCCCTGAGACCAGCCCTGTAGCAGTAGGCAGCAAAACACAGCGACTCCATCTCGATGTTGCGAACACCTCTGTTGTAAACACGCTTGAGGAAGGCAACTTTGTCCTCCTCATTGTATTCACAGAATGCTCCGTCTAGACGAGCTTGTCCTAGAGGAAAATACTTTCATTTTGGTGGGTTCATTTTACAAGGGACTAAAAAAAGTCACATCGTTCATTATAAGATTTTTATTTTTTTATTGTAATCAGAGACAAATCAAATAAATATATAGGCTTATACGTACAACATATATATATATATATATATATATATATATATATACATATATATATATATATATATATATATATATATATATATATATATATATATCAGTATTAACACATTTCCTTAAGGTATTTAAAGAGACAAAGATATAGATAAAGACTTCAGACAGTTGAGTGTAGATTGTCAGGAGATTGATAACAAAAACAAACTTGTTAAGAGACTGACCTTCATAGAAATCCAGCGTACACATTGTTTTTCCTATTGTTGTCATGTACCCGTCCCCCTCTGGATTAGACAAGGTCATCAACTCATCGGCTATGTCCTTGTCCAGCTTAGATGGGTGTTGAATGACCATGCCAAGGGTCGACTGTGTGAACAAATAATTTCTAAGATATTTTAAGTGCACATCATCTCCAGCATCAGCCACAGTAAGCAACTGATAAAATATGTGTTGGTAGTACATGTACCCCTCCAATATGGTGGTACCTTGACATACCAGTGGCCTAACATATGGTACCTATACACATGAGTGACCTAACCTGTGCTACCTCAACATATAAGTGACCTAACATATGGTACCTTGACATACGAGTGACCTAACATATGGTACCTATACACATGAATGACCTAACCTGTGCTAACTCAACATGAGTGACTTAACATATGGTACCTCGACATATGAGTGACCTAACCTGTGCTACCTCAACATATGAGTGACCTAACTTGTGGTACCTAGATATATGAGTGACCTAACATATGGTACCTCGACATATGAGTGACCTAACATACAGTGGTACCTCATTATGAGTACCCCAACATACAAATACAAGATTTTATATAGCAGATGTTAAACTGATCTAGGACAAATGGCTAAACGGACACCTGTTTGCCCAAAAAATGTTATAGATTACCAAGTAGCCATTCTAAATACATTTGAACTAAACATTGTGATAATTTTAAGCATAATTCTCACACTTGTTAGCAGAAAATTCCTGAATGGAATTTTAAAATTCTAAAGGTTATTTAAAACTTCTTTTTATATTTATGTTATTTTCTTTGAATATTTTCATAACTTACCAACTCCATATATGGTCGCAGTAATTCATCAACAGCTTCGTCTGTTATGACGACACTTCCTGGCTCTAAACCTAAACATTATAATTAAAGGGGTTTAAACTATGGCTCTAAACCTAAACATTTTAATTAAAGGGGTTTAAACTATAGCTCTAAACCTAAACATTTTAATTAAAGGGGTTTAAACTAAAGATACTATAATTAAACTTAATTAGTTTAAATTTTACTACACCAACAATTTTTGAATTAACATTTTCATTGAAATTATAATTACCTTATTGATTTTAAAAGTTATTTTAATAAACAAAAGATATTTTTCTTTAGAAAATGCAAAACTAAAATGATTTAAGCAACAGAACCAAAGTACCTAGGCCTCCACTAGTGCCTAGCCTAAAAAAGACAACATCACTGCATCCAGCGTGGTAGATGAGCTTGAGGATTTCATGGAATATTATGGACAGGGATGGGATGCCCATACCATGCTGTGAACATTAAGTTTTGGGTTAGGACTTTGGTTATATGCACAGGTGTAGACCAGAGGAGGGACCCAGTTTTTGGACTTTAAAATGTACAGGTGTTGACCAGAGGAGGGACCCAGTTTTTGGACTTTAAAATGTACAGGTGTTGACCAGAGGAGGGACCCAGTTTTTGGACTTTAAAATGTACAGGTGTTGACCAGAGGAGGGACCCAGTTTTTGGACTTTAAAATGTACAGGTGTTGACCAGAGGAGGGACCCAGTTTTTGGACTTTAAAATGTACAGGTGTTGACCAGAGGAGGGACCCAGTTTTTGGACTTTAAAATGTACAGGTGTAGACCAGAGGAGGGACCCAGTTTTTGGAATTTAAAATGTACAGGTGTAGACCAGAGGAGGGACCCAGTTTTTGGAATTTAAAATGTACAGGTGTAGACCAGAGGAGGGACCCAGTTTTTGGAATTTAAAATGTACAGGTGTAGACCAGAGGAGGGACCCAGTTTTTGGAATTTAAAATGTACAGGTGTAGACCAGAGGAGGGACCCAGTTTTTGGAATTTAAAATGTACAGGTGTAGACCAGAGGAGGGACCCAGTTTTTGGAATTTAAAATGTACAGGTGTAGACCAGAGGAGGGACCCAGTTTTTGGAATTTAAAATGTACAGGTGTAGACCAGAGGAGGGACCCAGTTTTTGGAATTTAAAATGTACAGGTGTAGACCAGAGGAGGGACCCAGTTTTTGGAATTTAAAATGTACAGGTGTTGACCTGAGGAGGGACCCAGTATTTGGACTTTAAAATGGACAGGCTGACTAAAGAAATTATGACCTTGTCGCAGTCAGCATTGGATGTGACACTGCATGCAATATTCTTTACATTCTCTATGTCAAAAGTTGGTCAGACCTTTGTCCTACTGTTGTATGTTGGTAGTCAGACCTCTGTCCTACTGTTGTATGTTGGTAGTCAGACCTTTGTCCTACTGTTGTATGTTGGTAGTCAGACCTTTGTCCTACTGTTGTATGTTGGTAGTCAGACCTTTGTCCTACTGTTGTATGTTGGTAGTCAGACCTTTGTCCTACTGTTGTATGTTGGTAGTCAGACCTTTGTCCTACTGTTGTATGTTGGTAGTCAGACCTTTGTCCTACTGTTGTATGTTGGTAGTCGGAGATGGGGTTTATAAAGGGCATCAAGTCGTTCCCACAAGTTCAATGTCAAATGTCCACAGACCTTTGTCCGTCTCTGGTCAACTTATATTCTGGGCAAGGGGGAAATTGAAGGGAAAGTGGAACATTATAAATAGAAGATCCTTCCTGTCCACTTGCTAATTCCTCTACACCAAAAACCTGGCTACCCCCTGCTAAGATGTTAGTTAAGTAAAACATGGTTTTGTGAGTAGTATATTAGGTCGCTTTTGGAGCGTATTCCTGGCGGAGGTGGGGAGGGTGAGGAACAATGACATATAGTAAAATACTCGGGAGCAGGATGCGCGGGTGGCGCAAAGACATATAGCAAAATACTCCCAGCCTGGCGCATCGGGAGGGTAAGGGTGGGTGAGCAGGATGTGGGGGTGGCGCAAAGACATATAGTAAAATACTACGCCAACTGGGGTTGGCGGAGGTGGTGGGGAAGTAGGTCACCTTTTGGTGACCTTGTGACGTAATCTTTGACCTTGTGACGTAATTAGTGACCTTGTGACGTCATCATTGACCTAGTTACGTAATGTTAATGCGTTTTAATGAGTTTTAATGAGTTTTTTAAATTTTAATTAATTTTTTATTGACTAGTTACGTAATTTGATTATTTGTTTACTTTTTTAATTGTTTAATTTGTTGTTTACTTGTTGTTTAATTTAATTACTTTGTTTATATTGTGTAATTTTTATTAACGAGTTACGTAATTTGATTATTTGTTTACTTTTTAATTAATTTTTTATTGAGTAGTTACGTAATTGGATTTTAATTTTTTTGAATTTTTAAATTTTTAATTTTATTTTATAATTAGTTAAATTATTATTAACTAGTTACGTAATTTGATTTTAATTACTTTGTTTATTTGTTTATTTAATATATTTCTTTTCTTTGTTGTTTAATTTGTTGGTTTGTTTATTTGCTTGTATGTATGTTTAATAGTAAACGGAGAGGGGGGTGGTTGAGGGGAGGGGTGTGCTAGCGTGGACTTTGTATAGGGACCATTCAGCAACACAATGAACGTTACAAAAATAGAACATCCATTTAACCACATCTGTTACTTATTGATCCGCGATCCTTTGTTCTTGTCAACCACTGACCGGAGATTTATGGGCTTTATATTGATCGCACCCACTGGCCATCAGTACGATGTCCCACCTAATTAAATTGATTATGCTTCACCGATTTTATGCGTTGTTCGCCGACCCGATCACAGCAGGGGTTCCGCATTTAATTAAAAGAGATAAGTGTCTCTCCGCGAAGCCCGCGTTAAGTGTGGGAACACTTGTTACCACGTTAATCGATTTTACCGAACGCTTTGTTAGCTCCGCGAAGTACTTAGGTCATTATGCAACAGCTGTTGTGCGACAGCTGGGGGTGTAATTAGACTGACCAACCGGACATTACCTTGTTGGTTTTCTAGTACGCGTATGCTACACGTATATACACACACACACACACACACACACACACACACACACACACACACACTAAATTTATGTGGGTTCGCGAAGCGATCCCACCGGGAGGTATGGTAATTAACGCGAAACCAGCGTTAAGTGTGGGAACATCTGTTACCACGTTAATCGATTTTTCCCCCGGTTGGGTCCCGTGCTTTTCACTAACAGTTATACGGACAGTATCATAGGTTTTTTCATCGAGTAAAGAAATAGTATTGATCGACCCGGGTCGAGCGGTGTGTTGTATGTAGTTGGTATATCCATGTTTTGTTGTTGGTTGGTGTAGAGTTTATACGAGGATCGGTGAAGTTTAAATTTTTAATTTTATTTTATAATTAGTTTAATTATTATTAACGAGTTACGTAATTCGATTTTAATTTTTTAAATTTTTAAATTATTTTTTTTTAAATTATTATTTTTAAATTTTATTTTTAATTGTTGTTTACTTGTTGTTTAATTTAATTACTTTGTATAATTTATTTGTTTGAAATTCATTTTAATTAGTTTGCTTTTAATTTCTTTGTTGTACGCCGTTTAAAATAAAAGACTAACACTAGCGTGTACTAGAAAGTGTCATTGTGTATAACATCCATTTAACCACAGCTGTTACTTATTAGTGACAGCTTGTACTTATCGATCCGCCCGTGATCCTCCCCAGCGCTCCCCGTGGTTGCTTAATAGCGGGCTCACTGAAGCGATCACAACAGGTAATTAATCGAAGCCATTAAGTCCCTCTCCGCGTTAAGTGTGGCGACAGCTGGTGCTGTAATTAGTCACGGCTCTCGACTTTTTTCATTAGACTACAGCTGTACATGAACTATGTTCACATATCGTACGCCCGGTCATTCTTTGATCAAATTAAAAAATTTTGTTTCCACATGTCCTGCGAACCGTCCCTTGCTATGTATGAAAGATTAATGGTTGTAACTATTCGCTTATAGCGAGGGTCAGCGAAAACAAAAATATATTTAAGGGTCGGAATTTTCTTTCAACCACCGTTAAGTCAGGTTTTGAGACGAAACGAAGTCTCGGTAGGTTCGTGTTTTTTAATGGGCGACAGGGCGACTTGGTGCGTTGGTACGTAGGTATGCGTGGGTAGACATGTTTTTTACAAGTCTGGAAAAGTAATTAAGTTTTTTATGACCGTTCCGATTTTCTTTTGATCTGACCACCATTTGACCACACTGAGCCAGATAAATTTAACAATTGTCGCAGCGGGGTTTATTTTAAGTGCACCCCGTGCACGCTTGTTTACATTTTAAAAGACGTGTCGCGTGTCTTCCCCTTACGGCTTCCCTAATAGAGAAACGAGAGGAAAGACAACTGTTCTAAAATTAGAACAGCCTTGTCTACAGACACGAGTATCGTCCCTTGTGAAAAAATTCGCGTCAGAATCCTTAACTAAACAGTCAATTTCTTTAAAAAGTTAAAAAATAATTTAGGAAGACAAGGGTTAACAAAATATATATCTTAGTCTTGCAGCAGATTACCTTCCCATGTTCACTTTAGTATTACAGTTTTCATCAAACTTCTTTTTGACTTGAACTTCTTTAATTTTTAAGAAAGTTTACTTATACATAATACATTACGTCTAAGGACAATTTTTTTATTTTTACCACTCAATGTATTTTCTTTTTCTATATCTTACATTGTCATCTTAATTTTTGATCACCTTAGGTGGTGGTAAGGTGGTAAGGTGGTGGTAAGGTGGTGGTAAGGTGGTGGTAAATTTGCTTAAGATTATAAACTTCAAGTTTTAAAAATCAACAACGTTATAGTACGTCGTGTCAAATGACACACCGTTAAAATGTCTACATTTAAATTTCACCAAAATAAGGATGTATAAACTAAATATGATATGACGTTAGCATACATATAATTCAATCTAATCACTCTAAAGTACAAATCAATAATTTTTATTGATTAAGGGGCTGGGTGAGTTATTTTTATCACTATTCGCCCTGGGAAGGTTTGGAGTTGGTTGGGACAGATTTTATACACGAGTCGGTGACGTTTTCACCGAGGCAGGGTTCGAATCTAGACCATGCATGTTTTGGAATTGTTAGGGAGAGTTAAACTAAGGTCGGTGAAGTTTTCACCGAGGTTGGTTTTGAACTCGGAACATACATGTTTTGGAATCGGTAGGTGTAGAGTCCATACTAGGGTCGGGGAGTTTTGCTAACACTGAGGCAGGTTGCAAAGTTGGCACATGCATGTTTAGGAATTGATGGTAGCCGAGTTCATACTAGTGTCGGTGAAGGTTGGTTTTGAACTCGGAACATGCATGTTTTGAAATTGTTGGTAACCGAGTTCAGACTAGGAACGGGGGTGTTTTCACCGAGGCAGGTTACAAAGTTCGTATATGCATCATTGGAATTGTTAGGTAGAGTTAAACTAAGGTCGGTGACGTTTTCACCGAGGTAGGTTACAAAGTTGGTACATGGATGTTTAGGAATTGATGGCAGTCGAGTTCATACTAGGGTCGGGGAATTTTGTTAGCACTGAGGCAGGTTGGAAAGTTGTTACATGCATGTTTGGGAATTGTTGGTAGCCGAGTTCATACTAGTGTCGGTGAAGGTTGGTTTTGAACTCGGAACATGCATGTTTAGGAATTGTTGGTAGCCGAGTTCATACTAGTGTCGGTGAAGGTTGGTTTTGAACTCGGAACATACATGTTTTGAAATCGGTAGGTGTAGAGTCCATACTAGGGTCGGGGGAGTTTTCACCGAGGTAGGTTACAAAGTTGGTACATGCATGTTTAGGAATTGATGGGGCAGAGTTTAAACTAGTGTCGGTGAAGGTTGGTTTTGAACTCGGAACATGCATGTTTTGAAATTGTTGGTAACCGAGTTCATACTAGGGACGGGGGTGTTTTCACCGAGGCAAGTTACAAAGTTCGTACATGCATCATTGGAATTGTTAGGTAGAGTTAAACTAAGGTCGGTGAAGTTTTCACCGAGGCAGGTTACAAAGTTGGTACAGCGATGTTTAGGAATTGTTGGCAGTCGAGTTAATACTAGGGTCGGGGAATTTTGTTAGCACTGAGGCAGGTTGGAAAGTTGGTACATGTATGTTTATGAATTGTTGGTAGCCGAGTTCATACTAGTGTCGGTGAAGGTTGGTTTTGAACTCGGAACATTCATGTTTTGGAATCGGTAGGTGTAGAGTCCATACTAGTGTCGGTGAAGTTTTCACCGAGGGTGGTTTCAAAAATTGTACAGGTATGTTTTGGAAGTGTTAGGGGCCGAGTCTAGAGTGGGAAGGCTTTTGTTTTCACTAAGGTAGATTTAAAACGTGGACCATCCCTGTTTCGGAGTTGGTCGGGGTAGAGTTTACACTAGAGTGGGACGGTCTTTGTTTTCAACAAGACAGGTTTCGAAATTCGGCCATGGATGTTTTGGAGTTGGATGAGAACGTTGTCACTTGTGACAGTAAACGAAGGGGGATAAATGTTTGTCTGTTACTTTGTCCTTTGTCTGTCCAAGGGAATAGTGTGGGTAGTGGTACGGTGTGTTTATCTATCGGTTGTTTAGGGCCGGGGGCGAGGGCGGCGGACAAAGTTGTCGATGTAGGTAGGGTGCAAGAGATATTCAACGTGGAGTGGTGTCTACAAGTTATGTATCCCAGTCTGTTGGAGTGGTTTCTAGGGGGTTGTGATATTAGTTGAATAAATATTTGTCTTTAGGATTGTCATAAATCCTTTGTCTCTTTAATGGAATAGAATGGGTAGTGGTACGGTTGGTATTGAGGTTAGGGATGGGCGAAGGGGAAAGGGGTTGCGGACAAAGGGAAGGGGAAGGGCGAATAGTGATAAAAATAACTCACCCAGCCCCTTAATCAATAAAAATTATTGATTTGTACTTTAGAGTGATTAGATTGAATTATATGTATGCTAACGTCATATCATATTTAGTTTATACATCCTTATTTTGGTGAAATTTAAATGTAGACATTTTAACGGTGTGTCATTTGACACGACGTACTATAACGTTGTTGATTTTTAAAACTTGAAGTTTATAATCTTAAGCAAATTTACCACCACCTTACCACCACCTTACCACCACCTTACCACCTTACCACCACCTAAGGTGATCAAAAATTAAGATGACAATGTAAGATATAGAAAAAGAAAATACATTGAGTGGTAAAAATAAAAAAATTGTCCTTAGACGTAATGTATTATGTATAAGTAAACTTTCTTAAAAATTAAAGAAGTTCAAGTCAAAAAGAAGTTTGATGAAAACTGTAATACTAAAGTGAACATGGGAAGGTAATCTGCTGCAAGACTAAGATATATATTTTGTTAACCCTTGTCTTCCTAAATTATTTTTTAACTTTTTAAAGAAATTGACTGTTTAGTTAAGGATTCTGACGCGAATTTTTTCACAAGGGACGATACTCGTGTCTGTAGACAAGGCTGTTCTAATTTTAGAACAGTTGTCTTTCCTCTCGTTTCTCTATTAGGGAAGCCGTAAGGGGAAGACACGCGACACGTCTTTTAAAATGTAAACAAGCGTGCACGGGGTGCACTTAAAATAAACCCCGCTGCGACAATTGTTAAATTTATCTGGCTCAGTGTGGTCAAATGGTGGTCAGATCAAAAGAAAATCGGAACGGTCATAAAAAACTTAATTACTTTTCCAGACTTGTAAAAAACATGTCTACCCACGCATACCTACGTACCAACGCACCAAGTCGCCCTGTCGCCCATTAAAAAACACGAACCTACCGAGACTTCGTTTCGTCTCAAAACCTGACTTAACGGTGGTTGAAAGAAAATTCCGACCCTTAAATATATTTTTGTTTTCGCTGACCCTCGCTATAAGCGAATAGTTACAACCATTAATCTTTCATACATAGCAAGGGACGGTTCGCAGGACATGTGGAAACAAAATTTTTTAATTTGATCAAAGAATGACCGGGCGTACGATATGTGAACATAGTTCATGTACAGCTGTAGTCTAATGAAAAAAGTCGAGAGCCGTGACTAATTACAGCACCAGCTGTCGCCACACTTAACGCGGAGAGGGACTTAATGGCTTCGATTAATTACCTGTTGTGATCGCTTCAGTGAGCCCGCTATTAAGCAACCACGGGGAGCGCTGGGGAGGATCACGGGCGGATCGATAAGTACAAGCTGTCACTAATAAGTAACAGCTGTGGTTAAATGGATGTTATACACAATGACACTTTCTAGTACACGCTAGTGTTAGTCTTTTATTTTAAACGGCGTACAACAAAGAAATTAAAAGCAAACTAATTAAAATGAATTTCAAACAAATAAATTATACAAAGTAATTAAATTAAACAACAAGTAAACAACAATTAAAAATAAAATTTAAAAATAATAATTTAAAAAAAAATAATTTAAAAATTTAAAAAATTAAAATCGAATTACGTAACTCGTTAATAATAATTAAACTAATTATAAAATAAAATTAAAAATTTAAACTTCACCGATCCTCGTATAAACTCTACACCAACCAACAACAAAACATGGATATACCAACTACATACAACACACCGCTCGACCCGGGTCGATCAATACTATTTCTTTACTCGATGAAAAAACCTATGATACTGTCCGTATAACTGTTAGTGAAAAGCACGGGACCCAACCGGGGGAAAAATCGATTAACGTGGTAACAGATGTTCCCACACTTAACGCTGGTTTCGCGTTAATTACCATACCTCCCGGTGGGATCGCTTCGCGAACCCACATAAATTTAGTGTGTGTGTGTGTGTGTGTGTGTGTGTGTGTGTGTGTGTGTGTGTATATACGTGTAGCATACGCGTACTAGAAAACCAACAAGGTAATGTCCGGTTGGTCAGTCTAATTACACCCCCAGCTGTCGCACAACAGCTGTTGCATAATGACCTAAGTACTTCGCGGAGCTAACAAAGCGTTCGGTAAAATCGATTAACGTGGTAACAAGTGTTCCCACACTTAACGCGGGCTTCGCGGAGAGACACTTATCTCTTTTAATTAAATGCGGAACCCCTGCTGTGATCGGGTCGGCGAACAACGCATAAAATCGGTGAAGCATAATCAATTTAATTAGGTGGGACATCGTACTGATGGCCAGTGGGTGCGATCAATATAAAGCCCATAAATCTCCGGTCAGTGGTTGACAAGAACAAAGGATCGCGGATCAATAAGTAACAGATGTGGTTAAATGGATGTTCTATTTTTGTAACGTTCATTGTGTTGCTGAATGGTCCCTATACAAAGTCCACGCTAGCACACCCCTCCCCTCAACCACCCCCCTCTCCGTTTACTATTAAACATACATACAAGCAAATAAACAAACCAACAAATTAAACAACAAAGAAAAGAAATATATTAAATAAACAAATAAACAAAGTAATTAAAATCAAATTACGTAACTAGTTAATAATAATTTAACTAATTATAAAATAAAATTAAAAATTTAAAAATTCAAAAAAATTAAAATCCAATTACGTAACTACTCAATAAAAAATTAATTAAAAAGTAAACAAATAATCAAATTACGTAACTCGTTAATAAAAATTACACAATATAAACAAAGTAATTAAATTAAACAACAAGTAAACAACAAATTAAACAATTAAAAAAGTAAACAAATAATCAAATTACGTAACTAGTCAATAAAAAATTAATTAAAATTTAAAAAACTCATTAAAACTCATTAAAACGCATTAACATTACGTAACTAGGTCAATGATGACGTCACAAGGTCACTAATTACGTCACAAGGTCAAAGATTACGTCACAAGGTCACCAAAAGGTGACCTACTTCCCCACCACCTCCGCCAACCCCAGTTGGCGTAGTATTTTACTATATGTCTTTGCGCCACCCCCACATCCTGCTCACCCACCCTTACCCTCCCGATGCGCCAGGCTGGGAGTATTTTGCTATATGTCTTTGCGCCACCCGCGCATCCTGCTCCCGAGTATTTTACTATATGTCATTGTTCCTCACCCTCCCCACCTCCGCCAGGAATACGCTCCAAAAGCGACCTAATATACTACTTTTGTGAGAGGTTACCAAGCATTAAAAGTTGCCATGAATTATTAATAAAACCAAAGTAAAAACCAAAGTTAATTATGATTAATCATACAAGATAAACTGTTAGCACTCCAATGGAAATAATTTAACACTATAATTCCAGACCATTATACAGAAAACATTCCAATTTAGTTAGTTACTTCCTTGACAACAAAAAATACCACATCCCTTCTCCCAGCCCCAGAAAATATTTAAACACATGTGACTTACACTGACTGAAATGACTGGGCCAACTTTGTACAGCACATATCTGTCTGACCCATGGGCTATGTTGGTCAACGTCTGACCCGCTGGGATTTTGATCTTCAGCTCAGACACCAGCAGCTCAGCAAAGTTCTGCATCCTGGTTGGTGACCCACCAAAACAGACAAACTGAAAGTAGAGTCACAGGTTGGTGACCCACCAAAACAGACAAACTGAAAGTAGAGTCACAGGCTAGACAGACAAACTGAAAGTAGAGTCACAGGCTAGACCAGACAGATAAACAAACAGAAAGCAGAATGGCAACAATCTAGACTTAATACAATAAATGTTAAAAGGTTTATTTAATAAAAAAGTAATGTTTGGTACATGGTAGACAAAAATCCAAAATACCAGAATTTGTTGGTAGGTCTCACTCATAGCCCTAGCCTGGCTTAAAAGTGGACCTAAGTGTCAATACCCCATGGTTTAATGAGAGTAGCATTGGGTCTAGGTTGTTCAGCCTAAAGGTTACAAGGTCTCAAAACTGACCTTGACATCATGAAACATCTCTTTAAGGTCATGCTTTTTATTGCTGAGTGCTAAGTGGTACAACACATCTTCTTCCATCTCAGCTATGTGTGGGTTTCTTAGCTTTATCTGGCCATCTCTGAAACATTGGTGCATTTGGTAAGATATGGTTACTGTAGCAGTTATGCAACAAGAATAAATAATAACCTTTCTGATTATGGCTAATAATTTCAATAATTTCTTTATCATGTATTTCACCCAAAAAAGTAAATCTGATTTTATTTTCTCAATCTTTGATTGATTTACACCTTATTTTAGTAGCTTTACATCTGATTTCAGTAGCTTTACAGAACAGACTGGTAGAGTGCTAGACCGCAGAACCAACCCAAAAAAAGATTAAAGCTGTTCATCCCTAATCTGAAGGATGTACTTAGCCTCTACCTTGGGAGTTAAATTTTACCTGCCATAATGACCACCATGACCCAAACTAAACTTCACTACCATAATGCCCACATATGCATTCCACTTCTGTTTAGTGCATCCATTGTCTCACTGTGCAAAATGCAGCTATATTTATATATATTTATGTAACGAGTCCCCGAGTCTATCCTGCCGACAACGCCAAATGTAACGAGTCTCTGGCTACCCTGCCGACAACGCCAAATGTGACCTTCCCGAGTCTAACCACTCATTCCACACAACATTGACCACAGCATAGATACTCGAAGATGCAGGTTCATTATTGATCCTTTTATTACATGAATCAAAGAATGCTTCACAATAATATAATGAATCAAGAGAGATGTTTCACAATAATAGTCTGAATCAACGGACCCCCAACAGTCCTCACTAGGCTTCATCTAACTGAATACACATGTCTATCGTCCTTCTTAACACAATACGGCTAACCCGTTCAATAACCAACTTGATACTCTCCCACACTGACTCACTGATCGAAAGCGGGCGAGAGAGAGAGACTGCGAGCTCAGCCGTCGCCTTCCTTATTTATCCCCTTCATATCCGTAATCATATTCGGTCCTATCATACTCGTAATCGTAATCGTTGCATTACGCCGCTTCTGTTGTACAGTCCGATTTAATAAGCCATCTGCATCCTGTCACATCAAAGTTGACAGACCGTCTTTCGTATCGCTTCCCGAGATACTACGCCCTGGCTTTCTGATCGTTATCAGCCACCACCTGTGTTATTACATCAGTCGTGTCAAAGTTGACAGCGCTGTACCGCTTTCTTATGTCTGGTAACTTCCCCTAGTTACATCCACCCCTGCCTTTTTTTGTGTGTTATCAACCACAAACAACGCCCGGCAGGTGCAGTCCTTCAAAGTCCATCGCACCACCGTAAAAAAAAATCCATTGTTCCACTCACTGTCAATGTCGTCACATTCGTATAAGATTGACCGTTATCCCTATTTCACATATCAAATGTGTCTACATCATCTTCCTCAGACACAAAACAGTTCTAGAATTCACATCCACCTTTTTTCGTCTGGTGCCTTCACCAGTTCACTTTTATGACTTTTTGAACAGTCTGTTCTCATACCAGCGCGACCATGAAAGAATTGATGGTTGCTGACAAAAAATTTCGTATTCTTTCTGTTTCTCAAACTTCTCCGCGGACCACTTAACTGATGGTCTACTGTCTCTCTGCTTTTGGAGGGACCGGGATCCTCCTTGTTGCCGGTATCCTCCCCTTGTGTATCGCTGTTGCGCTGTTGATGGTGACATGGTTCCGGGATGGGTATGTGAATTTCCGTTATAGTTTCCGGTTCCCTAATTGTCTTGGATTTCCTTGTGTGTAACTGCTCTTCTTGACTATGACAATATTTCTTTAATTGAGCAATATTCGCCCACCGATCCGGTTTGGTGTGATCGATGGGTCTTATCTTAAAGGGGCCACCTGCTACTTTAGGCATCTCCACGACTTGCCATATCTCCTGTCCCCAGAGGTCGTGGATTTTGTTTCTGCCTAACGGGTGGCTACGCAGTAATACCCTGTCGTTCAGTTTGAGTGGCGGGTCCTTTGTCTGTACCGGCGGTTCCCTTCGCCGTGCTTCATGTTCTAGTCTTTCCTGTACTACCCTGTACATTTCTCTAATTCGTCTCATATGTTCATTCACATATTCCAGTGCAGTGTATGAGCCAGTCATACTCTCCTTTTTTCCTAGGAACAAGTCAAGGGGCAATCGAGCCTCCCGTCCGAACAGCAACATGTATGGCGAAAAGCCGGTTGTGGCATGGGGTGTGCAGTTGTATAGATATACCAACTCTGGGAGAAAATCAGGCCAACGTTTTTTCTGTTCAGGTTCTAGAGTACGCAGCAAATCATGCATGCTGCGGTTGAACCGCTCGCACTGTCCGTTTCCTTTCGGATTAAATGTGGTTGTTCTAGATTTGTTGATCCCGTAGTGGCTGCACAGTTGGTTAATTACTTCTGACTCGAAGGCCCTTCCTTGGTCAGAGTGTAATTGTCTTGGTATGCCATATTTGATGAACCAATGTTCTATTAAGACCTTTGCCACTGTTTTGGCAGTCTGATCTCGTGTGGGCACCGCCACAGTCCATTTGGTGAATACATCAGTCACTACCAACACATGTTCCGTCCCATCCGATGATTGCTCCAACGACGTAAAGTCCATAGCCACAATCTCTAGTGGTTTTGTCGCTAATAGGTGTCCCGATGGCTGTCTCATTTTGACAACTGGCATTTTTGCATGCTGACACCTCACACAAGCCTCACAATGGCGTTTGACCTCCATTTCCATATTGGGCCAGTAACACCTCCGTCGTAATATTTTGTGCGTCCTGTCCTGACCCTGGTGTCCTGCCCTGTCATGTGCCAACCTTAGCACTTCTTCTCGTAATTGTCCAGGCACCACCACCTGGTGTATTGTCCCATCAATTTGGTCATGAATTCTCCGTATGAGAACACCATCCTGTATACTGAGACGGTCCCACTGACTCAGTATTTTCTTTGTTTCTCGACCAAATTGTTCTCTTTCCCTTCTTCCTGGGAATTTTTGTTCCTGGACGTGTTTCAACAGCGGCTGTAAGCCACTATCCGTTCTCTGGGCATTTCTTATCTCTTTGTGATTAAGGCAACTAAAATCACCAATGTCCCTATGTCCGGGCTCTGTGGAAATGTGCTCCACCCCGGTCTGTCCGTTCTGCCTCACTTGCACCCCGTGAGGGATATCTGTTGACGCTCTGACCTCACCTATTCCTGTCAGCGTTTCTTCCTCATCGCCCGGTCTCTCGTAAGGATTCCTTGATAAGGCGTCCGCATCGCCATTGGACCGCCCCGGGCGATATTTTATCTCTAGGTCAAAGAGTGCCAATTCTGCTGCCCATCGCTGTTCGATGGATCCCAACTTTGCTGTCTTTAGGTGACTCAAGGGGTTATTGTCAGTGTATACCACACATTTAGCACCTAATAAATAGTCCCTGAATTTTTCCGTCACAGCCCATTTTAATGTCAAAAGTTCTAGTTTCATGGCGCTGTAATTTGTCATGTTCTTCTCTGATTCCTTCAGAGCTCGACTGGCATAAGCAATAACCCTGAAACCTTGCTTTTGTTGTTGTGATAGCACAGCTCCCAGACCTTTAGAGCTGGCGTCAATTTCTAGCCGAAATGGTTTGTCAAAGTCTGCGTATCCTAATATCGGCGCCTCTGTCAAAGCCTTTTTCAATAGCTTAAACGAGTTCAGGCATTCATCAGTCCATAATTCACCTATCAGTTGTGTTTTACCTTTCTTTTTCTCCTTACTGTGTTTCTTTGTCATTTTGTTTACCAAGTCATGCAATGGTGCGGCAATTTTTGCAAAACCAGGCACAAATTTTCTATAATAGGAAGCAAAGCCCAAGAATGATCTGACCTCTACTGTAGTTGTTGGCTGTTTCCATTCTTTAACAGCTGCAATTTTATCTGGGTCAGTGGCGATGCCATCCGACGAAATCACGTAACCCAAAAAATGTACCGATTTCAGACCGAAGCAGCATTTGTCTGGGTTCAGCTTTACTCCTATCTCCCTAAGACGGAGAAACACTTGTTCTAATCTTTCTAGATGGTCCTCCCAAGTTTTTGAATAAACTAGTATATCATCCAAGTACACCAACATTATTTGAAATAGAAAGTCACTCATAGCACTCTGCATTACTCGCTGGAATGTAGCAGGTGCATTAGTTAGACCAAACGGCATACGGGTCCACTCGTACAGTCCCAGTGGAGAAATAAATGCAGTCTTATGTTGATCGTTGGGGTGCATGGCCACTTGGTGGTAGCCACTAGCCAAATCCAAGGTAGAAAAAAATCTTGCTCCCCCCAACGCATCAAGACATTCATCAATACGAGGCAAGGGGAATGCATCCCTTCTTGTGATATTGTTCAATTTCCGGTAATCACAACACAGTCTTATCTCCCCTGACTTCTTTTTTACCACTACTATCGGTGCCGCATACGGGCTCGTGCTGGTTGTAATAATTCCCTTTTTTAGTAGATCGTTCAGGTGTGCCTTCACCGCAGAGTAGTGACTTGGTGGTAATCTTCGATAAGGTTGCGCCACCGGCTTGTCTTGTAGTAAGGGTATCTGGTGTTTTATTACTTCCGTGTAACCCAAATCACCCTCGTACGAGGCAAATATATCCCTGTACTTATTCAACAATTCATTTAGTTTTGGGTCCTCAGTTTCCGGGAATGTATATGATCGGCCATCCTCTTTCTTCACCTCGGCCGTCACATTGACCGACCTAATTGTTACTTCATTACTGCTGGTATTGCTCAGTTCGATGCACTGTGCCGACCTTTGTACCTCGACGTTCTGTGGTACTCCTACCAGAGTATTAGGCGGTATAAAAATTTCCTCATCCAAAACATTTGCCACTAATCCTTGAACTAGTCCATTTTCCGCTGATGTGTATGTCCGCAGTAACACGACGCCTGCCCTCAGTGCGGCGCCACATGGTTCTATCATCACATCACCATTCACGCTTCTATCCCCAATTTGTAATGTGATTGCCTTGACCGTGTTTGCCGGGACTGATATCCTTCCTCTGGTCTTGGCAAACCTGGCCAACTTGGATCCCCGACCTGGTGTGGTCGATCCGACAATATTTGTAAGAAATTCTGGCAACTGGCCAAGAATATTCATGCCCAACAGGCAAGGTATATTTGACACATTTGTCTCTAGGTTGTGTTTCGTAACGAACACCCCAACCTGCTTCAACCTCTGTCCCGCCACCACGACATCCGCCAGAAAATAACCACAGTATGGAATGGTTAGTCCATTAGCTGCCGTCAGGCGCATGCATGTGTCAGACCTCAACCTATGGTCTTTTCCTTTCATCCATTTGGTGTAAAAATTTTCCGTAATTGTCGTCACCTGGGAGCCTGTATCCACAATTGCCTTCACCGCGATGTCCCCAATCGTAATCACCATTTCGGGACAGACTCCCATCATTTTGCTTCTTGGGCCATAACCTCGCCCCTCTGTAGCCTGGCCCTGCCTTACAGAGGACGACCGTTTCCCTGGCAGTACCGTGCCATATGTCCGGGTTGTGAACAGGACAAGCAAATTGGTCGACCGTCAGCCGTCCACCGGAGTGATGGACCGGCGGGTCGCGGCCGTCCAACCTGTCTCTGTTTTGTCCCGTTCTTTTCCTGATTCTCAGCTGTTGACCTGCTTTCCAACCTCTCCAATCTTTGGTTAACCTTATCCAGGTGGGCCAACAGTTGAGCCATCATGGTTTCCACCGTGCCGGTCCCCGTGGGTGGGGATTGTTTCTGTTCCGGCACAGAGACTTTGTCCACCGAACAGTTCGATTGGTCCTCATCCTCGGACCTGCGGATCGCTGAGTTCCTAACCTGAAGGAAGGTCAACTGCGGGTCTTTGTGGACCTCCTCTTTCAACTCTCTCCTTAAGATCGGGGTTGCTAGCCCCTCGATGAACTGGTCCCTCAGTAGGCGTACATCAATGTCAGGTGTTTTGCCCTTTACCGAATCAAAGGCCCTGTTTATTCGGTGTGAATACTCCATCACACTCTCCGCCATTCTCTGCTTTAAGCCTACGAACCCCGATAGCAGTTGCGATCCCGACCGTCTCTCCCCAAAGGTCTCCATAATTAGATCCAACACCTTATCTGGATCTGATTGGACGGTTTTATCGTGGCATTTGACCTCTGCCCTAACCGTCTCTCCTATACTGCCCATCAGCAGTCTTAATCTTTCCTCTGGTGACATGTTTCTCGAGGCCCAGGCCGCTTTGACCTCTTCACTGAACCTGTTGGTTAAAGTTGGATCACCGTCCCCGTAAAATTTGTTAATGTGGGACTCTCTGGGCAGGACCACAATATGGGTCTGCTTCTCGTCCAGAGTAGACATTTTATTCCTTTAGTAAAAAAAAAGAGTTCTTTCTTACCGTGTGTGTATGAAAAAATTTTTCCTCGTTCCTCAATTTTCACTGTTCCTGAATATCCGAATTCACACACACACTAAACACAGTTATGAACTAGGTTGACTATGGGTGCCTAAAGCGGCAAGTCTCGTTGAATTCATCCTGATCGCAGCGCCAAATGTAACGAGTCCCCGAGTCTATCCTGCCGACAACGCCAAATGTAACGAGTCTCTGGCTACCCTGCCGACAACGCCAAATGTGACCTTCCCGAGTCTAACCACTCATTCCACACAACATTGACCACAGCATAGATACTCGAAGATGCAGGTTCATTATTGATCCTTTTATTACATGAATCAAAGAATGCTTCACAATAATATAATGAATCAAGAGAGATGTTTCACAATAATAGTCTGAATCAACGGACCCCCAACAGTCCTCACTAGGCTTCATCTAACTGAATACACATGTCTAACGTCCTTCTTAACACAATACGGCTAACCCGTTCAATAACCAACTTGATACTCTCCCACACTGACTCACTGATCGAAAGCGGGCGAGAGAGAGAGACTGCGAGCTCAGCCGTCGCCTTCCTTATTTATCCCCTTCATATCCGTAATCATATTCGGTCCTATCATACTCGTAATCGTAATCGTTGCATTACGCCGCTTCTGTTGTACAGTCCGATTTAATAAGCCATCTGCATCCTGTCACATCAAAGTTGACAGACCGTCTTTCGTATCGCTTCCCGAGATACTACGCCCTGGCTTTCTGATCGTTATCAGCCACCACCTGTGTTATTACATAAGTCGTGTCAAAGTTGACAGCGCTGTACCGCTTTCTTATGTCTGGTAACTTCCCCTAGTTACATTTATATATATATATACTTTTCATTTTATATAATGTTAATAGTAATAATAAAGATTACAATTTCAGTAATTATAATCTTTAAACTTTAGACTTGTACAGAATTGTTTTATAATTTAATTTAAACCCTACATGTTTAACACTGCAAACTGTGAACAAAGGTTTACTTACTGCAACCTGTGAACAAAGGTTTACTTACTGCAACCTGTGAACTAAGGTTTACTTACTGCAACCTGTGAACTAAGGTTTACTTACTGCAACCTGTGAACTAAGGTTTACTTACTGCAACCTGTGAACTAAGGTTTACTTACTGCAACCTGTGAACTAAGGTTTACTTACTGCAACCTGTGAACAAAGGTTTACTTACTGCAACCTGTGAACTAAGGTTTACTTACTGCAACCTGTGAACTAAGGTTTACTTACTGCAACCTGTGAACAAAGGTTTACTTACTGCAACCTGTGAACTAAGGTTTACTTACTGCAACCTGTGAACTAAGGTTTACTTACTGCAACCTGTGAACAAAGGTTTACTTACAGCAACCTGTGAACTAAGGTTTACTTACAGCAACCTGTGAACTAAGGTTTACTTACTGTGGAGTGTAGTCTGTAAGTAGCTGCTCATTTGTCTTGATTGGATGAAATTTGCTTTCAGAAGATGTTGACATGATGACGACTAGTGGCTTTGTTGAGAGGCACCTTCTGACTGAAAGTTGAAAGATGGTTTTGTCTAGCTTCAACAGTTAGCTTTATAATACATTGTGTTACAGTTAAGATTTGGGCTCTGGTTAGGTACTGGGATATGGTCATAAGGTCAAGATTAGAATAAGGGTCAGGTAAACAGAAGACAAGTTCAAATTCTTCATATCTGATCAGAACAAGTGGCGTTTATTTATTACCTCTGAATGTGAAGGCATTCTGTGGTCAGCACAAAATGCCCTCAACTTTTACTACTTTCTCCTGGGTCAGATTAAAAGCATTGTGCTACTAGATCTAGTAATTTACATAGGCCCTACCTTGATTTTAATTAAGAAGTTGTTTGAACAATGGAACCAGGGTCATCTTCTGATTTTTTTAGGTAGTTTCAGCAATGCCCATAATAAATTTCTAGTAATTTTTTTTTTACAAGCCTCATAACTATATTGAAAATTTACTTACATAATGCTGAAAAGGACACCACCTTATTTAATATCGATGTTGATTTTTTAATTTGCATAATATATTTCATTTAGAAAAAATTGAATTAGTGAATTATTTTTTTTAATTTACTAGACCAAGTGAACTTAAATTTGTATTCATTCAGCTGAGTCACCACAATAGGACAGCCACAACTAGTCTAGAAAACTAGATAGATTCTAATTTCTAGGAGTGAATTACTTGAAAAAATAGGTAGAATCTAGATCTAGAATCTAGCTAAGTAGAGTTACTAGTAATGGACGCCAGCAAGAAAAGTCTCAAAGGTATTTGAGAGGCCCATAAATTAATTAAAAAATCATGCATGGCGTAGTTACAATTGATATGGTTATAAAATCCTGTCTGGTTTATTTCGGACTTTACTAAAAATTGGATGTATTTGATGTTTTTAATATTTTCGGTAACTAAATACAAATTTAAAAAAAAGCAAAAACAATTTGGTTTTCACGTGTAATGGCGACATAAACAATGGCATCCAGCTATTCGATAGGCTGCCATAAATTTTATTGTACACACTTTAAGCTAAAAGTAGAAAAACTAGGACATGGGGTTTAAATTTGCATTGTTATTTAAAAACTTAATCTTCAAAGTTTTGTAAACAAATAGTTATCGATCACTAAGTTACTGTACAGCTAATCAATATTTGTCTTACGAAAGTGAAACATCCGGTTATAACTTAGGCTTGATGAAAATAAATAGAAATGTAGCCTTAAACTCAACAAATTATTTTTAAGTTCTCTGGATTTGCAACTTTTATAGCATTTATTCTAAAAATATAAAATTTCTAAATTAATTTTAGGCTTAAGTTTTTATTTTTTATTTTTTTTTACGGTCTAAATCTAAAAAGCACATTTTTATTCCATGTCAACAACATTTTGGAAGGAATCTCGTCAACTCGCTGGTGTCCATTAGTATACTGCCTAGATTTTTAGATCTATTGACTATTACTATAGTATAGACTGGTTAAATTACAATGATGGTAATCTTGTCATTCTAATTCTACCCTACTAAAATTTAATTATATCTAGAATCTAGATCTAGATATCTAGATGAAGGATCTAGTGACTAATCTAGTCTGATTCTGTAATAACCTCTTACTTAGCTAATAAAACATTTTAAAATTGTATGAGGAGTTTCTATTAGAAACAAGACTAAGCCTACTTGAGTACTGGAGTAGTTACAAAAAATTGAACTCTAGATCAAGATCTAGCTCAGGGGTCTCCAAACTTTTCAACCCGAGGGCCGCATTAACTATCAAATATCAGTTCGGGGGCCAGTTTCTTCCGGGCATCTCTTTGGGGTGGCGGAGCCCCCCCCCCCTCCCCACTGAAGAACATATAGATCTACCCCCTTTCCCGAGTTTCCCTACCCCCAACGAAATATAAATTATATAGAAATATGTATAAATTTCAGCAACTCATCCAATGCAATTGAAAAATGGCGAAACTTGCATGCATTTTTTACTGTTTGAGTCATACGGCAGGCAATGGTATTTGCACCCAAAGCTACATTTTCAAATCGTTTTGAATTTTCTGGGCAAAGTTCCTCAGCCACCTCCAACAAACATTTTTTCCTTGGACAAAAATATCTCAGCGGGCCGGATGAGAGGACCTTGTGGGCCGTACTTTGGAGACCCCTGGTCTAGCTCATTGACATTAGTAGTAGAGGCTAGTGAGTAGTAGAGAATAAGAGTGTAAAAAAGAAGTAAAAGAATTTGGAATTAGACTAAATTGTCGGAAATGCTGAATGCTGTTTTAAAACTTTACTTACTTGTTCCTTTAATATTTAAGACTAGAGTCTAGACTTGATGATAATATTGATGGCTCTACTCTGCTAAGTAGTAAAGTAAGTAGAAGTCTAGTCTAGATATATTAGAGTCTATAAATTATTGAGTGGGATTTCAGTCACAGTGTTTAACACTTTGTGTTGTGAGATGATTACGGTTTAGTTAGTGAGTTAACCTCACTTTACACGTTGTTAGTTAGTTAGTTACGCTTTCTATCCTGAATTAAATGTAGACTAGATCTAGTTAGCAGAACAAAAGTCTGAACAGATTAACATATAGATCTAGTTATGTCTAGATCGAATCTTTCTATAATCTGCCTTCCATGCAAGTTTCTATCTCGTTTCAAAACAATAATAATGACTCGTCTAAAAATACATGACATTGATAGTAAATCGCCGAACTTAAAAATTTGGTTACGGTACTGTTATTTACTTCCGGTACAATTTTGTATTACGAATTTACGAGAACTGTTTTCCAAGAAAGCGTAGAATTATATATTCTAGATCTAGAAATCTAGATAATAGATAACATTAAAATTTAGTGAATATTCGTTGTAAACTCTAGGTCTAAAAACAGACGAGTGAAACTAGACTAGTTCTTCTAGAATCCCAATCTTAAACTTAAAGTCTTAGTTAATAAAGTAAGTGTAGGTGTAGAATTTCTGTCTATCTACTAGATCTAGTACTAGGTAGATCTAGGCCTACGTATTAGTCTATTAGATCTAGATTCTAGAGTCTAGATTACTCTAGGGTAATCTATCGTTTTAGGTACGTAAAATCGCCCGCGACTAGTAATGTGAAAAACAGGTGACTCCTTAAATTTTAATAATTATTTCACATTTTGAGGAGGATTTATGAAATTTATGTTTTGAAAAATACAGAAATGTTTCCTTGTTTCATTTATGTACCTGTTTTCAAACAATTGAATTAAAACTTTTCAGTAATAAATGAAGACGAGCGATGTTTCCAACAGATGCAACCATGCTCATTTACTAGATCTATAGCAGCCATCTTGTTTAAGTTATTTCTACGTTAACTTATAGTGGGAGATTCAGGGGAAGGCAACTCTATTTTACAAATGGCTGCTGTTTATATAGTATATAGGAAATCCTGCTCACAAACACTGCTGTTAAAAGTTAATTTCTTGCCTATATTGATATAGAAATCTACTTAGCTATTGATTTAGGTTTATTATTCATTTCTATAGGGTAAAGGAGGGCGTTAAGAGCCGTGTGGTATTAAGCCCCAATCAACACCCCACCCCCACAAAACCCCCAATAACATTGCTAATCTACTTCTGAGGTAACAACCACTGCTGTTCTTTGATAACAGAGAAGCAGAGGATTCATTTTATGTAATTTATGACCCACTTGGTCCAATAGGGAGAGGATGAGACAGGATTTAATCCCACTGCTCTTTCCCTAAAATTTCTCATCTCCATAAAACCATTTTGTGAACTTTTTTTCCAAATAGACATAACTTGGGAAACTTCACTTTGTAATAAACCAAATGAGTTTTTCAAGCCCATTCATTGTTCCTGTATTAGAGCATTGGTTGTTGTACATTTTAACACTATTTTTATAGCTATGGCTAGAATAGTTTTATTTTGGTGAATTTTTTTTGCACAGTGATTATTGGTGCCAAAACAAAATGGCTGACATTTGTCCCATTTTACCATGCTGTAAAGTTTTTATCATTATCAGAGTAAAACTTGACTGATCATTACCATAATGGTTTTATTTGTTAGATAATATCTAAATCTACATGAATACATTAATTTTGTCCAATAGCTTGCCTGTTCAGAAAAGTTATAACAGATTCTATAATGTGGCTCTTGAAACCCTATGTGCAAGTTTCTCATTTATTAGACCACTGAATATGACACTGGTATAGGAATAGTTAACACAAAATGTATAAATTGTTAAACAGACTTGTGTCTAAATGATAGAAATACAATTCTAACCTGCTAAAAAGTAAAAATTTAGCCATCTGATGTTAGCCAGGTAATTTTTAAAATGGTACATGTACTTATTACCCCTAAGGGGCAATACAGCCAACTCAGCCCCCGCCTGTTTCTAACCAACCATAAAACTTCTAATCTCTTTGTAGGTAACAGGAATAAATGTTCTTAGGTCTCAGCCAATCTGGGGTGGTATGTTATGTAATTTATGACCCTCATGGTCCAGCAGGGAAGTAAACAGACACATTAATACCACTGCTCCCCCTTACAATTTCTTACCCCCATGATACCCAGCCCCCACCAGTTTCTGGCCCACCATAAAACTTCATCTCTTTGTAGGTAACGGATTACAGTTACAGATCTCAGACAATCTGGGGTGGCATGTTATGTAATATATGACCTTCATGGTCTAGCAGGGTGGAGACCAAAGAGTAATCAGTACCACTGCTCTCCCATCACAATTTCTCACCTCCATGATAGCCAGACCCCACCTGTATCTAACCCACCATAAAACTTCATCTCTTTGTAGGTAACATGGACTAAGTTCTTAGATCTCAGCCAACCAGAGATAGCATCTCCTTATGTAATTTATGGCCCTCAGGGTCCAGCAAGGAGAAAAAAGGGGAAACCAGTACCACTGCTCTCCCCTCACAATTTCTCACCCCCATGATACCCAGCCCCCACCTGTATCTAACCCACCATAAAACTTGTCTCTTTGTAGGTAGCATGGACTTAGTTCTTAGATCTCAGCCAACCTGAGATAGCATCTCCTTATGTAATTTATGGCCCTCAGGGTCCAGCAAGGAGAACAAAGGGAAACCAGTACCACTGCTCTCCCCTCAACATTTCTCACCTCCATGTCATGTTATGTAATGTATAGCACACATGGCTTATCAGGGGAAAGCATTAAGGCAGATTAGTTAGTACCACCCCTTTTTACATACAAGAATGTTAACTCTGGACAGCTACACACTAGTATACTAGCTACACACTAGCCATACTAATGTGCCTACTGTAAACTACTAGACTGTAGGCCCTATGTAGTATATACACCTGCAATTGTATCAATTGTAGACTGGGCCCATTGGAGCCTAGTGATAGCTAGTATCAGTTAAAGTGTGTGTACACAGCATTAACTATTTTGGGGTTAGAAATTAATTATTTTTATTGCGGAGTTAGTCTAAACTAGGAGATAATACTTATTGCCCCATTGCCCGGCTCCTTTCACCCCAAATGCTGATTTCGGGGGTATGACAATAAATGTTCAATTAAACCCATTTAAAGTATATTTAATAGACTTTGTTATTATTTTTATATTGTGTAAGATATGTTAGAATAATTTTGCCATATTTTCAATACTAAAAAATTCTTAGATTAGTAGAGATCTTTAAAAATGTACAAGTGCTAAAAAGTGTGGCTCTTAACGCCCTCCTTTACCCTAATATTTGACACAAATATATGAAAATATACTTTTAAAAGCCTTGACAATGAGGTAACTTTTTCGTACATTACTAGCCGCTGGCCATTTTACGTACCCAAAACGATAGATTACCTACTCTAGATCTACGTAAAATCGCCCGCGACTAGTAATGTGAAAAACAGGTGACTCCTTAAATTTTGATAATTATTTCACATTTTGAGAAGGATTTATGGTTTGAAAAATACAAAAATGTTTCCTTGTTTCATTTATGTAGGCCTACCTGGTTTTAAACAACTGATTTAAAACTTTTCAGTAATAAATATTAAATAAAGACTAGCGATGTTTTCAACAGATGCAACCATGCTCATTTACTATAGCAGTATAGCAGCCATCTTGTTTATTTTTTTTATTGTAAACTTATAGCGAAATATTCAGGGGAAGCCACTCTAACTACTTACAATGGCCGCTTTTTATATAGATAGCAAATCCTGCTCGCAAACACTGCTGTTAATTTCTTGCCTAGATCTATATTGATATATTTAGCCATTGATTTAGGTTTATTATTCATTTATCTATATTTGACACAAATATATTATAATATACTTCTATTAAAACCTTGACAATGAGGTAACTTTTTCGTACATTACTAGCCGAGGGCTATTTTACGTACCTAAAACGATAGATTACCGAATTTCTAGATCTAGACACAGATCTAGATCTAGAATCTAGCTAGATTTAGAATATAATCTAGGCTAGATCTGATCTAGCTCTAGCAGCTAGTCAGCTGCTAATCTAGATCTCGATTCGGATAATATTTAGAGAATCAACCCTTTGAATCCCGGACCGATCGTCCCCCCGGCGTGGCCTCAACCTACCCACGGGCTCGTTGCATTGAGTTAAATATATACTAAAAACAATAATATTAACAATCTCCTTTCAGTCGGTTAGGCCTAAGTAGTAATGTAAAATAAAAGGTTACTCATTATTATTAATTTAAACGAGCCGACCCGCAGCGTATCATACGCCGCTATTTAGTTGTTTTATTTTCTACTTTTCAGTAATTCATAATTTGTAAATTCGACAGTACCAATGCTGCCACTGAAAATATTTGCTTTAAAACACTAACCCCCCCCCTTTCCCCTAACCCCGATACTACACCCCCCCCCCCCCCGTGAAAGCAGCCTCCTCTTAGTTATTTCTTAGTTACCTCCTGTAAGTTTAAAATCGAACTAAATTATCTGCCCCTAATAGAAACCCGGCTGTACGGCTCTTCGATTTGTAAACATTTAGCTTTGTAAAAATTTAGAGTGAACACTGCTCACCAGACAATGTTGGGGTGGGGGTGGTAGTGATAGTGATAGAGAGAAAGAGAGGGGACTGCAAGGAGGCGCTTGCAGCTTGTTTTCTAACTGATCCCAGAAGAGAATTATATATATAGATATTATTATGGCTTTACATAATACAAGTTAACTGTGATATAGATCTAGGCCTATTTTGTGTCAAATATAATAGATAATTGAATAATAAACTGCCAAAAGTGCCAGAAAGCAATGTCTAACGATTTAGACTTTGGTCTAAAGACTAAATATTTCAATATGCTGAATAGGTGCCTATAGGCCAGAAATTAACTTTAAACAGCCGTGTTTGCAAGCAAGATTTTCTAGTATCCTAATAATATATAAACATGGGCAATCTGGTTAAAAGAACTGCTTGATTTGTCACCCTGTTTCAGCCCTGGCTTCAGACCTTTTATGTCTACATGAACTTGAACTGAAGGAGTGTTTATGCTAAGAAAGAAAACACCCTCATCAAAATATCCAGTCTTGTTTGAACTTTAACACTGGACTTACAATTTATTTATATTTGCTTTTTATTAGAGTTGTCTAGGCCAGTGCTCAACAAAATGTATGACCAAGAAGCAGGGGAACAATTCTTCAATGAAGACTCGTTCCAAGAAAAAGCTGTTAGACTTGGTAAGGCCAGATTTTGTAAAATGTAAAAATAAATGTTTATTATCAAAAGATGTTTGCATTCTGTAAATTTGAAATGTTAGTCACTGAATAAATCAGATCGCTATGCAGTCTTTGTGGTGTATACAAAATACCAAAGTTAAGGATATTGATTACAATAACTTTTGTCCAACATTTCAGGATTTATTCGGAAAGTTTATGCCATTCTATCTGTGCAGATTGGCATCACTGCTGCGCTTATAGCTCTCTTTGTCTATGTGTAAGTTCACCCCTTATTGTTATAGATAACAGGTAGACTGTGTAATATATTATCTGTGAGCTTTACATTCAAATTGTTGAGATACTAGAAATAACCATTCAGTCTTTAAACTGACAGTGTAGAGTTTGACCTTAAATCAAATCTCCATACACTATCATTTAAAGTCAGACCCTAGATTACTGCATACATTTGGGTTATGTGCAAAAAGTATTTCCTGTAGTTTTTGTGTTGGTGTCACCATCTAACTGTCACCTTCTGTTGTTCCCCAGAGATCCAGTCAAAGAATACTCAAGAGACAATCCATGGATGTGGATTTTGGCCTTGTGAGTTGTATCCATAATTTTGTCAGTTCAAATCTCAGTTCAGTTGTCATAGATTGTTGGGATAAAATTTTATAAAGATTTCTATGTGACTTAGTCTCCACTTGTAGTAAAATTACCTCTTATGACTTTGATAATTTTCAGTGTCATGACCTTTGTCATCATCATAGTTCTTGCGTGCTGCCCAGACTTCAGGAGGAGATCTCCAATCAATATGATTCTTCTCATGACTTTCGTATGTTTGTTGTTTTTTCATTTGGTTTTTTTTACTGCTAGGGACTGTTTTGTAGTGCTGTTCATTTATTGAAAAAAGTCTGTTAAGTTGTGATAACAATTATAAATTTGTTATGTTGTAGTTATAACAATAACCAACTAAATTTGTGATGTTGTTGAGACAGTAACTAAATTTGTGATGTTGTTGAGACAGTAACTAAATTTGTGATGTTGTAGAAAATAAATGTTAACTTTTTCTGTCCCAGACTGGTTGTGAGGGAATCCTGCTAGGAGCTGTTTCAAGGTAGGTGCAGGTTGGTCATATCAGTAGGGTTGTCCAAACCATGGGCTGGTCAGTAGGGTTGTCCAAACTATGGGCTGGTCAGTAGGGTTGTCTAAACCATGGGTTGGTCAGTAGGGTTGTCTAAACCATGGGCTGGTCAGTAGGGTTGTCCAAACTATGGGCTGGTCAGTAGGGTTGTCCAAACCATGGGCTGGTCAGTAGGGTTGTCCAAACCATGGGCTGGTCAGTAGGGTTGTCTAAACCATGGGCTGGTCAGTAGGGTTGTCTAAACCATGGGCTGGTCAGTAGGGTTGTCTAAACCATGGGCTGGTCAGTAGGGTTGTCCAAACCATGGGCTGGTCAGTAGGGTTGTCTAAACCATGGGCTGGTCAGTAGGGTTGTCCAAACCATGGGCTGGTCAGTAGGGTTGTCCAAACCATGGGCTGGTCAGTAGGGTTGTCCAAACCATGGGCTGGTCAGTAGGGTTGTCCAAACCATGGGCTGGTCAGTAGGTTGTCCAAACCATGGGCTGGTCAGTAGGGTTTTTCATTTAATAGGTTTGTTAGTAGGGTTGTCCATTTAATAGGCTGGTCACTGGGTTGTCCATAACTTAATGCGCTGTATATTGTATCTGTAAGATATTAACACTATGTCGTTTGTGCTTGTCAGATAAATTTAGTTTGATTATTTCAGCCATTATGAAAAAGATGAAGTGTTGATGGCTGTAGGCATCACAGCAGTGAGTCATCATAATGTCCACTCATGTCACCATATGTTGTCTTTGTTTCAATGGTTGCTAGTTAGCAAGTAGGGCGGTTAAGTCTTTAACTGATTGCGAGTTAACATATATGACCATTAGGTCTTTACCTGATTGCTAATTAGCATATATGACAGTTTAGTCCTTACCTGATTGCTGATTAGCACATATGACAGTGTAGTCCTTACCTAATTAATGACTTGTATGTACCACAGGTTGTTAGTATAGCCCTGACAGTGTTTGCATTCCAAACCAAGGTGAGTCTGGTTTTTTAATGACCTTCCTGGAGGGGGGAGGGGTGTCCTTCAATGAAATCATGTTTTTTTTACTTTCTCGTATATACGAAGTATAGAGAAAGTATTGTAATCGTGCAAAAAAAATTGAGATTTTTACAAATCTCAACGTTTTACACCTCACTGATACGGAAAAACATAATTTTGCAATCTTGTCCGTATGTCTGTGTGTCTGTCTGTGTGTCTGTCTGTGTGTAAACACGATAACTTGAGTAACGTTACAGCTAGGTTGATGAAATTTCATATATAAGTATTCTATCAAAATCGTAGATCCTGATCAACTTTTGAGCGACTTCCGATAACCGGAAGTGGTACTTTTTCTATTTTAAATTTTTCAAAAGCCTATAACTTAAGTACTATTTCAGATAGATCAATGAAATTTCACATGTAAGTAAAAGATCTAATTCTCTACCTTCTTTCAAATTTTGAGTAATTTCCGTTGACCGGAAGTACTAATAATTTACGCTATTTCCGATTTCTCAAAAAACGCATGTAAATTTATAAAGTACTAATAATATTGCACACTATTATGCACAATTTGTTTTGGCGTTCGCTTGGTGCGCAATTCTTTTTTCTATGAGATTCTATTCTATTTTTAAAAGTTTAAGTAATTAAAAATCATGTCTATATTCCAAGTTATATAAGAATATTCGAGAAAGTTTAGGGGAGATCACTCCCGGTTTATGTTTCATATTCTTTACACCCCATCCCCATCATTACACAGAGACAAGTCCCACCCCTAAATAGAAGCAATGCTTCAACCTTCTTTCTAAATGACAAGTAATTTTTTAGAGAATAAGAATTTTTTCCTGAAATAAGTTGACCAGGAGCAATATTAGGTGTATACTGATCTATTTTTACAATCAGTGTAGACTATATACAGCGTGTGTAACCGCAGTGACCTTGTGTACATGTGGTCAGCACATTGACCTTCTAGAGTTGCATACATGGACTGTGTGCTTAGCACATTGACATTCCACTATTAAAGTGATATTTGTCCACATGATTGTGTTGTAACCTCGCTGTATCTGTCCACATGATTGTGTTGTAACCTCGCTGTATCTGTCCACATGATTGTGTTGTAACCTTACTGTATCTGTCCACATGATGTAACCTTACTGTATCTGTCCACATGATGTAACCTTGCTGTATCTGTCCACAGTGGGACTTCACAATGATGGGAGGGCTCCTCTTTGTTTTTGTCATTGTTCTCTTTTGTTTTGGACTGCTCTGTGCTATCATCCAAAGCAGGGTAAGTCAACATTTTGTCCACATTTTGTTAGCATTGTAGATCTAATCAATATACAACAATAAGAAAATTAGTTGAAATAATTGTCTCTAGTGAAATGTATTTACTTAGAAATGTATGGCCAAGGCAGATTGTATAATGTGATTTAGTTGAGATGATGCAGATTGTGTGATGTATTTTTGTTGAAATGATGCTGATTGTATGATGTGATTTAGTTGAGATGATGCAGACTGTATAATGTGATTTAGTTGAAATGATGCAGGTTGTATAATGTGATTTAGTTGAGATGATGGCTGATTGTATGATGTGATTTAGTTGAAATGATTGTCATCTTTTTGAATATTTCAGTGGTTGAGCTTGGTTTACTCATCTATTGGTGCTCTGCTCTTCTCCGCAGTAAGTTTACTTTTACCTCTAGATATGGTTGCAAGTTTTAAATTAGCCTATCAGAGGCCATAATGCATAATGCATTTCAAAATTGTTCTGATTTTTAAAAAAAATCTTATAATATTTCTATTTAAAGAAAATATTTGATGTGTCATGATACCACCATTGTTGCCCACTGTGTCATGATACCACCATTGTTGCCCACTGTCTGTATCATGATACCACCATTGTTGCCCACTGATACCACCATTGTTGCCCACTGTATCATGATACCACCATTGTTGCCCACTGTATCATGATACCACCATTGTTGCCCACTGTATCATGATACCACCATTGTTGCCCACTGATACCACCATTGTTGCCCACTGTATCATGATACCACCATTGTTGCCCACTGTCTGTATCATGATACCACCATTGTTGCCCACTGATACCACCATGTTGGCCACTGTGTCATGATACCACCATTGTTGCCCACTGATACCACCATTGTTGCCCACTGTATCATGATACCACTCACCATTGTTGCCCACTGATACCACCATTGTTGCCCACTGATACCACCATTGTTGCCCACTGATACCACCATTGTTGCCCACTGTGTCATGATACCACCATTGTTGCCCACTGATACCACCATTGTTGCCCACTGATACCACCATTGTTGCCCACTGTATCATGATACCACCATTGTTGCCCACTGTGTCATGATACCACCATTGTTGCCCACTGATACCACCATTGTTGCCCACTGATATCACCATGTTGCCCACTGATACCACCATTGTTGCCCACTGATACCACCATTGTTGCCCACTGTGTCATGATACCACCATTGTTGCCCACTGATACCACCATTGTTTCCCACAGTACCTGGTGTTTGACACACAGCTGATGCTGGGAGGAAAACACAAATACTCCCTCTCACCTGAGGAGTACATCTTTGCTGCCCTTAACTTGTACCTGGACATTGTAAACCTCTTCCTCTTCATCCTCTCCATCATTGGCAGTTCCAGAGATTAAAGGTCAAGGTTTATGTGATATACAGCATATATTTAATGTGATTTATTGCAGCCAGGCTTAACAACAGTTAAATGTGATTTGCTTAGGTTGTAAAACATGATTAGGTTGTACCAAGTGATTAGGTGTTTTTGGTGAAATACAATGACTTATCATTTCATTTTACAACATGGCTTATAATCCTGCTCATTTTTTCTTCTTTGTCGTGGGCAAAATATTATAACAGACTTCCTTTGTGGTTTATTAAGTCTTATAATTAGGTGTTTTACATCATCATAATTAAGCTGATTTCGTTGTTTTATATTTGTTTGTTTTTATGATCTGAGTACACATAAGAAAAAAAATCTCATCAAATCTCTCCAATCTGCTTAACAACTCTATTCTCTTCACATTTTTGGTGAAATTTAGAACGGACAATTTTGGTGAAAAGTTGGATGACAAAATTGGTTAAATATTTTATGGTTGTTCTTAAACATTATTAGCATAGCAAGGCAAATATAAAATTTTACCTGGTGATTTAATTTTTTAATCCTGTGATGAAACTGCTTCAAATAGTGATGTGGTTAACCAGTTAATTATAATCAAAATAACCAGCCTGCAGTGTGAACATCTTTAGAGCTGCACAGACTTTGTTGCTCCTTAAAGGGTTAACAGATAATTTATTTTTGTACATGTTGGTATTTGGTGTACATGGTAAGTTCTGTCCAAATTTTGACTTTTGTCAAACTTACCTATTGTACAAAGATTAATTCTTGACAAACTTATGTGAGTAGTATCCAGGATTATTTTTTTAAAACCCTTTACTGTGGATTTGAGTGCTTACTGTACTGTATGTGGTACTGTCTTTTGTGCCAGACTTGTGTTTATGTGTAGAATTGAAGTTCATAAGTAATGAGGTTTTAAACGTATGGACGGAAGCCAGAAACAAGTTTGATTTTGTTTGTATGCTTTTCTCTTTGTTCTATCAAGGGAGCTAATTTTTAAAGTTCATTTTTTTAAATAATGAAAGTTGAGTTAGTGAAATTTAAAGTAATTAAAATCTACCTTTGCTATGTTGAATCAGGCTTCTGTTATTTAATGAAGTGATAGCAAAAAATAAAATACTGGTAGTTCCAGTGACTGCAGAAATTGTTTTTGACATTTAAAATGTTTTTTATCATAAAGCTGTGGATTCTCTTTTGGTTTTTAAAAATTGTTTTCTAGGTGTGATTTTTTTTTATCATATGTTAATTATTACACTATTTAATTTAGACTTTAAGCATTATACAGGGAAAGTTTCATGTGTTTTAGTTTTCAGTCAGTCAGGTATGTGGATATCTAAAGAAAATTTAATTTTAAGTGGCAGGATTAAAAAAAAGTAATTTTACTTTTGGCCATAACGTTTTACACTAGGGCAGTAAAGGGTACATGACATTTTTTTTCTTGTGGGATTTTAACTTGCTTTGGCAGTTTTTCCACCCCCCTGTATTCTTGTCTTTGTTCATTAATTTGAAAAATCCTTTATAATTTAAATAGGATTTTCTGCTTAAACAGCCAATTTTTTCCATTCCAATCGACTGTGCTTGCTTTACATAACTTGAAAGATAAGAATATTCATGAACTTGATGCTCTGTACTTTGGCTCAGTGAGTAGGCCTCCAGCTAGTGGAGCTGTTGACAGATTATTGCTGACTTTTGGTATTTAGTCTGTTTCAGGGATTCCCCTAATGCTAACAATTCCTTCACCTAGGTTAGTTCTATTATAGACCAGATCATTCTTGGATCCTGAGGTGCCACACACTTTAAAAAATATTAAAATTAGAGCTTTAAAAATTAGACATTTAATGTTTTAGGAATCTATATTATAGAAATTTCAAATGTGGAGACCTTGAAATATTTTTGATTTTGATGCTCCATTTTATTTACATTTTCTTGACTGTCATTGCTAGTTGTATTAGTTATCTAGTACAAACTTTGATTGACTATTTTTTAATTACGACAACCATAGTAGTAGTAGTTTCTTTGCTCATTTGTATTTGAAAGTATGTTTTTACTGCATCATTGAAGGTGTTATTCATTTTTTTTTTAAAAGTTAGAAACCAATACTTGCATGCTTTTTGTAATATCCCCTATAATTTATACTAAGATTGTTTTTTTTCCTCAACTTTTTAGTCACCAGAAATATTAAAAACACCAAACAATTTGATGAAAACAACATGTACTTTAGTTTTTATAATCATGTTGTAGTAGCACTGTGCAGGTTTTATAAATGTTTATTTGCCCCTGAAGAGTGGTCTAAGGCCACTGGGTAGAGTTGTGTCCCATCATATCCTTACAGTGGGGTAGCCAGAGTTGTGTCCCATCATATCCTTACAGTGGGGTAGCTTTTTAATTACAGCGCCCTGAAATCCATCCACCAGGAAAGATTTTACAGGCAATCTTTTTTTCCCCTTTGTGTAAATACATTTGCATGTCATAATTTTCAGTACTTATTATATATTCAAGTTTTCCAGTTATTTTTGGAGGGTTACGTTGTCAGCTTTTTTTTGTGCTGACAGTTTCAGTATTTATATCCCAGGTTTTTCTTTTTTATCAATTTAAAAAAAAATTGTGAACTGCCATGTCAGCAAAATCTAGTCAATAGAGATGTTTTAATTTAAAAATAGGCCTATATAAAAAAACAAACCCACTATTGTTTGAATGGCCTGATCAATTTAAGGTTTTAAAAAATAGTCATCTGATTGTTTAAAACAAAAGGGATCATTGATTTTTTTTTAAAAAAAGGTCGTTTGATTTTTAAAAATTGTTACCTGGTCTTTATAGGCTTAATTTTAGAACTGGAAACTTACATTCAGATAATTCAATTCCATTTCGTTTTCTGTTCCTTTTTATAATATGGATTATGTTCTGAAAGGGGTAAATTTTATCTTGTAGAATGTGAAAAGTGTGAAACAAAACACACCTTTCTAACCTCTGTAAATAGAAGATTTTTATTTACCAATCTTTCTTGACTCAGTATTGTAATTTTGTTGTTTCTTGACAAGTTAGGATTCATTAAAATGTTTAAGCTTAAATGGCTTTGTTTTGTTATTATTTAAATGTGCTTTTATTGAACCATTGGGTGCTGACTTCTCATATCCATTTTAAGACTGGATCTGGACAAAAACACACATTTAAGACCTATTTGCTAGTAGCTCCCACCATAATATAGCTTATCACTCAATATTTTACAATTATATTATTACTAATTTTCAAACAGTTTTATTTAAAATATAAAGAAAATAGAAGGGAGAGCATCAAAATTCTTAACCACCAAATTGTAAATAGTATTAAGCTGTATATTAAATGTGAAACCAAAATTTAGAAAACTTACAATTTTTTAAGTGTTTAATTATATATATAACTATTATTATAATTCTATATATAATTATAAGTATAATGATTTAATGTAAAATATTTAAAAACAGAAACCTTTATTTTTTAGTGGTGTGAATAGTTCTGAACCTTTAAAATGCTTCAGAAAAACATGAACCATAATTTACATTGTTTTACACATCAGTCTCCAGTCTATAGAAGTGCCAGACAGGTCACAGATAATTTTGTGGGGGTACTGAACCTCTCACTTGTGTTACCCCCTGTTTAAACCTTTATAAACCTATTTGTTTCCTTGACCTGCATGTCTGTAGTTTTTAGAAACACCACACAAGATACATAAAGTTAAGACTGCAGAGTGTTTAAGTTTTGAGTTATATGACTTAGCTACGATGACGTAGATATTAACTGAACATTGTGTAAGAACATGGCAACCCTTCCCTCCACTTTTGAATGTCCTTGCTTTCATCTTTTTAAATTTGCAGCAGAAGTTGTTGGAAAATTTCTTTCCAGCTTAGGAAGAGACAAAATCTTGAATGTGAAACTTACCTAACCACAATCACAACTAATTGGGGCACCAGTTGTAAACAGCAAAAAAAAAATACGAGCCAAACAAGACAGATTTATTTTTGAAATTTGCTTTTAAACATCTAAATACATCTAAGAGAAGACAAAGTTGATATATATATACAAACATTAGATAAAGCTCCAACAATGATTACATCAGCAAGTAACAATCAAATACAAATTGATCTCGTAGGCCAATTCTGCCTAGTCATCTAGATAGATCTTCTGTACACAAAGGTAAAATAGTGTTGTGTGTCTATGGTGGTCAAAGCATGCAGTACAATTCATGTTTATAAATACCAGCAGTTTTGCCATGGTAGAAATCTTACTGTCAAATTTTAGAGTCGCTATTTAGTTTTTTGAAAACTACAGATATTTTTTCTCAAAGCTAAAATTTGGTTCTCTCTCTGCTCAGTGAACTTTGTCCTTTTCAGTCATTTAACTTAGTCATTACTTTACTCAGTGAATGTAGTAATTTCTTTACACAGTGAACTTAGTCAATTCTTCACTCAGTCAACATAGTCATTTTCAGTCATTTAACTTAATCATTTCTTTACTCAATGAATTCAGTCATTTCTTCACTCAGTGAATTCAGTCATTTCTTCACTCAGTGAACTGTAGAACCTGTGACACCTCCCACAAAATGTCCACAAGATGCTGCAGCAAATGCACAGAAAACATTTGTACAAGCTCCCAACACCAGAATTTTACTTGCACAATTTCAGAATTTTAAATCTTCACATGAACTATATTTTAAAATAATAACAATATATTCTAGTCACCTATTTAACTTTATATTTTAATTTTCAACACTACTTACATCTACCTTCACTGTTAGTTTAAAAGCATCTGTCCCACAAGGTAAACATTCCAGTTAGAACTGTGCAGTGGAGTTAGACTGTTTACCTTTCCTGTGTAGAGCTTACAGTTCAGTGGATTGCTTTTGTTGTCACTATAATTAATGATGGAACAGCCTGGTGTGTTCATGCAAAGAACAGAGCACTCTATTAATGTGTAGGAGTAGCACCCCTTGAATGGTGACTCAACAAAACTGGTGTTTGTCAGAGAGAGCCAAATATTGGTTTCAGCCCCACCTGTGGATTAAGGAGTCAGTTCTACAACACTTCACGAAGTCTACAACCTTGACATTGGAGAAAGTAAAGTGAATGGGGGGGTGGACTAAAATTTCCAGAGGGCGGACACTCTTAAAAGTATATATTTTCTATATAAATTCCATTTCGTTCGGGGGGGGGGGGGGGTAGACTTTCTTCAGGGGGCTGAGTGCCCCCAAAGAGATGCCTAGAAGAAACTCTGCTCTTGTCTACTAATCCACTTAGGTATTATTAGCTAATCCCTGGTAATAAATAATATTTTATGACAATGTAGTAGATGCACTCAAATTTAAGGTAAAAATGTGTAAAACATTAACTTGCATTTATATTAACTTACAACCCTACCTACAATTTACTTTCACCCTTAGATTTTATTCTAAACCATGTACCTTAAGTCCTAGAAATTTTTACCATGTAAACCTCCAACAGTTAGAAAAAAAAAGATATTTTTCATTGGACTTATGGATCATGACATGTTGTAGGGGATTATTAAATGAGGACTGAATACAAGTGTAAAAAATTCAAAGAGCAAATAGTATTAATTGAGCACTAAAATATTCAGAGGGTAGACCATTAAGGTATGCACCTGGAGTCAATGTCTGTCAATTTTTAAATAGCTTTTGTTCAAGTTTATACATTGGAACCCTGTTTGATTAAACTTCATGAGTCTGGGCATGGGGTTGGGCATGGGGCTGGGCATGAAACTTGGCATGAGGGAACAGAAATGGAAAAGTATGCATGTAGGACTTAAAGGTTTCAAAGATCTTTGTCACATGAGGTTGTCCACTCCGAGAACATGAGAAGGTTGATGTCCACTTAACCCATGGAACATAAAGGGGTTAACGTCTACTTACTTAACCTGCGACACACGTCAAGGACTTGGGTCCACAGCAGCGTGACATTGTTGCAGCTCGTTTCCTTTTCTTTCATCAGGTCTGAGAACTCTGTTCCCTCATCACACTTGTACACGGCGTGTGTGCTGTCTGTGGTTTTGATGATGGTCGACTGGGCTATTGGTGGAGGGTTGACGGCACAGAAGAACCCTGAAAAAAAAATCAGTGGTCATCTCAATCAGGGGTCTCCAAACTTTTCAATCCGAGGGCCGCATTAACTATCAAATTTCAGTTCGTGGGCCAGTTTCTTCCAGGCATGTCTTTGGTTTTTCTGGCCAAAGTTCCTCAGCTATCACCAACAAACAATTTTTTCTTGGACAAAATGATCTCCGCGGGCCGGATGAGAGGACTTCGCTGGCCGCATCCGGCCCGCAGGCCGTAGTTTGGAGACCCCTGATCTAAATCATTTACTAAACCATCTTCAGTAGTCAACAGAAAAATAAACCATATATTTACCTCCCCTTAGCGATTTCTATATAAATATAGATTTTCATGGCCATTAGACTTCGACTGATCTGACTAAAATGTTTTGGGTAAAAAAAATCCCGACCTCCAGTTAAAATTCTCCTAATGCTGATGACCACAACATTACATTTTGTGTATGTCAAGTCCATTATTTTCTCCTTGACTGAAATTTGCTATCTGTATAGTCTCCAACATTTTGACCAATTTTATTCTAATTATGTATTGTCTAGTGTTTAATTAATATAGATGTGGCACATGTTTAATTACTTTATTAACCTATTAATTATTTTAAAAGTATTTTGATCCTAACTTTGACACCATTTCTTGTTGTAAGTACGGGCCTACTCTGCTACTGAAAGTGTAACTAATCCTAGCCTTACTTTCACACATAGGTTCCACGTAACTCCAGCTGCCATTAAGATTGCACTGAGTTGACTTGACCGTTGAGTTGTCAGAGGGGAAGAAACATCCTTCCTGGCAAGTAAAAGTTACCACTGTGCTGTACGTGTAAAAACTGGCACTCCCGTTGGACACTGCATTGGTCACCACTGGCGTGTCATAGCACTTTATGGCTGCAGTTGTAAAAAAAGTTGAAATACACATATACATACATTTTAAATTTATAATGATAATTAGTAGTATAATGTAATTAATTTATCCTTCATAAATGTTTAAACAAAAATTGAATCATGCTTAAAGTAAATACATTTTTAAAATTGTTTTTAAATAAAAATTGTAACTAAAAATGTTTTTTTATTGAAGTGTGGTTAAAACAAATGTTAATTATAAAAACTTGATTGTATAGTATAGTAGTGTGACATTTCTGTGGCATATTTTGTTGTTTTTAAAATATTGAAAAAGCCAAAAGTTTTCTTCCTCAGGATCACATGCTAAATGTAAACCAAAAATGGCTTAACTAGGTCATGCTGAGTTTAAAAATTAGAAATTTAAAAAAATTCACAAATGAATATGAAAGTTGGGGTTACAGAACTGAAATCATGACCAATAATATGGCCAAAGTTTGTCTTACTTAAGCAAAATTTCAGAAAAGTAAGACAAAAATATATTTATATTCTCAACATATGCATATTTTATAACGAAATGACTACTCGGAAGAATATTTTTCTCCCCTATGTCTCCACTTAGTCGTCTAAAGATAGCTCTGTGCATGCGCAGTGACATATGGCTAGGGTTAGGGCTAGAATGAGGGTTAGGGGTAGGATTAGGGTTGGTGTTAGGGTTCTGCGGTTGTAAACACACGCATGCGCAGTACCATCGAAAACATCGCAGCGAAGGCAAGTCGTAGTTTCTCTCCATTGCGAATGCATATCGAATGCGTATCTTATTTCGGCTAGCATCGGCCATTTTATAAAAGAGATTCTTAAAATATTGAATTTCTGAATTTTTTTCAGCTTTATTTTTAACTTTTCTTTAATGGTTTCTCAGAAGATGGGAAAAAAACAACACATTTTTAATTAATGTCAAGAATAATTTTTATGTCCCTCTCTAACATGGTTATTGTAATAAATGGATGGCTTGCTAAGATAAAATCTATCCAAAAGATAAAATCTATCCAAAAGATAAAATCTATCCAAAAGATAAAATCTATCCAAAAGATAAAATCTATCCAAAAGATAAAATCTATCCAAAAGATAAAATCTATCCAAAAGATAAAATCTATCCAAAAGATAAAATCTATCCAAAAGATCTATCCAAAAGATAAAAATGTCTTACGCTGACAAGCTGGAGCAGGTGGCTGCCATCGCTTCATCTCATTACATGTCATGTTCCATACCTCCATGGTGCCGTTAAAGTTGTAGGCTATGTTAGTACAGCGGTAGCGCACTGTGTCTCCATACAGAGTTGTGTTGGTCTCTTGGTAGCGCACTGTGTCTCCATACAGAGTTGTGTTGGTCTCTTGGTAGCGCACTGTGTCTCCATACAGAGTTGTGTTGGTCTCATTAGGTATTATCTGAGCATTGGTCACAACAGGGACAGATCCACAGCTGACTTCTACAAGTTTAAAATGTCAAAAGGTAATCATCTGTACAAGTTTAACATGTCAAAAGGTAATCAACTGAACAAGTTTAACATGTCAAAAGGTAATCAACTGTACAAGTTTAACATGTCAAAAGGTAATCAACTGTACAAGTTTAACATGTCAAAAGGTAATCAACTGTACAAGTTTAACATGTCAAAAGGTAACTGTACAAGTTTAACATGTCAAAAGGTAATCAACTGTACAAGTTTAACATGTCAAAAGGTAATTAACTGTACAAGTTTAACATGTCAAAAGGTAATCAACTTTACAAGTTTAACATGTCAAAAGGTAATCAACTGTACAAGTTTAACATGTCAAAAGGTAATCAACTTTACAAGTTTAACATGTCAAAAGGTAATCAACTGTACAAGTCTAACATGTCAAAAGGTAATTAACTTTACAAGTTTAACATGTCAAAAGGTTATCAACTGTACAAGTTTAACATGTCAAAAGGTAATTAACTGTACAAGTTTATCATGTCAAAAGGTAATCAACTGTACAAGTTTAACATGTCAAAAGGTAATTAACTGTAAAGTTTCTCCACAGACTTTTATGTTCCATTATGGCAAGAATTAAAAGGACAAAGAAGGCACACAATGTCCAGATGATGAAAATAAAATAAAAACCAATGTTGTTTGTTATATATTTAAACATTCAGTTTCTGGAAGGTCGTTAGGTTTTAACAGGCCAATAGTTTCCAGTTTGTCCAGTTAAGTTGGTCAAACTTGACTAATTAGGTCCAATTAAGAAGGTCAAAGTTGACTAATTAGGTCCACTTAAGAAGATTAAACTTGACTAATTAGGTCCACTTAAGAAGATTAAACTTGACTAATTAGGTCCAGTTAAGAAGGTCAAAGTTTACTAATTAGGTATAATTAAGAAGGTCAAAATTGACTAATTAGGTCCAGTGAAGGTCAAAGTTGACTAGTTATGTCCAGTTAAGAAAGTCTAACTTACTTGAACAAAGAATCTGGGTGATGTCTGGCAGCCAAAGTTCAAAGTTCATACACCTGCTTGTGACAGCTGTGCTATTGGTGCCATTGAGTTCATGACCTTTGACACAAGTGAAGGTCACATTGGTCATTATAGAGAAGCTGTCATTTTGTGGTAAGGCTACAAAAGGTGCAGAGGCCATCAGTGAGTTATTCATCTTGATCAGTGGGCAGGTAAGGGCTGTAGAACAAAGTGATTGAACAAAATGTTATCTCCCTTTCATTTGATGTGTCTAACACAATTTTATCTCCCTTTAAATTGATTTGTCTAACAACAGAGCCAGATACAATGACTTTTTGCCAGCCTCTCTCTGTGGGCCAGACTCTCAAGTCTCCCAAAGTTTAAATTATAAGAGCATGAATTTAGTCTTGCAGGAAATATTTACTTGTATGTTAATTTAACTACAAAAGAAATATAATATTAAAAATCGTTAATAAAATCTGAATAGTATGTTACTCTAAATTTAATTTTTTTTCAGCAACCAGTTATTTAAAATAAAACTTGAATTGTTTTAAATTAAAACAGTAGCTTAAATTAGATAGTGAAACCAGAATAGTAAGCTAACAACAATTATGGTAAAGGAATATGACATGATTGAATTATCTCCTAAATTAGAAGAAAATCTAAAACCTTTAGTTGAGTACAAGGCGATGTTGTCAGATGAACAAGGAAATCCACCAAAACAAATAGCTGGACACTTCTCATTATCATCAGCCAAAAAATCTCTTGGGGGAACTGTATCCACACACTGACAGACATCTAGGACAAAATATATACATAACTCAATCACCAATGGGATGACATGGTCGAGTGGTAGAGTATAAGACTGCTAACCCAAAAGTCTCAAGTTCCAATCCATCTCCACACAATAGCCCATGTCCCACCAACAACCCATTTCCCCCCCCCCCCCCCCCCCAACAACCACCTTCCAACAACAACCCATCTCCCCACAAGAATGCATTTCCTCATTAAAAATAAAATCTGATAGTAGCAGCAAGTTTTGCCAAAGATTCAAATGTCAAGTGCAGCAAGTTTTGCCAAAGATTCAAATGTCAAGTGCAGCAAGTTTTGTCAAAGATTCAAATGTCAAATGCAGAAAGTTTTGTCAAAGATTCAAATGTCAAGTGCAGCAAGTTTAGTCAAAGATTCAAATGTCAAGTGCAGCAAGTTTTGTCAAAGATTCAAATGTCAAGTGACACAAGTTTTGTCAAAGATTCAAATGTCAAGTGCAGCAAGTTTAGTCAAAGATTCAAATGTCAAGTGCAGCAAGTTTTGTCAAAGATTCAAATGTCAAGTGCAGCAAGTTTTGTCAAAGATTCAAATGTCAAGTGGAGCAAGTTTTGTCAAAGATTCAAATGTCAAGTGCAGCAAGTTTTGTCAAAGATTCAAATGTCAAGTGCCACAAGTTTTGTCAAAGATTCAAATGTCAAGTGGAGCAAGTTTTGTCAAAGATTCAAATGTCAAGTGCAGCAAGTTTAGTCAAAGATTCAAATGTCAAGTGCAGCAAGTTTTGTCAAAGATTCAAATGTCAAGTGGAGCAAGTTTTGTCAAAGATTCAAATGTCAAGTGCAGCAAGTTTTGTCAAAGATTCAAATGTCAAGTGCCACAAGTTTTGTCAAAGATTCAAATGTCAAGTGGAGCAAGTTTTGTCAAAGATTCAAATGTCAAGTGCAGCAAGTTTTGTCAAAGATTCAAATGTCAAGTGCCACAAGTTTTGTCAAAGATTCAAATGTCAAGTGCCACAAGTTTTGTCAAAGATTCAAATGTCAAGTACCTGTTGGTTGCAGGATGATGAAAGGGTATCCACTGTCTCGACAAAATGCCAGACACTCTTCAAAACTACTTACACTAACACCAGGCAATTGGCTGAAAACTGTCAAGTTGCTATGGCAACTAGCATAACTGCTACTAACTGACAGAAGAAAAACCCAGAAACAAGTGAATTACGGTACGGCCAACTCTTTTCAGTAAATTTATCTGAGGTCAACTATTTTGTGTAAAGTATAAATAAATTTATCAGAGGTCAACTATTTTGTGTAAAATATAAGCAAATTTTAATGAACTTCGACTCAGTAGGCCACAACTTACAGTTGTACATTTGATATGGATAGCCCACAAGTTCCGCGCTGGCCATGGGAGAGGTCCCTGACCAAGACAGAAGGGTGATCTTGACAAATCTGGCCACAACAGGAACTGACAGCGCCACCCACAAAGGTTGTGAAGGTTTATTTACCTGTACCTTGAGCCAAGATTAATAGAATTTTAAAGTAGCTAATGTACGCATTTTACAGCCTAAATTAAAATCACTAGTTAAGTCACTCAGAACAATAAAATGCAATTATAAATTTTATACTTAAATGAACCAAATATGGATAGTATTATCAAATTTAAAAAAATCATGACAATTTTTTTTCCATCCGACTTCTTTAATTCATTAAACATAATAACTAGTTCGAGTCTTGTCTTTATATATTTTTCTGACAATTACATTTATCTGACCAAACTAAATGATATTCATCTGAGCAAATTAAATGACAGTGTGACCAGCTAAATGACATTTGTCTGACCAGCTAAATGACATTTGTCTGACCAGCAAAAAGACATTCATCTGACCAGCTAAATGACATTTGACCAGCAAAATGAACAACTTACCACACTGTCAGGGTGTGGTTCATACAACAATCCATCAAGCGAGGTGGACAGCGTCAAGCTGAACAGGTTGCCTGCAGTAACACAAGAAAAAATAACTTTGTCTTACTCTTATGTTTTGGAACACAAATTAGTATTCATGGTTTAAAAGCACTATTTAGCTTCATTTGGATTTCACAACTAAAAGCTGATACATCAGATTATACAAGAATTATAAAGAAGCTTTTTTTCATGATACCATGGTAACCAGTTATGAGGCCATGACAGACACATGGGGTGTAAAATGTAACAGCTGGAATCATACCTTTGTTTACCAAATTTTACAAATGGGGTGTAAAATGTAACAGTTGGAATCATACCTTTGATTACCAAAATTTACAAATGGGGAGTAAAATGTAACAGCTGGAAACATACCTCTGATTACCAAGCCTTCAACAACAAAGTAGTCAAGCAAGGTAAACTGTATAAACACATTACTTGTGTTTGTTCCTAACCAGCCACCATAGGTCAACTTCTTGAGATTCATTCTGTTAACAAATATTGGAAAAAAAATATTCACTTAAAAATAATATCAAATTTGTTTACAGCAAAAATAGTCTAAGACTAATTTTTAAAAATCTACTTGGTTATTAAAAAATTAAAATAACTATAAAAATGTTGACTAACGAACTATGAAGTAACTATAAAAATGTTGACTAATGAACTATGAAGTAACTATAAAAATGTTGACTAATGAACTATGAAGTAACTATAAAAATGTTGACTAATGAACTATGAAGAAACTATAAAAATGTTGACTAATGCACTATGAAATGACTATAAAAATGTTGACTAATGAACAGTGAAATAACTTTAAAAATGTTGACTCATGACCATGAGCTATGAAATGACTATAAAAATGTTGACTTATGAACTGTGAAATAACTATAAAAATGTTGACTAATGAACTATAAAATAACTATAAAAATGTTGACTAATGAACTATGAAATAACTATAAAAATGTTGACTAATGAACTATGAAATAACATACAGGGCAGAAAGTGCTGAGCTCACACCAGCTGATGTGAGAATGTCTGCCGCTGAGGCGCCAGTTAGGATAAGGTCACTTTTCAAACCTGGTAACAAAACACAGATATGATACACCATCTGAGATTAAACTAGTTAGTAGTTAAAGGTCTAAATACAGAGAAAGAGAGTATTTATTTACTTGACAATAATGGTCTCAAAAAATGAGTGGAAGGGGTCCAAAAGAATTATCTTTTAATATGTTGTACATTTACTGGTGATGCTTTGTCTCAATTATTGAATGTCATGGAAAAAAGTTTTAAATAAAGCAACATTTTCTGATAAATCCAGATTCTAGTTAAGGCTCCATAATTTTCATGATAAGTGATGTTATCTGTACCTTATTGTATTATCTGTAACTTACTGTACTTAAAACACGTGACATATTGCGAGTCAGCCACCAGATAAGTCGCAGGCTGCACAACTCCATAGCCCAAGAGGTCATCACAACTGTGCTGGGTGTGTTCAGGTTGATACTGCCCTAAAAAGTTTTGTAAGAGATTTGGTTTTCTATGCAGATTTATTGCCCAATAAATTCATTAAAGCAAACTTTAAAAAAATTAAATAATAGGATTTGTAGATAACGTCACAAATACCCCCCCCCCCCCCAAAAAAAATGGGTCCCCACTCACTGAGATCATACACGGAGTACGTGTTTGATAAGGTCGACCCACACAGCTGCATGAACTGCCCAGAGCAGGGCCTGCTGCACAGAGCCCGGTTGCTTAAAATTTGGACCTGCAGCTTGTCAGCACAAAAACAGTCGCCAACTCTGACCAGCGCGTAGCTTCTGTTTTGGTTCAACCCCAGGCAGTAGGAGACACATTGCTGGACACTCATGCCAGAGGTCAGGTTCAGATAGGACATGCCTGACGTGCTGCTGACTGTCCCACATCCACTCACATCTGGGGTTAACAAAACAAGGATTAGTCTAACTTACACAATAAAATAAAATGTAACCTTTACAGTGTCAAAAAATATGACTGTTAAAAAAATTAATAATGTATAAATACTGTTGTGTTAAAAAACATTTTTCATTTATATGACATACTGAGGTAAAAAAAATGTGTTCTGTTTGAAAATAAACCCACATAATTTTAAAATTACCTTGACTGTATTCACAAATAAATGGCAGGTTTGTGGTAGCATAAACCCACATAATTTTAAAATTACCTTGACTGTATTCACAAATAAATGGCAGGTTTGGGGTAGCAGAAGAACCAACCAAAGTGCCTGAAGTGATGTTCAACATGATGTTCTTGCTGGCTGAAAGTTCAGTACATTTTTTTGTTTAAACATCCATTAAAAAGGCCATTTTAGCAGAAGTAAAATTGTGATTCATTTTTATTTTGGCTAATTTAGTCTAATTTAGTCTTATTGAGTCTAATTTAGTCTAATTTAGTCTTATTGAGTCTAATTTAGTCTAATTTAGTCTTATTGAGTCTAATTTAGTCTGATTTCAAACCTAAATTTAGATTGGCAATGATCGGATCATCCACAGAAATCATTTGTCCCAGGGCAGTTGCAAATTTTCCATTTAGGAAAGTACTAAAATATCCCACCTGTTGAGAAATTTGAAAATGTTTGTCTGAGGTCCATTCTGCTTATTACACATTATGTTGAACATTAAAAACCACTCTCAATAAAAATCAATGAAGTAAATTTTTCAGGTAATCATAAACTTGAAAGTTTAGTTTTTAGTTCAGCAACTAAAGAGTTACACATTGTTTACTTTTAAATTGTATCTATACTGCTCAAAAATGGATATTTATCTTAGTCAGATAGCCATTCTATTTTGTTTGTGACTGACCATCCATAGCTCAGCTGTACGAAATGATGAGAAGGACTGGAGAAGTGACAACAGGTTGTTGAGCTCAGTTTGATTGGCAGGTGAAGCCAGGTAGGAGCCCTGAGCCTGACACACCTGTGTGGCTGTGTTGACATTTTTGTCACTCTGTCTGTAGAAGCGATAACATTTTCTTTCTTTGGCTATAAAGCCAGGAGGACACTTCACTGACAAATCTAAAAAAAAAATTCATTTGGATACATTTTTCTAACATTTTTTTTTAACAAAACAGTTTTCTAGTGTATATTTATTGCCTTATAATTTATTTAAATGCTGGAGTATCAAATAATCATATTTTAGTATGAAAAGTTGCGAAAAAGTAACAAAGTTGATGACATGGATTCTTTAGAAAATGGATTAAATGCTAACCGTCAATCCCACAATGTTCATCAGATCCATTAATCTTGTAGGTGGCAGGTATGGTGACAAAGTTGTCGTATAGCACCTGACAGGTCTCTGCTATGTCTTGCTCTTTTCATGCGGCCAAAATAAAACATACAGTAGTGAGTTGAAGGTAGAACAATTCTATCACAACTTGTAGTTTAATTACTCTAGATTTATTATTATGTCAATAAAGATAATACTAGAAATTTTATTTTTAAACAAACTCACTGCAGATCAACATTCCCTTTGAGGGAAAAAGGTAGTGAGCAACGTGTACTTTGTGTGTTCTAAAAGTCTTAAACAAGGATATACGTAACATTGCTGTAGATATAATAAATGTAGTGAGTACCAAAAGTGTGATGTCTGAAGTATCCGACACCGCCACATTTCTGGAGCTTGTTGCCAGGACAAGGGACATCACACAGGGCATCACTTGAATTTACAAACAGGGACATTACCTGAGGAGCAAGATAGAGGAGACATTTTTCATTGTTTGGATTGAAAAATTGTTTATATTGATGATTGGCATGGCTCTTTTAAAATTCCCAAAGAATGATGCATAAAAATAATTCATTGAAACTGAAATTTACTTTTTTTTTTAAAGTATGCTTGGGCTACACAGGCATGGTCAAGTCAAAGAAAACTTACATCAGGAGAGGATTGTGGGTCATAGCATATGCAGTCAGTGGCGGAGATGAACAAGTGGCTCATTGGTTTTGCCTGACACAGCTGTCTGCACAAGGTCATACTCATGGAGGAGTAGTCCTTCAACGTGTAAACACTGTCAGCTAACAAGGTCAAGGTTTTCAGACAACCCAAGTAAGCTAAGAATTAAAAAAAAAATTTATACCAAAAGTGAATTTTATAAATGGCTTTCTTACACAAGATTTATCTGGCATCAACAAGGCATTGTGAGTGACAGATTTGCAAACTCATAGCATCAACTCAATCAAAATATTGGAAAAATTAAAATGAAATAAAATTATAGACCTTATTATACAAATATAAATTTTATTTTTGTGAAACGGTAAAATTAAAGAAGGGTCTAATTTATATGCAAATGTATTACATTAAAATGTGAGTGGAACATCCTGGTATCACAATAAAATGTTCTTACATGTATCTCTCTGGCAGACTGCATGTTCTAAGATTATTCCATTTTGGCCTTTAAAACTTCCATTGGCAGTGATTTGGACATAGATGGACAAACTGGCAGTGGAGAAGACAGTTGCTGGAACTTCAGTCACATTGACATCTGATAAACTTGAGAAAAATAAAAGTTTTACAGTAAATAACAAACATGTGCCAATGTAGGTAAAAATTTATTTTTTCATTAATATACAATCAATTTATCTAACTAATTAAAAAATAGAGACACTTCACTTGCAAATGTTGAAATACATTAGTACAGAATTTTTTATTTGAATAACTATAAACTGTAAATAGGCCTAAGTGTAAAGAAAATTCATGCATAGACCAATTTTTTAATGACAATTTAACAGTCTTATTATAAAAAATACTTCTTTGGTTTAAAGAGATAAGTCTTGCAAAAAGGTGAAATGTTAATATTATGCAGAACGTTTAAGTTTAACAACTTGTATAAAGGTGAAAGGTTATGTACTGAAACAAAAGGTCAAAGGTCACATACTGAAACAGACTCCCATCTGACCAGGTGTAGAGCCCCATATAAAACTGGTCCATCAGTCCAATATACGCCGGCACACTTACAGGATAGTCCAGGTTCCCTTGTAGGGAAATATTTCACTCATTAACTTAACAATTCATTCTTTGTTTTCTTAACACTCACACGGTAGTCCAGGTTCCCTTGTGGGAAAATATGTCACTCATTAACTTAACCATTCATTCATTGTTTTCTTAACAATATCAGATGGCAGATTTGCAGCTTTTATAAATAAAGCAAATTTTTGTTGGTAAATAATTATTTTTGTAACTTCTTTGTAAAACAGGAGGGGAATTTCTTCCTACATAATAAATTATTTCATGTCAACATGTAATGCACCATATGCCCTGTTGACTCAGACTTCATTCTTTTCTGGACACACTCACACAGCCTCCTCCCACAGCCTCCTCCCCCAGCCTCCTCCCCCAGCCTCCTCCCACAGCCTGCCACAGGCTCCTCCCACAGCCTCCTCCCACAGCCGCCTCCCACCCAAGAACAAACTACAAGACAGCAGTTGTAGATTTTAGAGTTCAGGCATAGATGGCTTGTTGTCGCCACCTAATGAGCCTCATATGCCCAGGAGTCCAAACTCTGGACTTTTGGAGTCGGCAACCACAAGCTCTACCACCTGACCATACTGTCCCCATCTAATTAATTAATTAATTAATTAATATGACAACTTCATAGCACTTACATTTTAAGACATCAGTGATTAACTCCCTTGCACTAGCAGCCCTGAGAGTTGCCACAATACTTGAAGGTTGAAACAGACCTGGTAACAAATGACCAAAAATAATTTTTTCAAACGTTTGATGTACCATGCATAGGGGACAATTAAAATAAATAATCTAAATGCAATGTTCCTACCATTAAACCGCTACCATTACACAAATGTCAAAAATAAAAAATAAGTTTGAGGTCCTACCATTACATCGCTGCCAAAAATAAAAAAATAATTTTGAGGGTCTACCATTAGACTGCTGCCAAAAATAAAAAATAAGTTTGAGGTCCTACCATTACACCGCTGCCATAAAGTGCTGGCCTGTGAATTCTTAACAGTATCAACAGCAAAGACGCTATCCTCTACACCAACTCTGTTCCAAGAGTAATCTGAGAAGTTGATTGCGCTGGGGGCGTTGTTATGCCAGAGTTCAAATTGCTGCCTCAAGTAGAGAGAATCTTAACAACAGACAAATGCAGCGTCATGACATGTTTGCAGAAATTTTAAATGTGCAGCATGAGAAGTGAAAGGTGAAATTAACATGAGAGGGTCATTTTAAAATATTTCATATTACTGATTCTGGTGTAAAAGAGTTAAGCTAAATCATTAGTTTATTCTAAGATTGAATTTTCCATTACAAATAAACTCAGTAAAATATTGTTATTATATTTATTTTTCTAAAATTGAAATTTTCACAAATGACCTGTTAATGATGCATTTGAACAGGTATGATAAAAGAGGTATGTTAACATTTGAACAGGTATTTGACCTTTATAAGAGGTAGTTAATTAAAAGATAGAAGAATAGTTATGGTAATTTAACAAATCTATTAGTAGATTAAACACAAATTATGGACAAGTATATTGGCACTACATGTATTAAGGTGTATTGTTTTTTAGCACGCTTTATATCTGTGCGTGAAGTGTGAAACATTTGAAGAATACAAGACACCATCTCTTGCTTTACAAAATATAAAACCACATTTTCTAAAAGTACAAAATAATTTTCACTTTATTCCCAAATTTATATAAACAAGTTTTTAAAGTTGCGGCAAGTTTCCCTATACATAAATATTGACCTATTTTTTTTTTCCTATTGTCAACGCTGAGGGCAAATCACTCCCAAAAGAAACACAAGAGGTTTTTTAAAGACTCAATAAATAGATCTCAAACCATTTCAATGATGATCAATGAAGCAGAGAGGACTGACACTGGAGACTGAATACAAATATCAATATACTGATTGGTTTGATTAATTTAGAATCAATAAATCTATCAACTGCTGAACCAATACATCATTTTGTTTTTCCAACAAAAGAAGTAAATCAATGTTTGAAGTTGTTGGGATAGAAACACATTCCTACAATCAGATTGTATAAAATAATTCTTTTAATTGTTTATAGGCCATACCATTTTTGTTATTAAAATGTTGATTGCAAAATCAAGCTGCCTTTTTCTGTTAGTTGGTTCTAAGAAAAAAAAACAACTAAGTTTGTCATAAGGTGTAAGGCTGTACTGTACCTTTCATGCCACACCAAGTGCTGAGGCCACTCCCTAAAGTGTAGAGTCCAGAGAGTAGCACCCCTTGATTAAATAGCTCTTCACAAGTGGAAGCATTTCTTTTGTAATCTGAAAACAATTGGGCAATGTAATAATTACTATGGTTTGAACTCAGATACTTGGGACAATGTAATAATTACTATGGTTTGAAGTCAAGTTGCTCTTTTAAATGTTGAATCATTTAATATTGAGACTCCATGTGAGTTCTTTACTCTTGAGTAATGGGATGGTGTGTATGTGCATGATTGTTAACCAAAAAGTTCTGGGTAGACCAACCCCTGGTCCACCCTGCACTGATGGGAACAAACTAGGGTACATAACTAAGTAAATCTGGGTGAGCATAGAACTGACCACACTATCCCTTCATTTGCTGAGGTCGCAGAAACAGGCCAACTCTACTTTATTTGCTTTTGATGTGAGCAGAGCAAACAGTGATTTTAAAAGTTAAATGAACCAGTTTACATTATTTCAATGACCTAGTTTATAATCTATAAATGGACATGTTTGACTGACCTAGTTTATAAACAGACATGTTTGACTGACCTAGTTTATAAACAGACATGTTTGACTGACCTAGTTTATTAACAGACATGTTTGACTGTCCTAGTTTATAAACTGACACGTTTGACTGACCTAGTCTATTAACAGACATGTTTGACTGACCTAGTTTATTAACAGACAGGTTTGACTCAGAGGCGTAGCTAGGGGAGGGCGGGGAGGGCGGCCGCCCTGGGCGCCGACCCTAGGGGGGCGCCAAAAGGGGTAGAAAAAAAAATTAAAAGCTCATTTTAAGCTGCAATTTTGAATCATAAACAGTTAAAGTTAAGAAATTTAACGGCCTTTGCATACTGTAAAACGTATATCTTTAAGAAATAGTGACCGGAAAAACCGCTTTCCAGCTTTACTAGATGAGGGGGGGGGCGCTTTTTCGAAGACTAAAATCTGAAAAATTCACACCGGATTAAGGAATAAACCGATATCGCCCAGAAAACAAACCCATTGTACTAAAGAGTATTTTACGATTGTGTAACATAAAAAAGATTTAGCAGACTGTCGGAGCGGGTGGATGGGAAGCGACACTCTTTGCCAAAATTTTAAGAGAGAAGAAAATTAGTATATTGTACTGATTATTACTTTGTTTAACCTAACTGATAATTCTAAATTGCAATGTTGGCTTACTATTATTGAAATTGTTCTAAAGACACGACCAAAAGTAGACCAAATAAGGCTTGCACCTTCTACAAAATAACTCTAAAGCAGTAACTCTTAACTTTTTGGAGTACCGAACCCAACCAGTTTCATATGCGCAATCACCGAACCCTCCTTAATAGTTGTATCTTCCACAATGACAAAATCCGATCGTGAATCCTATGAGTCGGGTGTGTGTCTTGACCAGTGTTTCTTCCAGACTTTTTTCGGAGGGGGGGGGGGGGACTTGAAATTTTCGGAGGGGGGGGGGGGCGGGGGCGGTTGACTTTCTTCGGGGGGGGGGGGGGGGCGGACACAGTTAAAGGTATATATTTTATATATAAATTATATAAATTTCATTTCATTCGGGGGGGGGGGGGGGGGGGCGGTAGAGTTTTTTCGGGGGCTTCCCCCCCCCCCCCTGAAGAGATGCCTGGAAGAAACTCTGGTCTTGACCTTCGCGGAAGCCCTGAGACTGAATTACCAAACCTCTCAGGTTCGATGGAGCCCACTGTTCTAAGCTTTTTTGATTTTCTACTTTATATTCGTTTCGGCATCTTAAGGGGAATTTAATTGGCGTCCAGTGAAGTTTTAGGGAACGACAATCAGCGTAATTGTTAATTTTTTTCCAGACTGTCGCACACACAAACACACACGCATATATATATATATATATATATATATATATATATATATATATATGTATGGGGGCGCCAAAATGAAAGTTCGCCCCGGGCGCCGGGAGGGGTCGCTACGCCACTGGTTTGACTGACCTAATTTATAAACAGACAGGTTTGACTGACCTAGTTTATAAACAGACATGTTTGACTGACCTAGTTTATAAACAGACATGTTTGACTGACCTAGTTTATAAGCAGACATGTTTGACTGACCTAGTTTATAAACAGACATGTAATCCTTGAGGGCGCCACAGTTCTGATGGAAGCCGCAGGTTCTGTTGCACAAGGAATCAGCCCCCGCCTTTACAATGGTTTCATTACCAATACAGTAACAGGCAGTCATCCCAACTACACCAGCCAAAGTCTTGCCTAATCAGGGGAGAAGTAATTATCTTTCTTCCAATTTCATCATCATTCAATCAATAATTATATTTTAAATATTTGGAACTTACAGTTTTAAAAAAAATAACATCCAATCATCCATAGAAAATGAAAGTTTTGATCTAAAGAAGAGAATTTGAAAGTGTTCTACTTTAGAGAGAATCTATACTGGGTGTTTTTACCTGCCCCTTTGCAGGTCTCAAAACACTGGGTCAGGGTGAGGTCTTGGTAGTTGGCCAGAGTTATCTGAACTTCACTGGTGATGTTGTAACAGCCCTTGTAGCCTAAAGGGAGGTAAAAAATCTTTACATTCTAAAGGGAGGTAAAATTTTATGTTCTGAGTGAGTTGCAAAAAAAGGACTAGCCAAAAGCATCAATAATCAATAATAAATAAGTTAATTAAACAAATTGTTATTCTACCAACGACATCCAACAAATGAAAACAGTTACCAGCATCCCTCTCACAAATGTAGGACGCCTTTCCACACGCGACTCCGCTGATTATTTTAGAATCGTTTTTGGCATGGGCGAAGCAGTTGGTCACATAGTTGTCAAGCTCTAGTCGCAGGCTGTCATTGACGTAGGCTCCGTTGTTGTAGCGAAGTTTGGACGACATGTTCCGGTGTTGAAATAGTCCAAATATCCAACTACCTGGGAGAAAAAGATGTGCAAATAGCAAACTACTTGGGGCAGAACATTTCTAAATAAAATAATTGAATTTAAAGTGAGAAATTAAGTTGGTCATAGCCATATTGAGTTTGTCAAATTAAAATAGTCCTATTAAGTTAGTTGTATTGAATTTGTATTTAACTCAATGTAACAAGCCCGCCGGTTGGTTGAGGCCACGCCGGGGGGACGATCTGTCCGGGATTCAAAGGGTCGAATCTAAATATCCATTTTGTTTCCTATTTTATCCGGGGAAAGGGGGCGGGCACCTGGAAGAGATGCCTGAAAGAAACCCTGTGTATTACCTGTGTATCACCTGTGTATCACCTGTGTATCATCTGTGTATCACCTGTGTATCGACTTACTCACGCCAGCCAACATGGGTGTGTCCTGTATGACCGCCAGCAGGTTTTCAGCCTCGTCTTGGGTCTCGTACACGGCGAGATGTCCACCAATGGACGAGCACATAGCAGCTGGGTCAACTATCGTTTCCTGGAAGAACCTGTAGCACTGACCTTCAACTTCTAGCCAGGATTCGGGGCAAGTTACTGTAAACATTTAAACATTGCCTGCTTTTTAAATGTATTTAAATCCTAGTTGCAGATGTTCTAAAGACTGACGATGAGATAGATTCTAGTCACTGACAATCGCAGTAACAATTGCTAGTTTGTCAAAAAAAATTGATTACTTAAACACCAAAATCTGACGTTTAAAATAGTAGTGATACCAGGCATTCAGTGAAAAAAGTATATCCCCTCCCTTCCACAACCATAATAAACCATAACAACCCACCCCCACCAAAACAAACCCACCCCCACCATAACAAATTCCCTCCACCATATCCCCCCCATACTATACCACTCACCTCCAGCATATTCGATGCAGTCTATCACCTCAGTACCATTGGCTGTTTTCACCGTGACGTTGGTGAGTAGGGCGCCAAGAATCATGGCCCTGCACCCCTCCCTCAGAGGCTGGCCTCGGTCTGCTCGTGGAGAAAAAGGCGGGAAAATGTGTGTGTATGTGTAACACATAGACTTTAACCTTTGACCCTTGAACTACCAGGCCAGTGTTTTGCGCTAAGTATATTTTTCTTGCACCTTAACTGAAACACGTGCAACAGGGGGGGGGATTATCTTTGGCGCCCCCACCCACACCAAGCTACGCCCCTGACAACACCTACCTGCGCCCATGACCACCCCTAGTTAAACTCTGCCCACCAATAGCCACGCCCCTACCCACCAATAGCCACGCCCCTGACAAATAAAACCGAACCTGCTGTGACGAAGACGACATTGGAAGCAACGCCCCCACAGTTCTGGTACTTGTTCCGTGGACACGGCACCGTGCACGATTCCCAGTTGATGCTGGTCAAGTTGGAGGTATCTGAAACAGTCACGTGGTGTTATAGCAACAGGTGGGGGGACAGTACTCACCCTATGCTAAGACAGTACTCACCAGACAGTACTCACCCTATGTCCAGACAGTACTCAACAGACAGTACTCACCCTATGTCCAGACAGTACTCACCCTATGTCCAGAAAGTACTCACCCTATGTATAGACAGTACTCACCCTATGTCCAGACAGTACTCACCCTATGTATAGACAGTACTCACTCTATGTTCAGATGGTACTCACCAGACAGTACTCACCAGACAGTACTCACCAGACAGTACTCACCTTATGTCCAGACAGTACTCACCCTATGTATAGACAGTACTCACTCTATGTTCAGATGGTACTCACCAGACAGTACTCACCAGACAGTACTCACCCTATGTATAGACAGTACTCACCCTATGTATAGACAGTACTCACCCTATGTCCAGACAGTACTCACCCTATGTATAGACAGTACTCACTCTATGTTCAGATGGTACTCACCAGACAGTACTCACCAGACAGTACTCACCCTATGTATAGACAGTACTCACCCTATGTATAGACAGTACTCACTCTATGTTCAGATGGTACTCACCAGACAGTACTCACCAGACAGTACTCACCAGACAGTACTCACCAGACAGTACTCACCAGACAGTACTCACCAGACAGTACTCACCAGACAGTACTCACCAGACAGTACTCACCAGACAGTACTCACCAGACAGTACTCACCAGACAGTACTCACCAGACAGTACTCACCTTATGTCCAGACAGTACTCACCCTATGTATAGACAGTACTCACCAGACAGTACTCACCAGACAGTACTCACCAGACAGTACTCACCAGACAGTACTCACCTTATGTCCAGACAGTACTCACCCTATGTATAGACAGTACTCACCAGACAGTACTCACCCTATGTATAGACAGTACTCACCAGACAGTACTCACCAGACAGTACTCACCAGACAGTACTCACCAGACAGTACTCACCTTATGTCCAGACAGTACTCACCCTATGTATAGACAGTACTCACCAGACAGTACTCACCAGACAGTACTCACCAGACAGTACTCACCAGACAGTACTCACCTTATGTCCAGACAGTACTCACCCTATGTATAGACAGTACTCACCAGACAGTACTCACCCTATGTATAGACAGTACTCACCAGACAGTACTCACCAGACAGTACTCACCAGACAGTACTCACCAGACAGTACTCACCAGACAGTACTCACCCTATGTATAGACAGTACTCACTCTATGTTCAGATGGTACTCACCAGACAGTACTCACCAGACAGTACTCACCCTATGTATAGACAGTACTCACCCTATGTCCAGACAGTACTCACCCTATGTCCAGACAGTACTCACCAGACAGTACTCACCCTATGTCCAGACAGTACTCACCCTATGTCCAGACAGTACTCACCCTATGTCCAGACAGTACTCACCAGACAGTACTCACCCTATGTCCAGACAGTACTCACCCTATGTCCAGACAGTACTCACCTTATGTCCAGACAGTACTCACCCTATGTCCAGACAGTACTCACCTTATGTCCAGACAGTACTCACCCTATGTCCAGACAGTACTCACCCTATGTATAGACAGTACTCACCTTATGTCCAGACAGTACTCACCAGACAGTACTCACCCTATGTATAGACAGTACTCACCCTATGTCCAGACAGTACTCACCAGACAGTACTCACCTTATGTCCAGACAGTACTCACCCTATGTCCAGACAGTACTCACCCTATGTCCAGACAGTACTCACCCTATGTCCAGACAGTACTCACCAGACAGTACTCACCCTATGTCCAGACAGTACTCACCCTATGTCCAGACAGTACTCACCTTATGTCCAGACAGTACTCACCCTATGTCCAGACAGTACTCACCTTATGTCCAGACAGTACTCACCAGACAGTACTCACCCTATGTATAGACAGTACTCACCCTATGTCCAGACAGTACTCACCAGACAGTACTCACCTTATGTCCAGACAGTACTCACCTTATGTCCAGACAGTACTCACCAGACAGTACTCACCTTATGTCCAGACAGTACTCACCCTATGTCCAGACAGTACTCACCCTATGTCCAGACAGTACTCACCCTATGTCCAGACAGTACTCACCAGACAGTACTCACCTTATGTCCAGACAGTACTCACCCTATGTCCAGACAGTACTCACCCTATGTCCAGACAGTACTGACCAGACAGTACTCACCCTATGTCCAGACAGTACTCACCCTATGTCCAGACAGTACTCACCTTATGTCCAGACAGTACTCACCAGACAGTACTCACCTTATGTCCAGACAGTACTCACCTTATGTCCAGACAGTACTCACCAGACAGTACTCACCTTATGTCCAGACAGTACTCACCTTATATCCAGACAGTACTCACCAGACAGTACTCACCTTATGTCCAGACAGTACTCACCTTATGTCCAGACAGTACTCACCAGACAGTACTCACCAGACAGTACTCACCCTATGTCCAGACAGTACTCACCAGACAGTACTCACCAGACAGTACTCACCCTATGTCCAGACAGTACTCACCAGACAGTACTCACCAGACAGTACTCACCCTATGTCCAGACAGTACTCACCAGACAGTACTCACCCTATGTCCAGACAGTACTCACCAGACAGTACTCACCAGACAGTACTCACTCTATGTTCAGATGGTACTCACCAGACAGTACTCACCAGACAGTACTCACCTTATGTCCAGACAGTACTCACCAGACAGTACTCACCTTATGTCCAGACAGTACTCACCAGACAGTACTCACCTTATGTCCAGACAGTACTCACCCTATGTCCAGACAGTACTCACCAGACAGTACTCACCAGACAGTACTCACTCTATGTTCAGATGGTACTCACCAGACAGTACTCACCAGACAGTACTCACCAGACAGTACTCACCAGACAGTACTCACCTTATGTCCAGACAGTACTCACCCTATATCCAGACAGTACTCACCAGACAGTACTCACCTTATGTCCAGACAGTACTCACCCTATGTCCAGACAGTACTCACCCTATGTCCAGACAGTACTCACCTTATGTCCAGACAGTACTCACCCTATGTATAGACAGTACTCACCAGACAGTACTCACCCTATGTTCAGATGGTACTCACCTTATGTCCAGACAGTACACCCTATGTATAGACAGTACCCACCTTATGTCCAGACAGTACACCCTATGTATAGACAGTACCCACCTTATGTCCAGACAGTACTCACCCTATGTATAGACAGTACTCACCCTATGCCCAGACAGTACTCACCAGACAGTACTCACCAGACAGTACTCACCAGACAGTACTCACCAGACAGTACTCACCAGACAGTACTCACCAGACAGTACTCACCAGACAGTACTCACCAGACAGTACTCACCAGACAGTACTCACCCTATGTCCAGACGGTACTCACCATTAAAACAAAAACATGAGGTAGACCGGGTAGCCGAGTACTTGTACTGGTCAGCGCGACAGGTCTCAAAACACAGGGGCGTGGACATCCTACTGGACGTGATCTTGGGGGTCAGACTGGAGGTCAGGATGCCGCACCCCAGCGATGCTGTCAAGATTGACAGTGTCAGTTCATTAGACAAGGTTTACACGAGGTTTGGGCTAGGTTTAGACAAGGTTTAGACAAGGTTTGGGCTAGGTTTAGACTAGGTTTAGACTAGGTTTGCATCAAGTTTAAAAATTATTTTTTTTAAATGAGATGCAATTACTGACCACTGACACATAATTGACCACTGCATATGAAAATTGACATTTGACTGATAATTGACACACTGCTGACCACTGGCACACGACTGACCACTGACATATGACTGACCACTGACATGTGACTGACCACTGACATATGACTGACCACTGACATATGAATGACCATTGACATTTGACTGACCACTGACATTTGACTACACAGACATGTGACTGACCACTGACCACTGACACACGACTGACCACTGACACATGACTGACCACTGACACATGACTGACCACTGACAGATGACTTACACTTGGGACGTTCACACACAACGCCCTTATAACTTGAACACTCCGAGTTGACCATAAAACCACTCTCAAAGTGGACGCAGCGGTTGATGATGT